TTAAAAAGCCTGTGGCTCCTCCCCCTCTATGCCCCGTAATCCCCTAATCCCTTAGCGCTTCAAAGTCAATCATTAGTCCGAAGTATCTAAGGATTCTCCGGATCATCAAGCAGATGAGAAAGAATACTAAGAACCATTAAATTTTGGATGAGTAATAAAAGATAGCTGGTACATAATACTTACTTGTGATCAGGCAGAGAAGGTTACATAGCATGCCTATCAATGCAAATGCCGGGATGAAGTATTCAACACTAGGTAGAAAATACATTCTCTAAATAGGCAAGATGTCAGTGAGAAATTCATCCCAAAGCCTGAAAAAAAAAAATGAAAAGAAAAAGAGACCAGTGAGTGATACAACTGGGGCCGACAGACCGTGATTAGGATCTTCGTGGGACGTGAATGAGTGTAGGTGGTTGTGGTACTAGCGTTATGATGAGAAGGATAGAAGAGACGACAGACGAAATGAATTTCAATACGTACAGTAATGGGGTCACTAAAATAGATCACCTACGGTACAGTACTGAATTTCTCAGAACTGGATGCTACTAGTCTGATATTTCAAGATATTGTGCATAACCGCAATATTTTGGTCAATTCATACTTTTGTGTACTGTACTGTACTGTAGATACAAAACATCGACAATAGTGCTATCCATTATTCGGAAACGCAGAAAAATTATCACGAATAAACCGAATGTTAGGTTTCCCTCCCCGAACCAAACGATAGCACTAACAAAAGAGAAAATAAATAAACTAATACTAATACTGTACATAGTATCATCGAACGCTCCGAAAAGAACAGAACACCAAGATTTCACCAAACCAAAAACAAGTCAGAAAAAGCAGCGCAAGCAATCAAACAAATAAGCGCTAGCAAAGTTAATAATGAACAAAACCGACCAAAAAGTATACCAAAACTGTAACGATAAAACCACCTTAGATGAAGCTGTCGTAGCCTTCATCGCTCGTCCTAAACTCCATCGATCCGCTATTTCCAATTCCGGCCCCGAAAAGAATTTTGTGCCTAGTTCATTTCGATTTACTAGGGTGATTTTCGTGTCGATGCTAAATGTTGATTATTTACTGTATAACACATCCCGATGCCCGTGAATCTTTGCTGCCCTTTGCGTTCGCGCTCAATGCAACTCTGGCGGCCTCCGTGAACGCTTCATTGACCCCACGATTCATTTTAGCGGAGCATTCTAATCACCAAAATGAGTTAGCTTGGCGCTCTGAACAAACCCTGCCTTGGAAAAACAATAATTTCCTGCCCCACGGAAATCCCTACCAAGGTAACGCAATGCTTTTATCCTCTCAGCAACAGCAAGTCCCTCCGGATATTGAATAAATCCTCCGGGAACATTCTTCTCCGGGCCATCGCCATCCCCAGCCTCTCTCAAATCACACTTTAACGCAACCAGTACCAGCTTGACACCCTGGCATTGGTCCGCAATTTCGCCGACCCATTTCGATTCGACGTTCTCGAGTGAGTCGCGGGAGTCTACGCTGAAGCAGAGCATAATGGTATGGGTGTCGCTATATGAGAGTGATCGCAGTCTGTCGAATTCCTCCTGACCGGCCGTGTCCCAGAGTGAAAGCTCGATATGTGTATTGTCAACATAGATATCTACACGTGAGAATATTAGCGAGGCTGGTCACTTGAACCTTGGGCGTGTGTATGTAATTACCGTGAACGTAGTTCTCGAAAACTGTGGGTTCGTAGACTTGCGGGAAGTATCTAATGTTCGTCCATATCATTAACCCTTAGTTCCCGATTTCACGAGTCGGCCCATATCCCTTCGCATAGAGAATAACATACCCTCTTGTAAAGACGTTCAGTAATGAGGTCTTTCCGCAGGCACCATCTCCTATATCGTTGTCAGTATCTAATCCTTAAGGAAAGAATGGGTTTTTTTTCGCATACCTAATAGTACAATCTTCCGCTGGGTCGTCTATATACACGAAAAGGGTCTACTGTTAGCAAATCATGACCTGAACCCGCCTGTTACGTAGAACAGAACGGGCGAACGAAAGTGAAAAGCGAAGGAATAGAACTCGCAACCTTGTTTGAGCCGCAAAGTGGCATTTTGAATGCTATTTAATTGAGAGCTGGATCTAAGGAAAGAGGAACCGGTAGAAGGTCGAGGGTAAATAACCTGAATGAGGTATAGGAGATTGCAGAGCAGACAACTGATGTTGGTTGGAGAAGAGAAGGGGAGAGGAGAGAGGGAAGGAAAGGAAAGGAAGAGAGAAAGAATAAGAGAAGAGTAAAAGCAAAAGGATGCAAGCAAGTAAGATGAGGAACGATGTTATCGTGGAGGTGTCAAGCGGACCAGGGTGCCGGGGTCAATGTATGTAGTGGTGGTTATTTCAGGAGAGGAGCGATCGAGGACCTTTTTAACGCCGCAGTCAACTGCAGAGTGATAGGTAATTGATCGATTGTCAAGCCACAACTCGTAAGGTAATAGAAGTGGTGATCTATTTGTTTTCCGCACTTCCAGTCTCGGGATGCTGCTGCTGCTGCTGATTGCTGATTGCCTGCCGGAGAAGGAATATGGCGGGATTGGAAGCTTCTGATACCACTTTGGAATCGGCTGTGCATACAAGACAAGCTCACCAGGGCTACATGTAGGTAAGCACAACGGTCACTCATTGAGTTTCTTTCTTTATTCTTGCATTCCTGTCTATGCTTATCATAGATACACGTCTCCCCTCTGTTTGATAAAAAATGGCTATGCACGTATCATAAGCACATGTGTTGTAGCTACATGTACCCTACTCTCCATAACCTTCCTAGAGGATGTAGGTACATAAAGTCCTTCAAGTACATTGGACTAGGAGTCTCTTGCGAGCAAGGATCGCTGATTCGTGACGTTGATGGCGATAATCATGATGTTTCGCTGTGCTGTTCATCCATTCAAGGTATACAGTTTACAGCCAAGGGGCAGGGCAAAAGAGCATGGGACTACTACTGTGTCCTATCCCCGCGATTCCTAACCAGCCTTATAAGTTACGGGTATGTACTATTGTTGACATGTCGAGACTTCATATTGTGCAATCTTCTGGAAAGGGAAAAAGAAGAAAAGAGAGCTCAAAGGGGTTTTGCGCAAATGAATGGTAATTTGGGGAATTCGACGCCATGCCGCCATGTACAGCGACCGGAATGATCTATGGAAAAACGGGGGGGTGAAATTGTATGGCGAAATATCTGTGCACCATATAAATAGATCATTCCTATCGCTGTACTGACCTTTAATCTGCCCGCAGGAAACCCGACCCCGCCATAAAATACCACTACTCCTTCAGAGATGCCAGATCGCCGCATGTCATATACCGTATGTATTATAGGCCCACTCTCTACTTTTGAGTATTGATGGATCTAGTCCTATTTTTATCAGCTTTCTTCGTCCTGACAGTTGAAATGCTACTATTAACGGACACACCCTGCTTGACTAAACAAGTCAATACAATCATACACGTACGGCATGTATTGTACCTCCAAAGCCTGATTTTCCTGGCAGGTTACATACAAGGAAGCTCCAGCATTGCCAATCGGAGTAATCTTTGTGGGGGTAATAAACGAGGGGAAACGGGTACCTGCCGATACTTGGTGACTTCCCAGATCTTAAAGAGGCCATCCGTCGGAAATAAATGTCTGCACAATTCGGGGTACAAAAAAGTCCATACACGCGCGCGCGCACACACATTCGATCATTGAAGCTTATCCGGAATGGGAGGCATTCGGCCCATTGTGCTTCCTAACGGCGTCTACATATTATAGCGATGAATCGCAGTCAGCAAGGGCTTTATATTATCGTCATGCTTGCGTGGTATTTCTTTAAAGATGGAGACCGATATCAAATGATCCCCGACGCCGGTTAACTACCGAAGCTATCTTACATGCTTATCCGTAGGTATAATCTGAACGGAACTGCGAAATAGACTCATGCCCTACTGGCAATCACTAGCTTTAAGACTTGTCCTGCTAGTAAGTAAATACCATGCAGCCAATGCAGGAAAAACCGAACTTGAAGTCCGAACTTACTGCACCTCGATCTTCAGCAGCCGGGGGAGGAAACCTGCATCTTCGTCCGACATCTATCCAGGAACTCCGTTTGGCTAAAAAAAAATTCATGACTGAGATCTGAGGGAACAGCCATTCAATGGCACCCATCGTCGGAGATTTTGCGTGGGCATCTCATTGGATTGGATTACCATAGCCTACTAATTCGTACCAGCATGGATCTAATGGAAAAACGTTGCAGATCTTATTACCATAGTATTTGGCTAAGACATTTACCAGATCGATCGACAATTAAGCATGGGGGCGATCTTTCTCGCTGTCATTGTAGAGTATCTAACTCCACGATGGAAGCCATTAAGTTCCAATCCGGTTTATTGCACATATGATACTACTCGCGCGGCCGAGTTTCGACTTACTGACGCTATTTAACAGGTTTTTTGCGTTGCCCATAGGTCATGTGATTAAGTTGAAACTCGGCCGCGCGAGTACGTATTTGTTGGAGTTTCGCTCATCCACAAATTTTATCACCAGATACAGTCCCCACAGGATAAGAGTCATGTTTCCATCCTATCCCATCCTACCCCCATCCCTATTTCAATTACATCCCCACTAAGAAAAAGCCAATTCCAAACGAAACGGCAAGATAAATAAGATAAAGGTCCTCTATCATGTTCATAGCTAATATCAATAAGTTCAGTTTGTTTCTCGAGACATGCATGAATATAGAAATAAAACAATAGACTGGGACAGATAAACTCCCACGATCCCAGTAAACATTATAAGGATATTTAGATATACACCACTTCCCATTATTGTCCCTCAAGGATACTAATAGGTTGATAATGGCTTTCGAACAAAGTGTGGCCTAGTAGCCAAACGCCTTTTCCAAACACCTTTTCCCGCCATTCCCTAGCATTCCTAAAACATACAAATTACAACCCCAAATGCCGTTTCGTCGTGTGAATACGTGCGTCTCTTAAGATCTAGAGTACCGAGTCTTTCCAAGACTGAAAGGAATGTAGCGGTACTTGATCATGTGCTGGATTTGCCTCCTCACTACAAGGTATCAGCCACTATCCTCGATAAACAACCGTAATTCCCAGGTGTCAGAACTTACTTGTGAGCGCAAACAGAACAAACCAGTAGATGACCAGTACAGGCCAAAACACTGGGATGTCAAACACGCTAAACCAGGTGCAACAGAATCCGATCGCAATAGCTCTAGTCGCCGAATGCCAAAATTTGAACTCTGGGAGACGGCGAATGAAGGGCCTGAACTCCTCGTCTTGTTTAGTCGGGAGAGCGCTTGGCCCACCAGACTCGAGCTCTTCATCTTGTTCGAGTGAAGGGTCGAATTTAGGGGTTAGGAAAGCGAGAAAGAGATTCAGGAGGTAGATCCCGAGTGAGTAGCAAACTATTTATCTTATTAGCACAATTCATAGCGAGTTATTGTAGCGATGGGAGTTTATAGAATTGAATATGAGATGCGACAAATGGAGAAGGCGAGGAAAGGTTGAATTACCAATATACCACCCCTGAGCCACCAAAATTCTCGCCATAAAGACCAGTAGTAAAAAGATCGTTCCAGCCCATCTGTAGGTTACAAATGGAGTTGCTTTGTCTAGATATGTTTGGTATGCCTACGTCGCGATGTCGCCACGTTAGCATCATTGACCGGAAAGGATGAGCTTCAGGGGATACAGACCCTCGTGATACGTGATGTATGGGCACTGAAGGCAGCCGGGAACGCGCTGTCAGGAGGTTGCGAGTCCATGATGATATGAATTCTGTATTGTTTTCCGTTTGGTGTTTCTTTGTGAAGGAAAGAGCGACGAGGCTGTAAGTAAAGAATGTCGGGAAAGCAATTTTAGGTGGAACAGGTCTTGTCCTGTGTCTTGTGGGAGGCAACGTCTTCAGAGACATAAAAGTTGCATAGCCCTGTTCCAGAAAACAAGGGTATTGTGCACATTGTCAAAATGTATCACTCCCAGCCCGCAATAGCTTTGTGACGCAATCAATATTGCCCAGGCAACAGCAACCAAACACCAGGGCCTTGCTCTAGAGAAGGAACTGCGGTACATGTAGTTAATAAGCTCTATCCTTTCCTCCCTCGGCTTTCTACGGTTCCCCGCAGCGTCCGCCGAGTCACGGGAGTTCACTTGCAGTAACTGTCACTAGTATTTGTACCGACGCGCCGATACCATGGAAATGGATATGCACCACTCCCACCTCCTCACATTTACGAGTGGTATCCCGAAACTGATACCTTTCCTTTTCTACTATCAATCCCCACTTTTTATAACTTAGCACCATCATGTTCGCTCGCTCCCTCAGGCCTGTTTCTACTCTTCGATTTACCATTCCTCGTATTGCGACCGTTCGTCAAATGTCTACTCCAGCAGAAGCTAGTTATGAACATATCTTAATCTCTACTCCCAGGCCAGGAGTTGGCCAGAGTAAATAATCCCATCCTAATAATCAGTTACTTGTTGCTAAGCAATCCCCAGTCACACTCAACCGCCCAAAGGCCTTGAATGCCCTCTCTACTCCTCTCATGACCGAGCTCAATGCCGCTCTCAGAGCCTTCGAGGCTTCAAAGGAAGCCGGTGCCGTTGTTATCACCGGTAATGAAAAGGCCTTTGCTGCTGGTGCTGATATCAAAGAGATGAAAGATCTCAATTTTGCCAGTGCTTTCGGAAACGACTTCATCAAGAATTGGTCCGAGCTCACCCAGATCAGCATTCCTATTATTGCTGCTGTCAATGGATACGCTCTCGGTGGAGGCTGTGAGCTCGCCATGATGGTAGATATCCTTTATTGTGGTCCCAAGGCCACATTTGGGCAACCGGAGATCAAACTCGGCGTCATCCCCGGTGCTGGTGGTTCTCAGAGGCTTACATGGGCAATTGGGAAGGCGAAAGCTATGGAAATTATCCTTACAGGAAAAAACTTCTCTGCAGAGGAGGCTGAACGTTGGGGCCTTGCTGCGAGGGTGTTTGAAACCCCAGAGGCGTGTGTGGAGGGTGCCCTAGACACCGCGGAGACTATTGCAAGCTACGGGAGATTGGCAGTAAAGGCAGCAAAAGAAGTGGTTAACCAGAGCATGGAGAACGGATTGAGTGAGGGGGTCAAGTTTGAGAGGAGGGTATTCCAGTCTTTGTTTGCCACAAGAGACCAGAAGATTGGTAAGTTGACTTCATATGATTTCCCCAGGATCAGCTGCTAACAGTATCAATGATCAGGCATGACCGCTTTTGCTGAGAAGAAGAAGCCTCAATGGACTGGGGAATGATTAAACGGATATTTTGATCTTCGGATAATTATCAATGCTTTCGCATAAATACCACGGACGTAAATGCAATTGCTACCATTTCATAGCGGTCGTCTTTCTGAACACTAGAAAGGGTTAGGGTTATTATATACCAACAACCGTGAAAGCTAAACGAGAGGTTACAATGCACAGGCGTAATTGATATTCGTTAAGATATTGTAGCAGAGACCCCTAAATACATCGCCAATACGATCCCCAATTGCATTCACCCCTTTCTGTAAAGCATGTAGTTGTAAGACACGTCAATCGGTATCTTCGGGTGACTGCCAAGGATCCAGGAACAACATCCCACCAACCCTCCCTCCCGCCGCTAACTCAGAGCTCTGCCACCAGTTCAAGGAATTTCTACCTGATCTGCACTCATATCCGCGTCGCCCCCAACACAAAACAACAGTAATAGTAATAATGTCGAAGCCACCTGTAAACATCGCAGTTCCTCCCCCAGTCCAGCAACAACAAGCTCAACAGCAGCAACAGCAGCTCCAACAGAAGAAGAACCCCCAGAAAAACCAGCATCCAAACCAAAACCAAGAATCTGGGGAATGGACAGACGAGAAATTAGTAGACGCGCTGAAGCGTCTTGATGATCTCCATTCCAAGGTTCGCACCCAATCCCGTCCCCTCCCCCGCGTTCTCCGTAGGGGGAAAAAAAAATAGGAACAAAAAAAATTCGTCGCCTGCGGAGCTAACCACTTCATGGGCATGTAGTTGATTAGCCTTCGCACTGTGATCCCGCGGTTGACGTTGCCGTTGTCGACGAGCCATCCTTCCCGTGAGCCGACCCCCCTCTTCCCGTCTCCAGCCCGATTAACTACCCCACAATCTTTAATCCTGGAGATGTGATCAAATCAATAGTGCATATTACCTTGCGATAAAGTAACAGTCACTGACCTCGGTGCTCACAGCCGCAGAACTATATGAAGATCTTTCGACCCGCGCCCGAGGCGCGTCCGAAGAAGTTCTCGCATTCAATAAACTATTCGTCGATTCAGCAGGCGTCTTCGAACACGCCAACCAGTCGCGAGCAAAAAACCCTCAGGGGATTCAAGCTGTGTCGGTCTACGACATGTTCTATCCAGACGATGGAGAAGAAGAAGAAGAAGCCATCGAAGTGGCAAAAAAGAAAGACGAGGACACAGAGATGAAAGAAGGCGACGAAGAAGAGATTGAGGAAGAAGAGGTCGTGGAAGATACAAAAGAGGAGGACGTCGATGGGTTACTCGAGGCATTCAAGGGAAACGACGCTGGACTGAAGATTGATATAGAGGTGAAGGACTCAGGAAGGACGGTCAAGGTAATTTAACCTTAAACTATGCCTGCTTATTTGATTTTCTAAGCCCCCGGGCACTTTTATAGATTACACTACCACCGCCGGCAGACCTACTATTCACCATCGATATCCCGTCATCTTCGCCGACACATGATATTACGGACCCATCTTCGGCCGCAAGGCGATTTATCGTGTCTTCAGTGACCAATGCGAAAAAGCCCGAGCAAGCAACGCCCCATTTATACACCTCCATTCTCCGTAGCATCACTACGAGGCCAAATGCTGGGAATCTCCAGCTCCTTTTGGTATGTCTTGTCCCATATCCTATGAACCTAGTGCATTATCTAATCATACCGTAGGAAATGCTCACGACCTATATAACTATATATTCCGCCCCCTGTAAAAAGTGCGGGAAAATGACAGCGGGTAGCAAGGTAGAACTACCTGTTGTCCGGAATAGAGATACTATACTTGTTGAGATAGATGAACCTATTGGTGGGGTAAGTGCAGGTGCAGGTGGGAAGAAGAAAGGGAAGAAGAAGGAGAAGGTTTGGGCACCGTATCATGAGGTTTGCATGTAGACTGGTATCTATTAAAGCCACGTCCAAAATTCTTTGGTTTATTGCTTTTTCAAAGCCTAACATTTATTCTTTTTTTCTATGTTGACTATTTTTAGCTCTAGTAATAACTTGTTTCAATGCGGCCTTATGCGGAGTAGATTTTAGGATTTCTTTTATTTTATTTTTTTCGTTGGATATTTGTTTTCCCGGCTTTGGCTCCTTCTGTGTAGTCTGTCCCATAGTGTTTTTAGTGGCGTATACGACGATAAATTTAAATTGCGCCAAATACATACACATGCAGAAGCGCCCTTCATGGTCAGAGTGATAAGTTCATATGATATCATTCGGTGATACAACGGCTATATGCAATTCGGAGCCGTTGCACGCAAATTATATTAAGACGAGACTATATAATTCGAGTCTAGCTTCTTTGTTCAACTTTTAGATTATCCTCGCCGAGTGATAACTCATGAATAAAGTAACCGTCTGCATTAGAGCGTTTTAGCTGTGCCAGTTGAACAGGAAGTCGGACAGGTTGGATAGAAATTCTAACTATTTTAGGCAAAGACTTGCAAGGATTCAGCCAATAAGAGGTACAGGACTTTCTGTCCAAGTGCTCGACTTTCTGTTCAACTGGCGCAGCTAAAACGCTCTATTATATAACCCTTAAGCTGTCGCGAAAATGCTGACCCCCCCCCCCCCAAAAAAAAAAAGCAAATTCGGTGTGACTTTACTAACGGATCCCGTTATCTCTCTTATCAAATAATAGATCTCTCATACAAATTTAATTCCTCTGTTATAGGGGGGTCAGCATCGACAGCTTAAGGGATGAGTACATTGTGGGATGTATTGTTTCTAAAGCTAAGCAGCCCACGTTGAACAGAATCTGGTTAAAAACCTGCTTCCAGCATCAACGCTAACATTACCTGTGCAGAGGTGTGGACAAGAACCTCCGAGTTAATGAAGGTCCATTGGTTCTGTTTCTTCCTTTCAACTCATCAGGTCAACAACGCAAGGGACGTTAGGGTCCATTAAATCAAGTCGAGGTCAAGCTATTTACGAAACAAGTCAACGCCCTGTCATGAAGCGCCGTGCCCTTTAGAAGGAAGTCAAAGGTCATTCATCATGACCTACCTTGTTGGTGCCACTACTTTGACGAGAAACTTGTCTTTTCCGTATTGTAAGATGCAGTTGTCTTGCATGATCTAAATCCGGCGTCTACCAAGATCTATAACCTTTGTGGGGCACGAAGTGCCGCCCTCAAGTACCCCTTTGAAGCTTCGCATAGTCTAATCCGGCGTCTAGCGTGAGCCACATACATCCTTAGGCTATATAAACGGTGTGGCACACGAGGGAGCGCCATTGCGTCTTTTGTTTGTACCAATTGATTATGGCTTGAATGTGTAAATGGGAGTGTGTGGCACATATACTCGGCGCCAAAATAATAAAGATCTGATGGACCGTCGATGTGGCACAGTTTCATATTACCGCCGGCCAATTCCAGACCTCGGCTATACCGAGTGATGTTCCATGATCGGTACAACATCCAAATAATGGCACAGGCCAAGCACCCTGGAAATCACAGTGAGGATCTTCATAATTTAAAAGGCCTATTGATATTAAGTCTCCCTTCTCCATGGCAGGAATTATAGTGTGTAACCGCGGGCCCCAATGCAATACTGTACAAGGTCCCAGATTGAAATTATGCGCATGTCCCATATTGCATTCGAATATCATTCGCAGATCCTGCTTCAGGGTCCAATTCACAACAACACTCAATGTGTGACATACCTAATCATTCACAAAACCGTTTTTCCAATAACTCTAGCCAGGTAGGCTCGCCGCACAACTTTCACGGGACCCAGATCAACACTCATTCTGTACCCCAACATAACCTGCATGATCCACACAAGTAGGGCCTCGTACTGATTTAGACAACGGTCTCTCCGGTCTCGTTCGCTTATCATACCGTCAAGTGCATTGCATTGAGCTTGTTTGCATTTATCGTCCGTCCGTCCGCCCGTCTATCCGTTATCGTCTGGTCTTGCGGTTTCGTTTCGTTGTCCCATCACACCGAGCCTCTTTGGGGGGGAAACAGCCGGATATGGGAGAGGGAGAAGTTATGGAGGGGATAAGCATTTTCCCTAGACAGGGAAAAGCGGCTGAATTGTGGGGTTTCCGGGCTAACACTGCGGGATATCCGGGGTTAGTTTCCGACGGTTTTCGATTGAAACTGGTGTGTGACCCAGGCTTTGGCAGAGGGGATGAAGAAAGTAAAAGGCTGATAGACTTCAAGGTCACATGACACGGCTAATGGTTGCTGTGCGGGTGAAAACAGAGTAAAGCTTCCGTCCTTACGCCGGGCCAAAGTTGCATATGCACTTTCGTCTCCAAATTACAGTTCACTCTGCACCTAGCTATGCTCCAGATATTCTGGTTTTAAGAGGTTTCCCAGGGCTATGCATATCCCGGTCCGATTAGATCCGACTAGTTAGTACAGGATTCAAAAACCAGATCATAGAAAGCAACGCCTAGCTCTAATGAAACTGCCAAAACTCCATTTATGATATTTTACAGCAAATTCTTGTGGAAGCAATGCATAATGCAACAACCAGTGTCCTCATGATTACAATTGAAGGTGTGAAAGCTATAATAAAAAAGCAACTAAACGAAAACAGTACAGTGGTCGAGAAAGAGGAAGTCTTTAGTCATGTAATATCACTTATCCCGTGTCCTCCTGATTTAGAAAGAAAAAGAATAGTAAAAACAAAAAACAAAAAAACTAAAAAAAAACTCCATGAATCCTAAAAACCCTTATCGTATGATATCTTAACGCCAATCACTTGCTTCCCTCCTGCTTCTCCTCCGTCGGTGTGCCAATAGGTGTCGTCTCAGGATTCGGTGTGAGCGATTGCGGAGAAGGCGAGTCTGAGGTAGCAAATATCGAGGTCTTTGGGGACACTTCTGGGTCAATTTGGGTTCCCGGGCTGATTTCCCCAAGTGAGCTAATCGACGTGTTCGACATGCCCTCTGTAATTCCTGAAATCGCGGAAACTCCACCATGACTGTAGTTGTTGTGTGTCATGAATTCACCCGAGCTTTGCAATATCTCTTGGTAAACCTTTCTACCGGGATCGGCCTTTCGTTTTTCCTTCTTCTTTTCCCGTTTTGATGATGGTCGCACGACGATGACCGGAACCGGTGAATGCTGGAGACAATATTTTGAGACGGAACCTGGGAGGAGGCCTTGCAGGCCACCCAGTGAACGACCACGAGTGCCCACAATCAAAATCACTGGCTCATAAATATGAATCTACAAGAAGGAGTGTTTAGTATTTTAGCATTTCAAGTCACGCAACGCAACGTTGCGTGGTGGGGTAAGGGGGGGGGGGGGGGGGGGGGGCGTCGTACCATTTTCTGGATCGTCTCGTGTACTTTCCCGACGGCGAATTCTAAGATGATAGAAATTGTCTTGTCCTCATCATTTTTCTCTATGATTTGGTTCAACAGCTTCTTGGCTTCTTGCCGGTACTGCTTTTCCTGCAGTGCAGAATCACTGCTAATTTTGCTGTCCTTATCGACAACACGCAGGCAGACGATTTCGTCGCCATCATCGACGAGCTCGTCGATGAGCCACTCGAGCGCAAATTCCGAATAATCATTCTGATCTGTACCGCAGAGAAAGGTGCGCGATCGTCGGGTGTAGGCATAGTCCTTGTGCTTTGATTTCAGCGTGAGCGAAAAATCAGAGGCATCCTTGTTATCGAAGGTGTCGAAAGAGACTCGTTTCAAAAAGGTACTATTGTCCACGGGCAGGTTGATATGTGTTAGTCCGACGTCACTCGCAGACATAGCTTCGCGATTATTGGGTATATGACTGAGGGGAAATGAAGGGAATGCCAAGGGGGGGGTGGAGAATGCGGGGGGTAAGGAGAGGTAAAAAAAAATGACCAGTGAGGGGGAGGGTTAGACGAACGGAGGCGGAGGCGGAGACGATAGCGATCTCTGGCGAGTAGCCCTAGAACCCCCGGATGCGCTCGGTAATACACCACCCAAGCTTCCCACACTTCCCACGCTTCCGCTGCCTGTACTTGAGGCTAAGGACGATTGACGACGTCGACGACCCTCAGAGGAAGGTGTTTCAGGGACGTTTGCCCAAGATATGGAAGCTGGGCGAGCTCCGTTCTTCTCGACAAGTTCTCCTGCTGCTGCTTGCTTAGGAGAGGAAGTCATCCAAAAGAGAAAAAAGAAACCTGGGTTGGTAATGAAATCTCGTTGCAGCTAATGATTATTTTTATCACTTGTTGCTTTCCTTTTTCTCTTACCCGTTTGTTTTATTGGGAATTATAGAATTGATTCTTTTTTACTTTTCCCCGAATGGAGAGCTGCTGGATGACTGATGACTTTCCAAGAAGGGGTGCACGATCTGAGAAAGATAGCCGAGAAGCTTAGTCTCAACGGCTATCAAGAACAACCAGCCAAAAAACAAAGAGCCAGGGGCCCTTTCCTTCTTCGGGTTTTCAAGTGGGGGGAGGGGGGGGAATGATGTTTTGACCGCCCAGAAGGATATAAGGGTTGATGTACCTGATGGCTGAATGGAGCGAAGGAAGCTGGATGGTTGATGTAGGTGGACGGGGGATAATGCCTCAATACGTAGTGGTTAGGTGGGGTTTGGAAGTGTCCAAGAAGCAGCAGCAGATGAAGGCGGAGACGGGGATTGGGGCCGAAAGCAAAGGCGGAGACGGGGATTGGGGCCGAAAGCAAAGGCGGAGACGGGAATGATTTAGACGCGTGGTGTAAGTAGAGACGGAGGTGGGACCGCGAAACACACAATAAAGGGTCTCTGTATGTACGAGTATGTAAGGTGTATGACGGAGGTTACAGCTTCGAGACGACGAGATATCGTTTGTGATCACGGGAAAAGTCGGCGGTGAGTAGCAAAGAGGAAATGGGGGTGGGTGGAGGAGGCTTGCTTTCCTGCAATGTGCCTTTCTATGTATTATTCGAGTGACAATGAATGGTTTTGTACCTCTGGCTCAGAACCTCAGTGCTGGTTCCGAGGACGCCCAAGACTTTGAATTGATTGGGGAGGCGGTGCAATGAGAGAGAGAGCATCGTGGATGACATAATGGTGGGGTCACGCTGGTAGTCTACGAGTTCTCGGCGATGCCCAGGAAAGCTGTAAGCAGCGGGCTGGTACTACAATTACTACATCTCAATCCCACGGCAAGTTACTCTACCCATCAGGAGAAGTTACACGTACAACTGCATGCGCACTACTCTACCAGCCAGTGCCCTACATGTCAAGTACCGCGAATAATCTCACGAGTCTCCGTGGGAATTCCATTCGGCTTTAGCTGTGGAGTGGAGTGGGGGATAGGTAGGATAGGTAGATCATGCAGCGATGGGGGATGGATGGGGGTGAAGGGAACGACAATGGGGAACGACAATCCATTGGGTCAGGTGGGATGCCAAAACGCTTGATCACGACGTTCGGATAGGTAGTGCATCAAAGGAATTAGAAAAAGGAATAAGGAGAAGAAGCATTATCGGCTATCAGCTCTTCTTGGTCGGGCTCCGATACCCCATATCGGTTTGTGAAATATCCCGTCCCACAGACGAACCCCCAATCGGATTCTGGCCAGCCCAGAATCCATCTGTCAATCCGTATATAGAAGTCGATTCAGCAGCTCTTTCACCCCCCTGGCCAGTCCACGCGGCCGCCCAGATCGTACGGTGCTGGTGCTTTGAGATATCCGTTATATTTTCGGAGGGCTGTGCGGACGCCGAGTAGAGAGAGAGGAAGGAAGGCACGGATATTGATGTTTATTACTAGACAAAACTTTCGGGGAACACGGAAGATGTTTTCCATTACTTTCCGAGGTGATTGATATGATTTCTCCGCCCGCCCCCCCCCCCCCAAAGGGACGCGTGGAAGGTCCCAATACCAAGAAATACCAAGTGGACCCAAGACATTCCTTCATGGAATTCGCCGAGCCTTGTCCTCCCCCCCCTAAAATATTTCCATGAGTGCTCACCCTCGACTCGTAGCGTCTCTACATATGAGAACTCAACATACATACACACCATGGGTACACAAAGAGTTTTAAACTGCATAGTGGCTGCTGTTACAAATCTGGCGTGTAAAATGAAATGTGGAGAAAAACTTGAAACCGCTGTGGACGTACTTCCCCTTTGCTGATTGCCGAAAGAAGGCCTTGTTATCAAGATCTGCGGCATTGAGGCGTTATGTACTGGGTTATGGGGTTGTCAAGTGCGTAAAAGACAACTCACTTCACGACACCATGAAAAGGCGAAAAGGGAGTCTTCAACCCGAGCGCTCAGAGATCGACTGTCCTATCTCCACGGCTCTGTTCGTTGCTGTGTTCCCCGGGCCGGATCCCACACCCACGCATTCATGTAGGTATGTCCCCCAACTGCCGCGACTCTAAACGCGCTGGACTCGGTTTATCATTATCATTGTACAGTATGCATCTATCTGTGGCTTTTGTTATTTACTCCCCATCGAGGAATCGTCAGGACCTGTTGTGAATCCTTCCCCCATCCAGGACCTGTGTGGTTGGAACTTGGGGGTGCACTTGGGGGTGCACTCTCCTGTTGGACTCGCTCCCACCAAGCAGCCCCACGTGATACGGTCTGCGGTGTGCTGTGGATTGTGGAGAAACAAGCTTTTTGAGAGCCTCAGAAGCGGGAGATCTTGGCGCTAGTCCAAACAAAATCTAGATAAGGACCCTGAGCTGCGGACCGGCTACGACTATCAAATGGATAGCAAGCGCACTTCCCCTTCCGGGCATTAGAAACAACGGGCCCTTGTCTTAGAGCAGAAACGTGTTTTTGCAAGGGACGAGAGAAAGCGTCCTTCCTACCCGAGACTTCTTTGGGCCTGTAAGAAAAAATCGACAGCCTGCATGCTCTAGAGTAAAGCTGGGTTGGCAGAGGGTACATGTAGTCCTGCTCCTAAGGGCTAGAATGCTAGAATGCACGTAGGGAAGGTCTAAGGCCGGAGATGGAAGGCTGCTTCCTACATACACAGCTCCCCGTGGCTTCCGATTGGCTGCTAGCCGTTGTTTAAATCTCCTAGAGTCTAAAAGATTCACTTCCGTCACGGCCCACCGCTTCCAAGTGAGCTAGAGAGCGGTCTAGTGCACTTCTCGGAGGAAGCTAGCGAATTCCGTTGATAGGGAAGTTTTCTCTTCGGAAAATAGAGACGGAAACGTTTTGCATCAAGGGGAGCACAGAAGAACGAAACGGAATCTTCCAAATTGCAAAGCGGGAGAAAAAAAAAATGGTTTGAGGAGACAAGGACTCACGTACGGGTTCGGGATTGATCATCGGTAGCAGCGGCCCAGAGATCTAGAGTACCAGATGATGGGTCCTACCGACCCGCAAGCCCGAGGGTAACTTCGGGACATCAAAGAAATTTCAAGGTCACAAGAAACACCTGGGTCTCACGACAGAACAGACATACCTACGGACATACAGACAGACAGACAGACAGACAGACCCCGTCTAGTTAGTACTCCAACGAGCTCTTGTATGCGATCCAGCAAATGCAGAATTACTACCCTCCGAAACAGATATCTGTATCATATAGTCTGCATAAACCCCCTACGTTAGTTAGTTGCCGCAAATAGGTTTCATTATCATATCGACAGACAGTAAAGTACAGATAGACTGACGCCTGGTGATATAACCACCTTTTGAGATCTACGATACAGATATGAGCGTCATGTATTCACAGCACAGCGCGTGCAACCTGGCCAGCACCCAGAACCCATCAGATAGAAAAAGTGGAAAAATAAAATATGATTCTTGCCACGAGAGACCGGAACACACCCAATCGGCCGGTTCGGCAGGATGATCAAGACAGGTGGAGATTGAGGTTTAGATACTCAAAGCATGTGAGACCCGGCCCGACAGTATTGAATCTGACATCTGTCTGATTCCCCCTGTCTCCGATCACATCAGGAGAGGGGAACTGGGAGCGGAGCACGCAAAGTCAGAAACCTTGGTAGTCTTGTATGTGAGTATCAAATGTAAAAAAATTCAAATCAGGCAACATCTTGAGGAGCATTGACAGTAACAGCAGCACAGTGCAGTGTCTGTCAACCACGTATGCCTTCCGTGGAAAAACTCTGATACACTCATTACTCCAGAAGGCGCTGCATATCGACAGGCAAGGAAAAAAAAAATGCAGATATATCTGATTTCGTTACTTTTTTCTTCCAGATGCTGGTTCTGATGGTATGCACCAACCAACTAGCTACAGAACTTAACACTGGTCCACTAAGGATATCATCATCGTGTGAGCACCCAGTTCTCTGGAAATGATGTGCGCCCAGGTATGTGGAGTAGGACAGCCACCTACCTCTCCACTACCATGTGGTGTCAACCTAGAACAGCCATGAGCCAGCCAGCTCATAGGTCACTTTAAATCTGAGTTCTCTGCTACATATCTCATTGCCAAGCAACGATGTCGATAACGTTTCACACCCTGCATGTCACGGGAAAATATCACGAATGATCGTGAACATGTCAGAGCCTCCAGCGCTGTGGATAGGCTCACACGCAAGCTTAAGGTGGGGAAGGGCCCTTTTCGATGGCGTCCTACATGAGGAAACACACACCCTCTATCTACTCGTAGTCTTTTGACGTTTCCGGACGCGACCACTATTGCATGCCATACAAAAGATAGCCTTGGCGATTTTTTTCTGTGTATGCAATAGCAGTTGCGTCCGGAAACGCTATGAAATTGCGAGTACGGGGACATTGGAAACTACCCTATTGCGCTATATCGTGGAGGATGTGGTTGTGCTGCTGCTGCTGGATTTCAAACTCTTCCATGCAGGATGGACATGAGGGGAACGAGTAGAACCAACGACGCATCTTGATTGCCTCATGCAACACTGACTAACCCGCGACCAACCAGACCAACTTCCACTGTAAACAAAGTTCCGGTAGCGAACTGACGTGACATGACTGACAGACGGAGGGGGTAGCGGGGAGGAAGGAGGGGAGAAGAGGGGTGGTAGAGGAAAAACGAATACAAACAAGAAGACTCCGGCAAATGATTTCGCTGCTGTCCCTTCTTTTTCCTTTGAGGGCAGAAAAAAAAAAAGGAAGAAACAAGAGCAAACATTTCGCTTGTTTGATTTGTAACACACGATGTGGAGAAAGGGCAAGGTAAGGGGAGGGCCCTGAGCCAAAGAGTCCGGACCTGAAATCAAGGGAACGAAGCGAACGAACGTAAACGAAACTACAACAACCGGCTTTAGGAAGGACTTACACAACCGCAACCAAACCTGCCGAAAAGAAAAAAAAAACAAGCCTCCACAAGTCTCCTTCCCCCATGCCATGCCATGCTATGCTATGCTATCGTGGGAAAATTTTCTTTTCGCCGTTTATATTTTTTTTCTTTCCCTTTTTAATTTTATGAGGCCCCATATGAAGACCTCATTTCAAAAGCAATCCGACAGTGACCGACGATGCACTAGGTCATTCAGTGACGATATTGTTTCCCCTCCCTCCCCGCTCCTCCCCCGTGCCTGCTTGTGCGGGGCTACTCCATAGAGTAGGTAGAGTAGAATATTCACAATTGTTTAGCGTTGGGCGCGGAAAATTTTATTCGCACACTTTTGAACATGCTGCACAGAAATGTGAACAATGATGCAATTTGGTACTTACCCCTCTCTCTTTCTCTAATCTCCACATGCTTTCGAATTCCCTCCGACCTTCTAGGCCTCCATCCTCCATCCTCCTCTTGAGAACAGATACAGATACTGTAAAGCACTCAAGTACATACGGGTCATGTAGACTATCCAATTTGCAAACAAGCGCTGCTGCGGAAAATCGTTGACTCAATGTTACGCGGCTCCGTATTTCCAGACAGACATCCCTCCTGTGTAACCGGGGGGGGGGGGGGGGGGAGTTTCGTACTGTTGTTGTGCTGCGCACAACACAAGGTAGGTACATTTTTAGAGTATCAAGCGAGGTTCGGAACAGAGTCGTCGAAATCATTTCCACTGTTTGGGGCCCCTCGAAATATTTGTCACACGACAACAAGCTTCTTCCGGTGGCCGTGCCGGAGGAGCAGAGTTTATTTACGTTAGTAGATGGGATGTACTTATTTTTATTCCCTACCCCCCGTATTAACACGGAACATCCGTCCGCATTATGCTTCATCTCATGGGCGAAAAATGACTGGTTTCTTTTTGATCTCCATCTCTGTGTTTTCTGGCTCTGTGTTTACACCAAGTGACTACAGTGTCCATATCAGTCACAGTCATCATCCCGCCTACCCCACAATCACCAGACCGGCCTCCACCCCCATGGACAACAACAACGCACGCACGTACATTATACGCAGGGTCTAGTTACCAGCTAGAGTAAAGTAGATCAGATAATACTGCTCTAGTAGTAGTAATAGTAATAGTAGAGGTACATGTATAGTAGCAGTGGACGTTTCAAATAAAGATGGCAATGATAAGTGGACGGAAAATATTAAAGTTATAGATGTATGTAAAGATTGTTATTTTTCCTTGTACTCCCGCCATAGGGGGGAGGACCGGATATCCAATGCTATTGCTATGACGTAGCCCCATACAATCTTTAACATGCTCTGCAGAGACATTTCCCTTCTGTCTTGAGGACAACCCATATGACCTCGTAATAAGAAAATAAAACCCATAAAAATAAAAAATAAAAATAAAAAATGCCAGCCACGCAATGAAAATGATAAGAGAAAGTCCCAAAAATGTGTACCCCACAGATATGCAGAAGATATTACAAAAAAAAAAGAAGTGAGTTGTGAAGATATACAACTGAGGCAACCGCCTGGATTACCCAATAAAAAGATTACTATGTCAAAAAAAAAGTAACGCCCAAAACCCGCCCGCTCATGAATAAAAAGAAAATGCCCGCGCCTAACCAAAAAATAAAGAAAAACTAGTGAAAAAATATACAAGTCCAATCAATATACAAGAATCGTGACCATCGTATAGACAACGCGCTAGAAAGTGCTTATCATTGTCGGTGATGATCGATCGGGTACGAAATAATCGTGTTCGAATAATGATCCCCGTTCTTCGCTTAGACCTGGTGTATCGTTGTGTTCAAAGTAGGCGCGGGCTTGTTCTTGTTCCTTGTGCGACATGGGCGGATGCGACATTGTAGGCTGAGGAGGCGAAGGTGGATTCGAGTCTTCATCCTCGTCATCCGAAAGATCGGAGCACAGCGAAGGTGGGCGGTGCGATGTTGTTCGCGTGAGAGAAAACATGCCGTCCTCATCGCAATCGTCCTCATATTCCTCATCATCCTCGCCAACTTCTGATACGCCAATGACGGTGCCGTGTGTCTGGTAGTACTTGGTGTATGCTGATGGATGTGATGGCTCGCGGGTAAGAGTAAGGTCGTAGCTCATGTCGAGATCCATCATCTCCTCGTCTTCATCCTCCTCCTCTTCCTCCTCTTCGCTCGACTCTGAGTCTGACTCGTAGTCGGCGGCCAATGATCCATACTCTTCTGTCTCCTCGGGGATTGTCTCAGGCCATTGCTGTACTGATTCCCTTGACTCCTCGTTTCCGCGAACCGTGTTGTTGTACCAGGTCTCCTGGTCGCGCTCGGCTTCTGACAGGTGGATCATCAATGTGTCCAAAAGGTTTGCGTGTCCTGTAGCGTAAAAGTTAGCAATGGGTAAGAAACAATTGGAGAGAGAGAGTATGTTTACTAACCGACTAGAAGGCGGAGGTTGTGGTCTGATCGGGAAGCCTCAGATGAGAGCTTGCCTCGGGCCTTGTGTGCCAGGTAGAATGTTTGTGTGATGCTCATCTTCTGTGGATTCTGTCTATGTTGTAGTGAAGGATGTGATGATGATTGATATTGTAACGATGAGGTGGTAGGGTAGATGGATTGTGTCGACATATTTAAGTGTGGAGGTGGTTGTGCGAGGGTATTTATTTTTCTCTGCTATCTACTAGCTATGTAAGGTTCTGAGTCTAACTATGATGCGTGAGTCAGTTGTTGGCCGTGCACGAATGGTATTTTTTTTTTGTGTGTGTGGAGGGTGAAGTGCAGAATTGCAGGAGAGTTTTTTTGGGGGGAGGAAGGAGCATCAGGCAAGCAGGTAGGCAGCGAGCCGCATAATTATTTACCTTGCTTTGGTTTTAGCGGGTTCAGAGATCCGGTTGGCTGGGTAGGCGGACGCTATGACTCGTGTACAATATCTGTAATGTATGTTGCAACTGTGCTGTGTTGGAAGTGCCAGGAGCAAGTGTCTGTCTGTATGAGATCGAGAAAGGGGTGGTGGTGGTGGTAATGGTAATGGTAATGGGTGGTGGGAGGTCTTCGATGTGGAGATAGATAGGTAAAATGGCGGAGAGATAGGTCGATAGATAAGTAGGATATTGATGATGCTTATGCTTATTGATCTTGAGGGGGGGTGTTGAGGGAGAAGGAACACTGAGTGGGGAGCAGACGCCGGTCTTTAATATGGAACGGGGGCAGTAGGCAAGTCCCACTCCCACTCCCACTAACCCACCCAGTCTAGCTGCTATCCCACACATAACATAACCAACTGACCTACTCTCACTCACAGAAACGCAAATCCCACACACACCCTGCTCACACACACGCCTCACGCTTCACGCTTTGATGAACGGGCGCGGGATCCATGGACTTGTTCGCAGGTAGTAATTGTTAACTACGGGTGCATCATCACAAGGCGCAAACCCACGCAGTCGGGATGACTGTAATGTCCATTTTCGGATTACGGGAGTACGGAAGTACCGAGCTCCCTTATTTCCATTACTGCGAGGATCTCTTGTTCCCTCACCTGTGGACCAGTCCTGCCCTGCGATTCACAACCACCCACGCCCCAAAAAAGAACCAAAACCCCAAACTCCTGTCCCCCACGAGTATCCGAGGACTCAGGAGTTCCGAGTGGGAGTTTGAAATATCTATGTGTGTGTGTGTGTGTGGTGTGTGATCTGAGTGAATCTCTGTGCACGGATGCTGGTCCTCTTCCCAACTCACAGCAAATTCCCCACGGACCAGCTGAGACCCAGATGCTGGACCTGCTATTGTGATTTGACAGGGTCCCCACACACAACAAAACACGCTGACAAACCGGAGCCCGACCCCTCTCAACGGGTCCTGTTTCTCTCCTTGGAAGACAGGCAGATCCTCTCGTCTACTCTAGTCCGTCCCATCCGACAGGGGTGTATTTAGAGCGACGAGGGATAGGGCTTTCAGTTTGTCCGCTGGCACCGACAGGGACCGAACCCGAGCGAGGTTAACTCTCGTCTAGATACTCTATTCGTCTACACATGTACGAACTGACCTGTTGTTCCCACGGAAGTTGAAAGTTGCCCCCATGTGCCGCGATGTAGAGATAGAAATGAAATATCCTGCCTGCCTACTACATACCTGCCTGTGATAGAGAGGCATACAGAGGCAGATGTAGAGGCAGAGGAAAGAGAAGACCACGTCGGAATGTAAACCCACCCTCATTTCGGCCCTTGCTTGCCTGCTTGTCCGTCTGCTCGTTCTCTGCGAAACAGACATTATTATCCGACCAAGCCGCTGCTGTTGCCAGTGCTTGCTGTGCCAATTCACACTCACACACATCACATCTTCGTGAGGCTGACGGCATTCCGGGGAAATAATCGCACGACGGTTGTAGTAAAAATAAACAAGGAAATCATTTCCCCTGTAGAGCATGTCTAGCAGAACACAAACGACCGGCGGTTCCGTCCCAAAGGTTTGTTCTCAGGACCAAACCCCGCTTCAATTTTATTATGCACGGCGATACCACAGGGCTACGATAAAGTAGAGCAGGTACGATGCCTTATTTTTTTTTAACTCATTTCTTTTTTACCCTACCCCCAATTATTTAATTTTTACCTGGACGGTCGTTTTGGGTGCAATTAGCGATTAGAGATTCAGACGATCATTGATCATAGCCGTGATCGCGCCTTTCTTTATTTGTACATACATAAAAGAGATGAAGTGTAGATACTTGCTCAACTATCATTGATGCGTCCCCCCCCCCCAATTATTAAGCCACACCTCGCTACTTCTGGTAACTCCGTTTCGGCGATCAATTAGAAATCTGGAGTAGAGTTGCTATTGATCTGATCTGATTCGATGCCAAATACTTAAAGTAATGACGCCTACATAGTAGTAGCCTTAATAGCATGGCTTGTTACAAGTATGGTAGAGGTATAAGCCTAAGCAGGATTTGTCACCCCCCCCCCCCTTAGAGAATGCCAATGATAGAGATTTCAAATCCACGAACGACGACGGAACGACGACGACAACCGTTTTTCCCTCTCGCCATCGCCTTTGCTGCCTGTTTTCGGATAAACCGGATAAGCCGGGGCGGACCATTGGCCCATCTAACGCGAAACTTGGCGTATGTAGATGATAGTACGCGCGTAGTATCATATCAGAGAGCTCTTATGGCTGGTGACGCCCCAGTTTGTTCATACTCTTGCTCATAGCAGTTAGACTTGATTTCTCGACCTCGTCTCTCGCACGAGTCACCTACCGGCCGGCCCTTCCTCTCCCACTTTCCACCCTCCCCATACACGGGCTCCGATTGCTGTGCCGAGCACCGACCGGTTTCTTTTCTTTCGCTTCGAGAGGGACCTGGTTGGTTGCGGTTAAGGTTTTTTTTTGGTTGTTTTGCTTTGAGTGTAGATCCGCTGATCCTCGCCCTCGGTAAGTGGAAGTGTAACAAGTCACAGGCGGCTGTTATTGGCCTGTGCCTGGACTTCTAGTCTACTAGCTAGCTACAAGCTAGAGTACCCTTTGGTCCAGTGAGGTCTCTCTATCTGAACAGTGTTTCTGTAGACGGTCTGTGTCTGTCTGTCTGAAAACAAAGGTTTTGATCAATCAACAGCAACAAACGGAAGACGGCGACAAGATGATCTCCATCACAGCCATCCGTCCAGCTGTAGAGAGAATCGAAGTTGAACAAGAGACCCGCAGATCCGGATCGTTGACAGACTGACACGGTCGGACTGACTTCAGACTTCCACAAACAAACAATTACTGCACTCATACACATAATCGAGGCAGACAAGACAGTCAAGCAAAGCAAAGCAACACACACATGCAGCGACAGCAGCAGCAGGCAGCAGCGGAAGGAGCCTCACCGCCATAAGCGAGAAGCCTAAAGTGAAGCAACCCCCATTGATGGATGTAAGAAAACCCCATCGAGCTTGATGGCGATCTCCATCACAAGTCCCATCCATCGTTTTTTTTTTTTTTTTGCTCTCACGGAAAAGAAAAGCAAAACTTCTTGCTGTACCGGCTACGAGTGCCCTCTTTGGGGAATTCGAACTCTCGCGGTGGGGAGTTAAGAAAAGAGGTTTCCCTCCTCTCGCTTAGGAATCTCGATTTGGTAGCGTTGTGATGTGCACGCCATATGTAGACTTGAGCACAGCTATCACAGCTAGCACAGCACAGCAAAGCACAGCAGCAGAAGTAGCGAACGAGCTCAACCCACAGCCACATAACCTATCACTTACTCTGAAACTCCCGTGGTGGAGGAGAGATAGCGTAGTCTACAAGGTAGCGAGAGTAATAATAGCAGTGCTAACTGCCTAGCGCATAACTGCTTCCCTACAACTAACTCGCCTTCCTTCCTTTGTAGCAGTAACCGGAGTATGTCTGCTACTCTGCTGTGCTGTACACTACTGAACCTACTCGATTCGTACCAACCGTTCCGGAGGAGGCTGCGGTCTCAACCTCTAACATACCAGCCAACCCGGCCAGCCCCAGCCAGACAGACAGCCCAGCGCAAAGAAGCATAAATCTCTTCTGCTGCACGGCATCAAGATAGCATATGATACACGGTCCGACGATTTCGATACGCCCGCTTCTTCCCATCCCCAGAATCGGTGAGCAGCCCTGCACGACGTCTACGCCTTCTGTAACGGGTAACCCCAAGTGGGAGTGGTGGTGGTGGTGGGGAAACACCCTCAACCACAATTAACCACAACCACTACAATCCACAATCAGTTTTATCTCTACGCGGCGAGGTGAGGCGGCGGCGGGGAAGAAAGCGAGCGACGGGATGCCTGTACGTTTTGCGTGCTGATGCTGCTACTGAATTCGGCCCTATGTTACCGGGCGTGGTAGGTGCTCTGCTACCATGCCCTGTACTAGCTGTGAATCCGTGATTCTGTGAATCTGCGTCTTTTTCCCCCCCCTGCGATACCCATCTCACACTCTGTGACCCGACTGTAGTTACCTGTCGTGTCAGGATTTACCCATCCGACAGGGCTTACATATCCATATTCCCATAATCCCTTATCCCATCCGACGATTGATTGATAATGCGGAGAGAAGAGGCGGAGGAAGATACCTAGCTCCCTCCCATAGCTCGGCAGTAACAGCCCGCTTATGTTACCCTTTCTGCACATTTCCCATGCTTCTAGAAGGGCTTTGTGGAAGAAGCTTCTTCTTTCCGCTGCTTATCTCCGCCGCTTCCCCCCCGGGTGCCCACCCTCGTAGTAATCATCATCACCACCGCCCATCATCATCATCGTCATCAGCATCAGCAACGTTACATCTCGCCCCCCAAACTAGAGTAACTACCCCGCTGTTCCACATCGGAACGAAGCGAGAGACCAGTGATGATGACAATCGTGGTAGTGGTGGTAGGGGCTTCTTGCATGTAGTTTGTTTTCTCGGGGCTGTTTGGCATGACTACATGTACACATGTTTGGCCTGTCCGCCGGAGCTGGGAGCTATTAGGGGGCAGTACAGTATCTACACTACGTGAGTTTGTAAGCCACTGATTACGAGATAGAGGCTGTATCTCCATATCTCTGTATGGCAGAGTAGAATAGAGTAGGATCTAGTAATTAATTGGAGCCCGGTGGACGGGCCACCCTGAGGCCCCCCCCCCCCCCCCTCCCCTGATTGAGTTTGAGTCTGCCCTACAAAACAAAGTTGACGTTTAACATTACCCCAACCGGAAATCCATAAGCTTCTCGTTATAATCAGCGAGAGACGATGATGAACCGATAGACCGTTTTTTGTGCACATTCCATTCCTCGGCCATGGGACAAGCAAGTACCCTAGTGTACGTACATATGTGTGTGTGTGTGTTTCGTTTAATTAGGAATATTAGGATAGGCAGGGTAGTATCAAGTAAGTATCCTCTATGGTGCTGACACATACAGCACAGCACAGCACAGCACGAAAGTATGAGTCCCAGCTCTGTAGCAGCTGTGAGGGATCGGGTCCGTTCCGTGGATTAAGATTGGCGAGGGCCGTAGCCGTAGCTGAGCTTGTGTTTGACAGCTCCCCCTCCCCCTCACTAACGGGGAGGGGTGCAAGGAAACGCACGCACTGCGGAATGCGAGCATGGGGTACGAAGGAAAGGTATTACTCACCCTCTCGCTACCTAGGTCAAATAAACGAACAAGAGACGGAAGTAAGACTCACCGACGGAGGGATTGGCTTTTTTGTTTGTTTGGTGTGACTTGATGACTCGGAAGGGGAAGGGAAGGGAACGGAAGAGAGTGAGAACATTTGTCAGGCTCGGAACTTGTTCACAGCCAGCACGGAGCCCCGGTTCCGCCGTTGCTCCATGATTGGCTCGGGGATAAACGGTCACCAGGAGAGGAAGAAGAAGCTTCTCGATGACAACATACCTAGTAGTAGTGATGATGATGATAATAGTGAGCTCGTATCTTGTAAAGCCCATACTGCTGCTTCGTATAGGCGGGACTCGGAAGCTTGTTAGTTGTAGATTATTGTTAATTGCGCCATGACTCATGCTGGATATAAGAATTTGGATTCAATCTCCATTATCAGTACAAGTGACAGTGACAAGCATCCATCTATCACTCGCCATCTCTCCATCCATCGCTCTATCGCTCTATCTCTCTATCTCTCTATCAACAACATTCCATCACAGCACATCACATGGTCACCGGGACTTAACTTAGAGCGTTATCGGAATATCTGTGCCTTTTTCGACGGTATATCATGTCCATACCAAGCTTTAAGCCGGCCGGCCACTAAAATCATACTCTATAAATACTCAAAAGGAGCGTTTTTTATCATCGTAACATCAAAGTATGCTGCTTGACAGTAAAAAAAAATATAAAAAAATAAAAATAAAGAAACGGAATATCATCCACTGGACTGCACTACAACCCTCTCACCAGCTTCCTTTCCCCGGGCCCCTCTCTCGCGAGCTCGCTCACATTGCTCGTAGGTAACATTACAAAACAAACACCAACTACCAAAGTATATAACCAAAGACCAACTACCAAACCAATGCAAAAAATAAACAACGACTCGAATAAGAAATGAATGAAAAAAAACAAGAGGGTGAATGGGTTCGCAAAGAAAACCATTCACAAAGGGTATGATGCATATCGATGAGGAAGGGCTGTTTCCAGCCCGGGTTTTGCAGAAAGATGTCGTGGTCCAGTAAGGAGAAAGAAGAGCGTAACCAGTATATCGATCGGATAAAAGTCAGACCAAATGAAAATAACAATAATCCATAGGGCTGAGGTTTGTTTGGTTGGGTTTCGCCCAGGGAAGGGATTAGTGATAAGGGGAACAAGGAAGGTTGACGCAAAACAGGGACATGAGGGCTGCCGAAGTTTCCGGTGATCCAGGTCTCGGATCATTTACACTTCGTGGACCCAAATCTATGATCGTGGGAGAAAGTCAGCAATGGATCCGCGTATGGCGTAGTTCAAAAATAAACTGTTTTAAAAAAAAAATCTGGAACAAACCTCAAGTTTTCCAAACTCGGAGCGCTCGCGCCTTGCATTCTTTTTGGCCGATGAGATCGCCATGTCAAGATCCTCCTGATCAGAGACGCTGATAAAACCGTCACCGTCCTCGTCCCTGATTTTGCATCTAGTCTTACGACGGTATCCAAATTTATCTTGGAGACGGGTGACGAATTCATCGAAATCGATATTGACATTTATCATGATCATCCGCGTATCTTCACCGTGTGCCTTGACTTTGATCTAATTGATGAAAAAAGGTCAATATTTGTTTATCTCAGGGAACTCTAAAACCCAGTTTCTCGGGTTTAAGTGGAAACATACCTTTTTTACCTCCGGGGCACGACGGGAAGCTCCGCTACGAATACTACGGTTATCAAGCATCTCAAAATCATCCTCATCGAACGAAGATCCCTCATAAGCGTCACTAGCATATTCGTCTTCATCCACAAAGCGCTCCTGTCTACTATTTGTTCCCCGGCGGGTGAGACCGCGCCTAATGGAGCCACCGCCACCGCCGCGCCTAGGTGTATCACGCTCATGACTATACGCGGTATAAATATCCTCCGAGTACTGTGTTTGACCCTCTTCGTCCTGGTGCCGGTCGCCGCGCTCGCGGACGGTCCGCGACCGCTGGGCGGTCGCTGGCTGCGCTGGGGCCGGAGCACGAGTGGAGTACGCACGGCGAGGTTCCACTGACTGACCGCGGAGGTGTCCCGGGGGAGGTCTTCGCTGCTGCTGCAAATATCTTTCATCGTCATCCATCCCACCTCGGTCGTCTCGACCTCCGTCACGGCTTCTCGCTCGAGGAGGTGCTCCCCGGACTGAAAGTGATCTGCTGCTGCTACCACTCGATGGAACTCCGGCGACGGTATTACTTCGTATTGGCTTCGATGATGAGAACTCGTTTTCTGGTGGAGGTGTTGGGGGAAATACTTGACGATCTGCGCCCCGTATGCTGGCGGCGGATCCCTCCTTTGAGGGTGCGGTATCTGACTTGCGGCGAGATGTAACTAGGTCGGGATTTACAAGATTTGTTGCAGCAAAGGAAATCTCGGTCGGCGCGCGGTCATCAGTCGCCAAGTTCTCGGAATTCATTTGCTGTACCTCCGGTTAGCTTCCAATTTGTGTAGTAAGGCACACTCCCGGGCCTCACCTTCTTGACCTCCGTACCGGCGAACCCGGTGAAGGCATTCTGAGCATCCGAGGCTGCAACCAACCGAGCCTTACCCAGGTAATCCTTTGCTTTGACGTTCCTGACCTTGGCTTCGTTGGGGCGGTAGAGAACGCCGACTCCTACAGAAAACACAGTGTACCTCTAAAGAGGTAATCAATATCCAAGCCCTCAACCACAGCAAAAGGGGGTATATGATAGTACCTCCGCCTGCTCCCTGATAGCATCATCAATGACACTGTGATCCTCCACCTGCTTCTCTTTGGCCGCATACTCCAGATCCTTCATCCCAAGCTCAATTTGCTGATCATATATGTAACACAAACCCCTGTTGAACAAAACCTCGCAGGAAAATAGCTTAAACTTGAGCCCTAGCTGTTCGTAGTCGATCAAGGTATTCCCCCGCAGATATAGAAGTGCCTCGTTGAAATTGGCCATAGCTTCCGTGAACTCCCCTAGCAGGAAATTTGAGACCCCTTGCTGGAAGTAGGCAACGGCGAGGAACTGGTCGAGCTTCGTTGCTCTTTGATAAGCCTCGACCTGCAGCACGATGTATCACTCTTTGTTAGAAAAGCACAAAATTATACGACCACCAGTATTAAGGAGGCATATATATGTGTATATAAGAAGAGGATCAACAACTTACAGCTTTTTCGTGCTCGCCGAGTGTTGCATGGATCATTCCAATGTTGAAGTATATCTTTGAGGTGTCGGCATTCTGCTCGAATATCCTCAAAGCATCCTCGTATTCTTGTGCATCATAATAGTTTAATGCTTCCACCCAGCTTTCGATTTCCTACAAATCCCCCAAAGTATCTTTTAGCAGGAAGCCCCCTTGAGCCTCTGCGGCTCCATATTCCACCACCACCACCACCACCGCAGTCCAGTAGTCCAGGCCCGACTTACCTGTTTGAGAGACATGATTTCTAAACTACAAAGATATCAAGTTTTCCTTACAGCTTTTGTTTTCCCGGTGGTTGATAGGTTGTTCCGTAAGATTCGGCGTGGATAGTGGGAAAATTATCGATGGACGTCAAAGATGGACGTGTAAAGGGGGGGTTGCAACGGTCGACGCCAGGGGCCAAGAGGGGTGGTTGGGGGGGAAATTTAACAAAATAAGTCGAACGAACGCTGCTGGCCAGCCAGCCGGTGTCAAGGGTAGATTTTGATTAGAATGTTCGCAAAAGGGTATCGGAATCAGATGATTTAATAAAGTGCCACCAGGGTCCGTATATTTTTATTCCGAGAGTATTCGATGTGGAATTCTATTTTTCGTATGTGGGGTAGGGTATGCTGAGTTTTTGATGAGTAGTAGTACGGTAAAAGTACCAAGAATACTGTATTAGGGTGGCGTAGATTAAAGCAAAATCCAGAAGAAACGAAAGGCAGAGTCAAGTCCAAAGCACTCGAGTAAATGGTCTAAGAAAAGAAACTTATGTTGGGAGAGATTGGATTAATGAATAAGAATTAATGGCAAGCTGAGGGAAATGAAGGTGAGGCGAAAACAAAAAAATAAGTTGTCGAAAGACGAGTACGTTGGGGGCCAGTATATCGCTGGATGTCCCAGATCAGAGAGAGAACGGCAACGGAATTGGTCCGGGGAACGCAGAGAGAAGAGCCCAACAAACTCAGCTGGCGGGAACAGGGTCCAATTTGAATGCGAGATGGAGCACAATGGCCAGTTACCACGCGATAACAGGCGCTTACAGGGCTGTCTACGGTGCAACAGCCTCCTGGGACAATACGGGTGAGACCGAGGAAGGTGGGGTGGGAGACTACGACAAGGAGCCTCCAGAAAAGCGGTGGTAACAGCAGCAAGCTCGAGAGAGAGAGCCCTGTTAGTTAGGGAGGCAGTCTGTTTCTGATTGTAACGCAAAGATACTGAAGCTGGAGTCAAGGACAAAGCAAAGAGGCGACGATGGGAAAGGAAGAGGAGAGTCTGAGGAGGAGAGGGGGAATAGGAGTGTGTTGTTGGGCGAGTTCAGTACATGTAGTCTGTGCCAATGATATGATTGATGGCTTGCTGGCTTCCTGGCCAGTAGTTGGTTGACTGGTGTAGTTAGATACTTACGCACGACGCCCGGAAAACGAAATTATTATTCGGGTCTTCGAAGCCGTGATACCTTGATATTGCTCGTCTCCTCGACTAGCTATCCCAATACACTCTTCGGGGAAATGATGCTAAAACCCACATAATACCATGCATTTCCTACGCGTCCTCACGGTTACTTCGGCAGCTGTGTAGGTACATGTACTTAGTAGCTATCGTTGTCCTCTTCAAACTCATTTCATAACTCAGTGTACCGTGCTGGTTAGGAAGGCAAGCAAATTTGCAAGTTAGGTAACTTTACATATAATTAACTGCACCGCGCTTACTGGGTGGAACATGGCGCTAAGTTGGATTTATGCTATATGCAACAATATGCATGCTTTTGTTCTGTTTGATAGATCTAGAGCAAACATGAATGGCGATACATGCGGTGGTGGTTGTAATGGTAGAAATCGCCTATCGCCCCAGATATTATTTAGCATTTAGGGTTGGATGCTTAGCAGTTCAAGCTTCGAATCGGCTGTGTCGCGCATAAAGTAGTGACTAAAACTCGAAACAGGGTGGCACGAGGTTTGGTGGGCAAGCCTAGTATCATGAAACTAATATCCAGCGCCAACTGTCACAAGGAGAGCGCCTCTGATATCTATTGATCGGCGGTTGGGATGAATCTGTCCCATTCTAAAACGCCTCTTCAGCACTTTACCCCCCTCTCGACCTTCGACTTCACCTACATGCGCAAACCCCTTCTCAATAAACTCATCCGGTAAGAACCACACTGGTCTTCTGCAGAGAAGGTCATCATGTTTATGCGTTCCGTAAACCAGGTAAACCAGTTAATCGATCCACAGCCCTGCGCCCAAAACACAAATTATTCAGACCATCCGGGCCTGTTTGTATCAAAAGTGGTTTGGTGCCTTGATCTTCAAAACTTTGCAACGTACGTGCATATATACCCAAACCTCAACACAGTCATTTGGCTGTTCTTCTGCACCTCACCACTTCTGCTTGAAAACAGGCAATTTCAAGAGTTCAGCCGCTTCCTTATTAACGTTATGTTTTATGTGTATGTGCTTACTTGCATCAGTGAGTGGGGTAGAAGGAAGGAAAATATGGTCTAACTGGCCGGGGCACTTGGGAGCGTTCCCGCACTGTCCTTAAACTCAACCTATTGCCGATGTTTAATTAACGCCCTGAACTATGATGTTGTCAGAAATATCGTTACTGAACCGTTGTTCCACGTGCGTTTAAAGTATAATATCAATCACGGAGAATGATATAAAGAATCTAATAGGATCTGAGGAATACAAATAACCAGCTGTGCTGTACGTTTCCCGTGGATCGATAAAGGGAGCGTGAGAGCAAAGAGTTTAAAGATGTTTTGAGGACTTCCTTATATGACCAGCGCTTAAGACATGGTTCACAGCAGCTGGGAAAATTTTTTCAATAAAAAAACCTCGAAATTGTGAGGTTGTTGGGGTTTCTGGGGTTTCTGAGGAGCAATTCGTTTAGAGTTCCTTCAATCATTGACTCAAAGGACAGCAGCCCGCATATGTCTGTATATCTAAGGGAAAGGGTATTTGTAAAGATGAATGCTTAAAAGTATATAGTGATAGATTGGTAAAACCGACGTGAAGTGAACTACCGCATTTTCTTGCTATTAGCGTTTTTGCCTAGTGCACAACCACTTAAACGAGTGATAGACTATGAAGGGCTATCAGAAGACATCATCACAACCATGTAAGCGGTACTAGGTAGCAGTCAAGCGCCTGAGAAACATGACGATAGATGTGTCAGCTTGAGCCGTGACACGGGTGAGAATAGTTATATATAATAATCACACGTAAGTTAAGTATCCTAGTATGTGGCGCTTGCGAGTAAGTACCCTTTCTGACATAAGACATCTGAATTGAGGTGCTGAAAAACATCAGATACCACAAGTAACAATCTTTATAGTGATCTAGTCCCTTACCGAACACCGTGAATATGGGACGATTAATGTCAGCGATTGTCTCATTCACAGTTCATCACTCGGTAGATATCCACTCCTAGAACCGGATGCCAAGGAGATGTAGGCTAGTTCCAAGAGATTTTCTCACACTAGTGAACAACAAGTACACATGATATAATCCAAAATTAATGCATCCGTGCAAACCCTAAATTCCTCGGCTTAAACACCCCGTGGGCCCTACGTCAGCAAAACATCCCTTGACATACAGAACACCACTCCGACCAGAGTCTATGATATGCTGGGAGCATCTAGGTATGAATTCTGGGAAATGTAGCACTCGAATTTGCGACACCTAGCTATTCGTATATTTTGGGGGCTTTGGCTAAGTGGTTACTTTATAGGTCACAATACCGCAGCCGCTGCAGCTGCGGGCCAGGGAGCACTCGAATAGCTCCCTATATATATTTGGGATATTCTACAGTAATTTCTAGCTGTGAAAATTAAAAGCCCCAAGGTATTGCAGCGTATCGATAGTGATTATACCGAGTGAGAGACTATGATTACACAGCGCAAAGCTTTGCCCGCTTTCCTGCGGTCTAAAATCTAATTGATGCGCTGCGTCATTTCGCTAGTTCAAGTGACGTATAAATAAGGATCACTCAGACATAGTATACTGACCACTCGAACTGGCCCTGCATAGTACTAATGAAGAGCTACAAGCAATTATAATTTGCCTCAATTGATCAAATATAAGGGAAATTAAAGCAATGCAAAAGAATTTGCGACAAAGCAGTATGAATACTCTAGGTATAGATACATCCTGTTGACAAACTTAAGACATGAACTAGGCCTTCAATAATATCAGATAACAGGATTTGAGATGACTGTATTTGGCCAACTTATGTAACCGAGTTGACCACGATCCATTCCTCGGATATGTACTTTATATTACCTGACTATCACTCGTATTATTCATGATGTCGTATCTGAAACATCACTATGGCCTACCATCTGGTAGATTTCTAATGGGGTTTCCAGTGTAACCGCTTATTAGAGAGCCAGTTCGACCCATAGATGAGGGTTTCAGTGACACTGGGGCAATATCATTTGTTGGTACGTTTGCGCGATGTCCCTCATGACATATTGGTATAGCGCTGGATCCATCTATGTATCGCCCCTTTGTTCTCCATATGGGGCCTGGTAGAATTCAAGACCCACTCTCACTGGCAGGTAATGGCAGAGTGAGATGCCGTTTGCCGGTTTAAAAACACAAATCGTGAGCACTTAAGGAATCCGTTTGATATTCTTCTGGTGCTAATCATCGTTAACAAATGTGATTTGTGGTTGGCCCATGTGACGCTCTTACTCTGTTGGTCTTAACTATGTACATACATACACAGTACCTACTTGTAGCCAACGACAAGTAATTACACAGGAAACAATGCGGAGACGGACACGTTTCGTGAGCGAATGACACGTTAAGATAAACGAGGGAGAGAATAAACCTTACCACTGATGTTATAAAAAACACTCTAGCCTATCAAATCACACTATATTCTCACCTATTGGCAGTATCTATCTAGCTCGAGTGGAATGTGCTCTAGGCATTCTCAGAGTTTTCACGGCAACCAACCATATGTTTGGAACAATATAAACTCACAATATCCCGAAATACTACCAACAGTACGTACAGTAACGTGAATTCTAATATCTCGAGACTAACAAACAATCCATCGGATAATTATAGTTATCATTGACACAGATTCCACGAAATTGCTAATTCCATTCTATACCGTTTCTGACTTTGAGAGGGGCAGCTTAGAAAGCCAAACATGGTCATAAGTTTTTTAAATAACGATGCCCTGAGTCGGTTCCACCAACCACAGGATCGAAGAGCTTCCAACTTTGATGTGATGTTAGGGCCAAAGACGGAACTGTCATGGCGTGTTATTCGGAAAAAAACGCACTCCCGGGTTGTTTCACTTTATTAAACCTTTGCTATCGGTCTGCCCATGGTTTGCAACATCGTGGTCTAGGTTTCACCTGCGGACGACACCTAGAAATTATATACAAGTGAGTACTTTTATGCTCACAGAGATAGCTGTATATGGTTTTAATCTGCAGCTGACATATCTAACTACTCATCAAATATTTTCTTTTTACAAGCAAATTTCGCACCGGCAAAGAAGCGTTGCGACATAGTTGGATTTCAAGCCCAGTGCTTTAGTGGTCTAGAGGATATAACCACAGGGGCCGGTTATCGAGTCGCGAATTTAAAACTGGACGAAGCGTAAACAATTGTTGCAAACCGAACTACATCCCGCGCAACCGCACCCGAGCAAGGTAGGCAAAGTCATCATCTATCACTCGCTCCTCTGTAGGTGTGCCTCGAAGTAGATAAGGTCGTCGTCTTGAACCTGGAATGATTACGAAATCATGGCCAGAATTTGACAGTTATCAGTGATCACAACAAACAGCCACATTATTCCGGCAGCTCGGTCGTGACATGTAAGCCACGGGGAATGCCTTACCCACTCCACTTCGGCACGGAACAAATGATGAAAAAAAAAAAAAAAAAGAGCCAACAAAGATAGCTACCAGGGTAGGTAAGTGCCCAATGAATTTGCTATCCGCGATCTGAATTCCGAATCACAACCCATGGACCAGGGCCAGGGTAGCCAAACCGCGCAGCAGTACTCGTACTCGAGGTACCTGCTTATGAGCAAGTTCACCAGTTTAAGTTGTTATGGGGTTTAGATTTCTTGGCTTGGCTTGCAGGTTGAGATTTGGCCTGGAGGTTCGAAGGCTTGCACGCATCACGCATGCATGGAGCATATTTTCTTTTTAAGGAAAAAAAATTCCGTTATCGATAAGAAACAACAACAGAAGAATAGGGGACGGAGCTTACTGGTCATGAGGCACAATGTGACGCAGGAGGTGCTGAAGTTATTAAATATTGGAGCATATACGTATTATCAACTCTGTTGTGGGCCAATTGCTAATTGTTAGATTGCCTCAGGTCAATACTTGAAGATGGACTAGATACGTGTAGATAGAGGTAGAGGTGTACCAAGGTACCGAAGACTACATACGGTACTTGACATCCAAGCATAGCTAGGAATTGAAACGGAAAATTTTATGGGAAATAACCCGGAATCTATGGTCGAAGCTGTTTCGCCGTGATATCCCACACGTGTACACTTAACCGCTCCAAAAAAACAGAATTTCGCGATTCAAGGGCTCCAGAGAAGAGATCAGAACTCACAAGGGTAAATCGACTTAGTCTCCAAATTGAGCAACGTACTTACGTATTCATGCAGGGCCGTTATCAGCTCTCGATATATATCCCCAATGCATCACATGTCTACGTCTACTCTGCCCCAAAAAGAGCACAGCTGCATGTATGATTTCCCCCCACCAATAGGAAGCAGCATGTGAGAAGAAAAAATAATCGTCATTAGGAGTAGAGTAAGGAGACATCACCGCGCGGTATCCTCAAAGAGGCGCACATGTACATTGTGCGGATAAGTTCTGAAATTTTTTCAAAACAAGGTTTCATGCACTGTTTGTCCGTGCGGATATAATACTGTAACATACACCGCTTGCGGCGGTAAGACACTGACATCCTGGAGGGCAAAGTCGGAGGGCCATCTACAGCTAACGGTCTACTCTAGTCATCCTGAAAAACTATTTCAGTGAACCGATCACAGAATATCATTCGTTCATCTGCTTACTCTTGATCATGCATGATTCTTGATATCATTCTAAGACGCCAGGCGAAGAAAAGTACAGGTAAGCAACCAAGACAGTAATAAGAAACTAGAAGCACAAAATGAAATAAATAGGAATAGTTTTAACTATTATAGGTCAGAAGTTTTTATCTTTAAATTTGTTAGATATTTTTTTGAAAACCCCCTACAGAGTCATATACCGTGAAAAGTGAACCCATGTAAGAAAACCCGAACCGTGCCCCAAACAAAAAAAAAAAGAAATTTAACGTAGTATGCTCCAGAATGCGCCTAAAGAATAAAACAAACAAGCAAGCAGATATCCGACCATGAAGATGAAGAAACGTAGGACAACATATGATGAAACTATCAGAACAGCCGCTGGTCTATATATCCGGACGAAATGTAATGTCCAGATTTTAAACAATCGCACAGGTAGATGGAGAGAACCTGCAATTGAAAGTTAGTATTAATCAAATTTTCATGCAAGTTGGGCACAACTAACCATCGATGGCTCTCAATTTTTTTTATCCATCCAACCACTATCTTAAGCCGCTCCCTCACGCTAGTACACACCAAAAGACGGTATTTCTCATCCTCCGCAACTGGCAGAACACTCGCAAGCCAATACGGGAACATTGCTGCATCGTCGGGTCGGTTCCCGAAGGCAAGAATATTATTCTCGTGAAGCCATGGGGCGGAGATTGCTTGCATTTGATCGACAAAATTGTGCCCAATCTGTAGAAGAGATTGGGTTGGAAGTCGTGTCCACGGAGGAGAGAGATCTGGGGATAAATTTATGCGCAATGAAGTATCAGACACTTCCAGAGCCTCCTCGTCAATGTGCGGAATATCGTCCACCCGCTCTACATCCGAGACCATATAATCATCACGAATCCCCCATCTTTTGACCCTAAACCTAGAGATTCCTACAGTCCAGATGTCGCTGCGACCATCCGGGTACATATTAGCGCCTTCAATTTGGAGCATTGTTCCATATTGCATGAATGGTACAACGCCAAGTTCCCCTTGCGGTTGTCCAGATCGATTTGGTAGTAGCATGCCAAATCTCCTAGTACCGTTCTCGCATACTCGTCGTATCATCAATCGGTAGCGGGGTTCAAAAACGTGTAGAGGTGTCGGCATGCCAGGGTAAGAAGCTGTGCATACGAAGATTGGTGTATTCAAGTCGTCGTCTTCAGAAGCAGAGAGTTCCTCCATTACAGCTGTTGCTCTATGTGCCAAAGCCTCTGAACATAGACCAACCAATATATCTGTTAGACGCTTGTTACTTGATTGTGCCGGAAGAATATTTGGAAGATGTAGCTGTCGTCGACAGGCAGGGCAATGTTGCGAGTGGTCAAGTACGCGCTCCAGACATTTCCGGCAAAATGTATGTCCACAATATGTAGTGATTGGATCTAGAAGAAGTCCATAGCAAACTTGGCATTCCATTTCCGACATGATTTTTGTCCTTAAAGTTTGCACAAGCTCCCGGTCAAAGGCAGCAGAGTCGCAACCATCCGGGAGAAGTGACGTGCAGGTGACATCTGTGTCGTATGGAAGTTCGGCTTTCCTCACAAGCGTGTAAATAGCCATCAAACGCCCACCGCTCACTACCCATTTCCGTTCCACATTTTCACCTCCATCTGATTCGACGTCCGATATTTCAAAATCCAAAATTTCCTTAACCTCCACAGGAAACGCCTCCGAACGATGACAACCTAGATCCTTCTCAAAGATATCCGTCACCTTCGATAATGTTACATCTAGCGCAATGTCTGCAACCGAATGTTCTTTCCCACACTCCATAAACGGACACTCAAATCCTTGCTGTCGTCCTGGTAATGGTGGATAAGATATGTTTTGTCGCAAGTAGAACCGAGGAAGACACTGAAGACATATCGAGTTCCCACAGGGAAGTGTCCGGGGTTGCTGAAGAGGGAACGAACAGACAGAACATTGCGCAAGCCGTACAATGGCCCGAGCATCATGAAATCCGTCACAAGCAGGCTCCTCAGAATATGCCCCAAAACCATAACTTTCTCCATTGGAAATAATCGTATATATTACCGTCAGGCTAGTCAAGTGCCCTTTGTCCTATGTTAGGTCCAGTGCATTTAACGAAGATAGCTACCCCAGGCCTATTTATTAAGGAAGCGGTCCCTGCTGACCAGCATGCAAGAGGGGCGGGTGTGTGGGAGAGAGGCAGCGGCCAAGTAAGAAAAGGGAGTCGAGGATATAGGAAGTGGGAGAGGGGGGGAGGAGGGGGGTGAGGGGCAATGGGAGGAGGAGCGTGTCTTTAAAGGAGTTAGGAGGTAATTGTAGTAGTGTTGCTGCTTATGGTGGTGGTAGCAATGGCGGCAGTACAGTAGTAACGGTGCTGGCTTGTGGTAGAAAAAGGACGGAAAGAATGATCCTCGGGGGCACTGATGATATGAAGAAAAGCAAAACAGAGAAAGCAATGAGGTAGTGGCTCGTAATAAACCGCACAAAAAGATCTTTGCCACAGATATTTGGGGGGGGGCGTATTTTTGAAGGATGAAAGGAGGGAGAAGTGAGTTCCTTTTAGCAGTTTCGAGACGTGACAGACTGTTCTTGGAGAAAATGCCGTCTACCGCTGCGAGGCGTATCCAGTCACTTTAGGAACTGGAAATGTATTTTATTTTATTTAGATAGACCAGTGTTTTGGTCTGAAGTACCGCAGTGAGGGGAGAGGGCAGCGTAAGCAGAAAAGAGAAGGGCGAGGGGGGTGAATTTACTGGGGGGGGGGGGGGGAGCCGATTGAAGTCTTCGATCTCGATTGGGGATCGACCACTGGTACTGGGTCCTCCGATGAGAAGAGGCTGTTGTTGGACCAGCAATGATGAAAAGAAGAGAGAGGCTACGGGCAAGGAATAACAATTGGCAAGGGGATAGCTAGATCTAGCAGGACGGATATATTTTATTTTTATTTAACATACAGTATATATGATAGGTAGAAAGGAACTGAGCATCGATGTTACATGGCTTGTTCGTACAATTGTTGGAGGTACTTATTCATAACCCCCCCGTGTTTTTAGGTCATAGATCTCGCATCATTAATTATCACCTCACCTCACCCTCCTCTCTTCACTTCCATTCCACCCTCATCCTTTACCTGTACCAATTCCCGTGCTGGCATATCTTCCTTGTGGTAGCCTCAGGAGCATAAGAGCTACAAGAGGGATCCCTGTTTCCCCAGTTCCTTTGTCCTCTTGAACCTCATGAGCCCTGCAAACTACGTTCTGTACCTGTTTAATCTTCTCCATACAGAAAACTACAGCCGGCTGCACCTTCTGGGCAGGGACATTTGTCCTAGAGAGTGGCCATTCACAGAGTAGACGAGTGTAGGGAAGGAAGGAAGTAAGTGAGCGATGCCCAGCAAGCGTGATCTTGGATTAAGAGTTCGATGTGTTTTCACGGATCAGGACTCTGTGCTGCGATCGAGACTTTCTGTCCTCGTTGCAGACCTAACTCGTTAGGAACCCTTCGAACCAACACACACAAGACTCATCAATATCCTCCCAAAACAGGCTCAGGTACCACACCTGGTGTGCATACGCTACTACGTTTATGGTAGTCTACATAAACACTCAACACACACCACAGTTCATCACTCTCACACGCATACTCCATCTGGTACTTTGAGAAAAAATAAAAATACATATACATACTTTGAATGGCACAGCAGACTTACACTTTCAGCCCGACTGTCCTATCATTTATTTTTCACCTTTTTATTTACTCTTGTCACTGGATGTTGCTTTACTCCTTTCCCTACGGATCACCCGGTTGTTCCTACAGATAACGTTACCACGCACTTGTAACGCACAAAATATAACAGGGTATCCAGATGTATCAGGCTACACAACCTCATACTCATGACACGTTCGGGGAATCAAACGCGGAAATTTATTCAAAAGGACCACCCCTTCTCCTCTCCCGTCTGGAATCCAGATTAAAGTAGATTGCCGCATCATATTTAGATGGGCCCCGTGAATACTCTAAAGCAGAGTGTGTGGTACTCCACACAACCCACAAAAATCCACAAAACCTACAACCCTCACTCAGATAGGAAATAAAAGAAATAAAGGAATAAAGAAAATAAGAGGGAAAGGAGTTCGTAGGTGCACTCTAGAGTTGGTACATGTATGTACTCTATCGGTATCTGGAAGACCTGCGTATTAAATACACATGTGCAATGTATGTATGTACGTCCTGCATGAAACAGGGTATGTAATGTGAGAATGTGTGAACGCGGTCTGCGCGTCATACATTCAGCCACCAGCCCTGGAGATTGGGCGACAGCTCGCTTAATACAGTATGCGTCGATCTTTCTTCATCTTTGTTCAACCGCTCAGCAGAGCATCTATCCTTGATCCAGAAGACGCATCATTCCTCGGTTCTCTGCTCTTCACCCAGCAAAAGAGGCAAACGTCCGTCAATGTAAGTGCCCCGAAATCGTCCCGTAATTCATAAGGCATCGTCCTCCATCGCATTGTTTGTTTTTTTGATGCAGAGATTTGGAAATTGCGGGATCCCTGGGTAAAAATCTAACGACTTGCAATTCATAAACGTTTGTGGCTTGGTGGTTCTTTTGTAGCTTAATAAGTAACTACATAATAGGTAAGTACAGACTTGCATATCCGCACTCTAACGCTTCTGTCAGAATAGTAACCATTGACTTGGCATTAAGCTTAGAGCCCATGGGATAAGAAGCGTTACAGGATGGAACTGAGCTATGTACTTTGCGCCAAAAAAAAAAAAAAAAACCCTCCTTTTGCCGAACCCGTTCACCCCCATAACCCAACCAGCCACATAAAACGCGGTCTTTAAAAGTACAAGCATCTCGTATTTTACAAGCTCAAAAATAGATAAAATGTCCGGGAAGAGACCGAAAGACTCAAAGGGCTACCGCACGTCTTCGGGTGTCTGCGGCGATTCTATAGAATCCTGCTCTGCTCTTCCATCCCTTACTATCTGTTCCACGACAGACTTGTCAAAAAGGTCAATGATATACCGTCGGACATGTTGTCGATACCGATACGATTCTAGTAACGTCATGACTCGGCGATACAGATCAGAGCTCTGAAAGTGGGACACATGATTCGCTTTCAGCCTGTAATTTTTACTGTTAGCTCGGTCTATAGGTAAGGTGACATAAATTCCTGACCTATTCAACTCCTTCGTAGATGTGCCCTCCATAATGTGGTTGTTCAGGTTCGCGATGGCCGTGAGTATTTTTGCATCGAGTGGATCGTCACCAATCACAGATGACAGTGGTGACGGCCGGTTGACTGCGTTGGTCTCGTCACCCGTATGTACCCAGGGTCGGAGCTGTATATAGATTAGCTTGTCAGTCTATAGATGTAGGCTTGCAGTGCACTAGGATAAGACTTACAGAGAACAAGCGCCCGAGCTGCAAAGGTACGCAGAACCCCAGAGAATCCCCCATAGTAGAGGTGGTACCATCCCACCCATGTTCGAGAAGGATTTCTAAGCCTTGCATGGTTTTTGAGATTAAGCCCAAGACAAAAAATGCAGTACCTTTGAGAGTTAGCACCTGAGATTGCTCTGCTATGTTGACGATCGCTTCGACGATGTTTGCTTCATCCAAAAACGGGGCTCCGAAGGGCATTGATCCAATGTTTCCCACGGCCCATAGGCAACCTTTGACCTTAGTGACGATCTCCAAATCATCATCCTCCAAGCCATGCTTTTGAATAAACCACGCAAATTGATCAAAGTGGCCCTTTTCTCTCAGCAGGATACACCCTTCGCTTGTTCTGGCTAGCTCTCGGTAGAAATGCGGGGGTACTATGCCCATCATGTCTCGGTCTATCGCATTGATATCACCTGGGCGCTTCTTTACAGGCTCTTCATCGGCAAAAGCTCTCGCAAGTGACGCCTCAACAGTCAGAACGTACGAATCATTACGCCCCTGGCTAAATGTCAGTCCATCACCGCCAGTGAAAGAAAAAAGATTCACCAGGAATAACTTACATGAAACCAATCGTCCATTTCCCTGTTGATGTAATCAAGCTCATTTAGGTAATGGTAGCCCACGGATGTCGATAAAAATCTAACAAAATCGTCAACATACATCATCGTCTACATCGAGGGGTAGCTACAAACCTCAATAGTAGCGGTGCACCGATTTCACCCAGGTGATCGAGCTGTGGCCGGCGTTTAACCACATATTCTAGGTTATGTGTCGCATTGCAAGCCTCTTCAAGAATTTTTACCGCAGTTTCACAAACCTCGACATCAGGGTCATAAAGTTGAGTCATAAGAAGTCCTATTGCCCATTCTGCTGTCTCGTTGCTTTGCTGGGTTTGTGAAGGTGTTTTCCCGGCAGATGTGGTTGAAATAAGACTTCGGAGATGGTTAGTGGCAAATAGCCGCGCAGTCTAAAAAGTGTCAGGCAAGCCCCTTTGTGTCAGTCATAAGATGGAGAATATCACCTTTGGACCCGCAGTTAAAACCTTCCCAAGAATGATTCGGGGATGACCCTCCCTAATATATGGAATTAGTATGTTTCGACTAAGGATATAAAGATATATAAATCATCACTGGTTCCATACAGAGTAAAATCCATATTTAAAACAAAGAGTTCCATCAGGTCTGGTCTATCAGGTAAATCGCTGATATGGTAGAACATATTGAACATGCGCCAGCGTTCCATCATTCTGCGAGAAAATTAGCTACGACTATAGATATTGACAGGAGTAACCCACTGAAGACCTTTCGGGTCACTACTTAATGTTCCCAGCATAGCGAAATAACCGCTGCTTAGGGTGTCTGCCAATCTCGAGGTGGAAAAAAGCGGTTCAGGGGAGGTGATTCCGCTCATCTAGTATATATTAATCCCTGCTAATGCAAGTGGGTTGTATTTGGATCTTGTAAACTCACTCGATCCAATTGTGCCAAGCATTCAGCGATCTGCCTTAATATCTTATTTTCACTCAAATATTTGACGCCTTCGGCAGTCTTTAAAAGAGTTTGGAATAGAGCACACCCTATCCTAACATACCGCTGGTTGGGTTTTGTGTTTTTGACATCTGAGAACTTGTATTTGAATGGCCGGTAGAAAGACATCAACCTCTTCATGAATTTAGTTCCCTTAATCGCCTCTTCAAGTCTCTTTGGATTGAGTAATGGGCCTTGAATCATCTCATTTAGGGAATCCCAATTCCACTTAATGTAGCTTTTCGTGTTCAAAACCTGTAGGATTTAGTTAGTCATAAGTCTTAAACCAGTCTGTCAAAGATTCTGTACCCCGCTTTCGACGATTAGTTGTGAAAAGTGCTTTTCATCGATTGTCATATTTATCTTCAATTTTAGTTCTACCTGTCTCTGGCCTCTTTTCTCTTCATCGAGGGAGGTGCGTTGGGCGGTCTGGGTTGCCAAAGAGCGATGCAATGTCCTGTTAAGACTATCGATTTGGTAGACAGCGGAAGAAGCAGCAAACCGACCATCGATGCCGAATTTTGCTGCAGACTGAAAGAGATCGGGAAGAAGCTGTTGATGTGCACTGTAAGTGCTTGGAAGTAGGCGACTGGCTAACTTTAAAACTTCCCCAAGGAGAAGAGTGGTTTTTCGAACTATTGCTGGATCGCTGTTATCCTCTACTAAGGCCATCAAAGCCTAAATTTCTATATTAGCGGCAGGATTTGGTGTGATAGACTCAGGTACTAACTTTTAGTAGACCTGCTTCAAAGAAGACTGCAAGTAGCAGAGCTGTGAAGTGATCAACCAGATTTCCATGATCACTATCTCCTTCTGATCTTGCGGGCTTTGTAGACGCTTCCGATTTGAGATTGGCCACCCTCCCATAGGCTGGTTATTGAGTTAGAAAACGCAATCTTACCATCAGTTCTCTGCAGGATATCTAGGCACTTACTAGTAAGCCGACGACCAGCGAGGAAACTAGAGGACCACGAAGGAGGTTTAATCTTAAAGATATCAAAAAACAACTCGAGTATTGTATCCTTGAAACTGTTAGCAGGTCTCGGGCGGGTCCATAGTTAGTGAAGGGGATATATACTCTAACGCTAGGAGACGGTATGAATAGAGCATCAACCAGAGACCTTGGAGCGCGTAGATTGTACATTGTTAATGCCAGGAGGCCTACAGTTGCGATTAGAACAAAGATATATCTCTCCGACCGGACCTCGGTGTTGTATACCTGGCCATGACTTGAGCATGCAACTGATTACTTTTGCGCTAGACTTCAATTTCTCTTCTGGAACTGGAACTTTTACTGAATGACAATCCGTAAACACCGAAAAAACAACCTTGATACCATGAATATCAGAGCCAAATAAGATTCAGAACATGGTATATGACTAACCTCTATATCGTTCCCTGGTCGTATATATTTTCTCGAAGAAGGCATGTCCAATAAATACAAAAACGCCAATGATATCGTATCTGAAAGTTCGTAAGGTCCATCCGAAAGAACTTGGGTAAGTATTCTAACACCCCCAGCAGCGACAACAAGTGATGGGTCCAAGATCACTGCATGAAAGATTAACAAAGATTTGTGGGGAATTGGAGGAACGAGCTTACAAATTTCGGCCAAGGTTTCCATAGAAATTGCTCGTAGTCTATCATCAGTTTGTTCTGCACATGCAACAATGCCTCGAACAATCCCTCTAGAGATTTCTTTGACCCCCCCAGGGACTTCTATGAATGCACGTACAAACTTTAACGCCTGTTCACGTTCCACATTGGCCCTCGAATCTTTGATTAATGAGCTAGACAAAAGAGTTCAGTATATGGTATTACAACAGCTGATTGCAAAAATTCCGTACCCAATAGTAATATAGTCTGTTCGCAAGCTCCGGATGCTTCTGAGCGAGTGAAGATCAGTAATAGCGTATCTCGTTATACGGTAACCAGCCGCAACTACTTCTTTGGCCTCGTGAAGAAGCATGAACTGAACCCTAAGCCCGAAAGTGGACCACGATAATTCATATTTGAGATTTTGATGCCGTTTGAATAGCATGACCAAGCTATTAGCCTTGTCCACATAATACTCCGGCTTTTTGTCCTTCTCCTCCAAATCCCCCAATAGCTCCGCGAGCGTTATTGTTGGCGATTCACTCCCGGGATCCCACTCCGATGTACCTAACACAGAAATCCCATTTGCCTCGTCCGGCCTTATAGGCGTCCCCTGGAACTTGTTTCCTTCTCGTGGCCTCCGTGGAATATCTTTTGGCTTTGTTATCGCCTCAATCTGGGTTTTGAGTTGTGTAATCTCTTGATTCCTGGCATTGTACTCCTTCTCTGCCTGGTTTCGAGCCTGTTTTGCTTCTTTGATCTTTTTTGAATCCAGAACTTGCAGCAGGTTTTCAGCTCCTTCTTTGTATTTGATAGCTCTGTTAAGTTGATCGGTAAGCTCCTCGACCAATCTCTCCGAAGTTAATGGACTAGTTGAGCTCGGAGTATCGACTATTCCTGAAAGACCACTTGGTGTCGGTACAGTGGTGGTCGCACTCCTTAGACTTGCACTGAAGCTTCCCGGCCCATTCACAGTCGTGCCTCCAACACTCATACCGGCAACGCCGCCGTAACTAGCACTAGGTCTGATGCCATTGGTACGAGGTTGAAGTAAGACTTCTCTATCACCTCCGCTGGCACCTCGAAGCCGGGGTATGGGGGATGCAGTTCCAGATACCGACTTTGGGGATGAAGTGAAGACGTTGGACATGGTTTGCACTCCCATGAAGCACCTGTTCGAATCAGGGTCGGGTCAAGCTTCCGATTGAAGCTTGAACATGGATATACGAGATAACGTGGGAGATGGCGGGAGAATGTATGATGCCCCGGTCTTCCGTGACGGTGGAGAGCAAGTCGCGTCGTGGCAGCCCGAGCTTCCAGAGACGGGGGGAGGTTACTGGGCAGTCACGGAACGACGATGTTCACGGGACAGATGAAACGACGTTCCAAAGCTTGGATACGTCGAAGCTTTTGGTGACGCGGGGTCGATTGTTGGGTAGATTGGAGGGGGGTATGGCCCGGGGGGTGGGGGAGGCTAAGGTTGAGTTGAGGCTGGGAACAGACAACACTGCCCAAAACATGAAAACAACGGTCCCGACAGCCTATCTGACGTGGAAACCTTCAAAACGAAACTGCTCATACCGCTGCACAGGCATCCTCAACTTACACGATAAAGTATCCCGAAGGGTTACAGGTGATTCTTACAATTCTAAACACCACAGCATTGTAAAGGGATTTCAAATTTAAGTCTCTGCATCTGTGGCTGATCCCCGATCCCCAATGTGGCAGAGTGTTTGAATTGACTGCTCGACCCACCTCTTCCCTCGGGGCTTTCCACACCTGCTGGCTCGTAACTGGCCGGCATGGTAGCTACATGTACTAGGGTGTAGCGAAAAGTGATAAGACAAATACACCTATTCACCGTAACATTTCACTTATCAGATTCTGATCACTTACCCTCAACACCCGGTACATACTGTACTGTATTTACTAACGGTTATGCTAAAGAACAAAGTTGATTCACTGTCAATGGCACCAGCTATCGCATATGGCCGGCCGGGACTCGTTCTCTTCTGTAAATTTCCGGGGAGATACAAAGCAGCCCTACACACGTGTGTGTGTGATCATATATGCAGATAAGAAGTATGGAGCCAAGATATCAAGCGTTTTTCCTATGGGCGGAGGATAGCCGACCATACCCTTCGAGATGATACTCTTCTACTAGCGGAGACGGAGGTTTGACATTGCGGGGATCGCCGTACGGCTACCTCCGCTAGATTGGTAGAAATATCGAACGGTTGCCGTACGATGCCCTCTCTAAGGTACAGAAATTCCGAGCCGAGCGTACCGGTCCGCCTCTTGAGAAATATTAGAAGGGGACGAAAAGAGATGCAGCAAAATTTGGAACCAATCAGCGTGCAGCAAAAGGCACCCAACGCCTAGAAACGGAAGTAATTGCACAGCTTATAGCTTAACCGCTATTACTCTTTTCAATGCTCCGTGTAGGGAATCACCGCTGATCATTGTCCCTGAAAAGCCCAAGATAATGGTATGCTAGTCTAATAACAGGTTGGGGGCTGGAACAGGGCTACGGTACTGTATGGATACTTCCTTTAGTACAATGAAGAGCTCTGATAAGCTATATAACACCCCAGATTCCCGCAACTCTGGGCCGTCTTCTTGGGAAAACAGCACTTAGAAGCTGTCAAACACACATCCTAAAGCTCTACAAACTTCTACACCCCATATAATCCTCCAATAACTTTAGTAATGGCATCACAAGTCTCTGCAGCTCGCTATGGAAAGGTACCGTGACCAATGCCATTTCGAACGCGTGAGTGTACTTGCTGACTTTGAGCCCAGGACAATATTCGGCTATACAAAGTGCACCGGGATGAGGCTACGAAGACTCACACTGTCACAGAGATGACAGTTTGTGTCTTGCTTGAGGGTGATATCCAGCCATCGTATGTTCCCTTGGGTTTACTTCAAAACGAGTAACGTCAGCTAAATGAGTATTGTAGATACACACACGCAGATAACAGTGTTGTGGTCGCAACCGACACAATGAAGAACACTGTTTATGGTGAGTAGAGAGCTTTTTCTGGTGATGTTCCAGCTCGCTAATTCAGGGGTACAGTTCTTGCAAAACAAAATCCGGTCACGCCACCGGAACTCTTTGGTTCCATCGTGGCCTCACACTTCCCAGCAAAATATCCCCATATCCACGCCGCCCATGTCAAGATCGTTACCCATCGATGGACACGTATGAACATTGATGGGAAACCACATCCTCATTCTTTCCTCCGTGATGGCACGGAAACTAGGAACGTAGATGTGACATGCAGAAGAGAAACTGGTATTACCATCAGATCTGGACTTCAGGGGCTTTTGGTGTTGAAGAGTACTGGTTCCGCATTTCACGGCTTCATACGAGATGAATATACAACTTTGGGCGAAACCCGGGATCGGATATTAAGCACTGAGGTTGATTCAACCTGGGAATGGAATTTGTTCAAGACCCTCGATGACGTCAGGAAGCTCATCCCTAACTTCGATGTCGCGTGGCAGAAAGCCCGAGACATCACTTTGAAGACCTTTGCGGAGGACAACAGTGCTAGCGTTCAAGCTACCATGTACAAAATGGCAGATCAAATCCTTGCTGCAGTTCCACAAGTAAATCATGTGGACTATTCGCTCCCAAACAAGCATTATTTTGAGATCAGTAAGTCCACCAATAAGGCCACTCCAAGTATGGCAGCAAGCATATCAAAAACTAGGTGTTACAAAGCCTTGTTTTTGGTTGTAAATCACATGTTGCCTATTTTGGGTTGCGCAAGGCTGACGAATAACACACAGATCTCGAATGGTTCAACGGACTGAAGAATACAGGAAAAGACGCTGAGGTTTATGCTCCACAATCCAACCCCAATGGGCTCATTAAATGCACCGTTTCAAGACCTGGGGCCTCGAAGGTCCTCTCCAAACTTTAGATATATCTCTCATAAGTGTATTTCTATTCAGGTATTGTGGTAAACATTGTGTTTATATTTATGTTTCATCCTAATACCGAAACAGTTTTGAGTGTATCAGGTATTAGTATTCAGGGAGAATAATGTCATGAATTTATGTACTGTTTTTTTTTATACATATATATCTAAGTTAGGGTGTTGGTCTGTTTCATGAATTAGCGGAAGTCTTTAATTTATATATATACAACCTCTATTTAACAAGAACTTTATAGAGTCGCTGGTGTTGCTGTCTCTGGCTGTGACAAGTTTTTAATAGCATCCGTAACTGGTGTCTTGGACTTAGAGGCATGCCCAGGATGTGAAGGGTCAAGAAACTTCACCAAATTCTTCTTGTACGGGTGACCAAATCCGTCAAAAGCTGTCCAAAGGTTTGTATTAGTGAGTAAAACATCAGTGCCCGCGTATAGCAGGAAATCAGAAAAATAGGGAGAGAAGATTAGCAACCTACCCTTTAGCCTCTCTAACCTTACGCTCCTCAACCGATTCTTTGGCAACATTCCCGAAACGGCCCTTCGCAGCACCTCAGCACCACCATACTTTGCGATCATTCTGTCCATGCTGATCTCCTTCAAGGAACCAGGTCTGGTCGAATGAGAATAGTATTTCTTCAGGTTACGTTTGTCACCGGTGGTCTTGAGGTATGCACACCCTGTCGCTACAACATAGTCCCCGCAATCCGCTGCAAATCCCCCGCATATGCGTCAGAACAAGTTGCATTCCTGTCCGAGGGATTGAGGGAAACTGACTACTCGGGTCGTAAATAGGCTTATGTTTGCCCATCAAGGTAATTGCAATCTGTGTTGCGATACGTCCAAAGGCCCGCTGGTCGTGGCCCATATCGACGTGGTGCCATGTGCGGCTGTAAGCCAGGGAAGTCTGGCTCAGTCAATTTCTATATAATTATAATCTTAGGAAAAGAGGGAGGAGGAGGAGGAGGATACACACCCTACCAACATTGGCTGACATTGTGGATGAGGTTTGTCGTGCTGTCGAGGAGGTCTTGGAGGTAGGTTGAACGTTGAAGATTTGGCAAGTTGCCTAGAACGATTTGCGATTCTAAACCGGACCGGGAAGTTCCAGTGTTTTTATGGGTCAACGGCGAATAACTAAACCAGCCAAGATCATCTGAACACAGGTAGAATGGTGCGGCTTTTTCTACTTTCCTAAGGACACATAATCCCACAATTAGAAGAACACTCTTTTTGACATTCGCAAATATCTACACTTGTAAATACTAAATAGGCCAGTTCAATTAGTACATACATGTATGTATTCGCCATTGAACTAGATTCGCCATCGGCCCAGAAAGGACTATCATAGTCTATGTATTACCAAGCAATTGCGCGAACATTCCCAAAAGTAATACTCAACACCCCACTTGACTGCCCCTCACTAAAATATTATCTGTCGTCTTGCCGATATATAGACTCTGTGTTGACTTCTTCCTATACTTTATGTTTACTCGGTGACTGTTCTAAAACCTCAGCCATGATTCACCCGTTCAAGGTCCAAATTCCCTTTCTACTCATATTGATAAACTCGATAAGCTGATAAAAAGGTGTGAATTTACAGACCCTTTTCGCAGTTCCATTAGAATGCGATTCATGCATTAATGATGTTACGAAATCACTCCAAAGGCTTCCTGGTAATTTCTTGACCCTGATTCCTTTCTCTCGGCCAAGCAGCGACTTATTCGGTCTACAAAAGGCATCTTAAATGTGGATGCGGATCTTGTGAAGCAATTAGTTTCGGTCGAAGGGACGGGTATGGGGCGCCAGTCTCTGTTGTTTCTATCTACCATCGCGGAAGAAAATTCTAATCTCCCTTAAGCGGCACCATCAGCAATAGTATCAGCAATTCAGAGCACCGGAAGAGATGCAATCCTGCGCGGTAGCGGGAATCCTAATAGTATGCCATTCACTCTTCACCAGATATACTCACCATTATGTACGAACAGGCTGTAATTGACTTGGACCCAGGCGCCGCCGTAGCTATCCTAGAAACATATACCCCAGGCATCGCAGATCCTGTCCGCGGTCTTGTACGTATGGTTCAAGTTTCAGCAAAGCTTACAATCCTCGATCTCACTATTCGTGGGCTATCACCGGGGACCTACCATGCTACAGTCAGGGCTACCGGAGATATCTCACAAGGAGCAGCCTCAGCAGGCGGTATCTGGGAAGATGAAGAAGTCAAAGATAACGAGCCGTCGCGAGGCCGACTCGGAACTGTGGAAGTTGGTTTAACTGGTGTCGGCACTGTGCTACTGGATAAGCCAGTAGAAGTGTGGGAGATTATAGGAAGGAGTATTGTGGTCTCTAGGTATAAGGAGGAAGGGAAGTTTACCAAGAACGACCCAGACACCATCGTTGGCGTAATCGCAAGGAGTGCCGGTGTGTGGGAGAATGAGAAGACGGTACGTATTAGTTTTCTATACTCCACGCATAAAGATCCCCTCATTATAGTTACAAAGTCCTGCCCATGTGTGGATACCAGGAACTGGATGGCCATGTTTTGGATGGATTGGAGGTATTTAAGAATGGTTGAGGTTGTGCATCCATCGCTAATGAGGCTATATAGGTTTGCTCTTGTTCAGGGAAAAATATTTGGGATGAAAGAAAAGAAAATGTTGGCCGAGGAATGGTCTGATGGGCCAGGCCTAATAGATTACGGTCTAGTTCAGGTGACGGTCCAAACTCTTGAGGTTTGTCACTATATCTTAAGAGGAGGTTCGGTCTCGCCTATACAGAGACAGGTATACCCGTTATGTAGATATTACTACATGTATCAATGGATTTTCGGCTCCTTCATCAGAATAGTACCAACCCAATCGCCCAACACAGTCCTAATTGTTCATACTTTGGCACGGTCATTGCATTCCAGAACTGTGCCGCTAAGGTCCTGTCTGTATCTATCTGTAACGTGTTTCACTGGGAACGCAGTCGTCACCGGGAAAGCAATCAAGCATGCCATGAACAGGATCGCGAATTGCTGTGAAAATTCAAACTCACCCAGAGTTACAGAATTAAATACACTAAAGTCATTTTGAGATATCTTTCGAATATTTCTGACGATCATTACTAATAAATTGCGAGTATATAGCTGTGGGAGGGCCATCAAGGCTTGATGACCACCCGATGACCCTCCCATAGCTATATACTTGATATGATCATAAGAAATAGTCAAAAACACCAAAAAAACTTTACGATACATGTATGGCTTCATTTGTATTGCTTTGGTGCTCATAATGCCCTCTTGTGAGGATGATCGCTTTCCCGGTGAAACACGTTAAATCCCACTGTAGACTTGAAGTTAAAACTTCCGGAAGAGACGAACGGCCAATGAAAATACATACATGTACATGTATGCAAAAGTGGACGAGATACATGTAGGTAAGCCTTTCATTGTTGTATCGGCCCAGCTTTCAGTGCTCCTTTCAATGAGTATGATTGCAAGCCCAATTGTTATTTGCCTCAATATATACAGTGCGCTAGGTACTTATATGCACTGCTAGTCTACTTGATATATTTTTTTCCATTCTGGCCTGGCCTGGCCTGGCCTGGGTGATGGTATTTAGACAGAAGCTGATATTTACCTTAAGCTATTTACCTTAAGCTATTTACCTTAAGCTATTTACCTTAAGCTATTTACCTTAAGCTATTTACCTTAAGCTATTTACCTTAAGCGCCTTCTTATTGATGAGTGCTTTGCTTGGCAAGCGTTCTGCGGAGAAACAATTTGCAATCATGGTGTCTTAGGCGCAGGCTGCATGGGATGCAATTAAGCGATACATGGGGGTGGCGGGAGCATGCGCGCAATGCGTAATAGTCTACATACATACATAGAAAGGTGAACGGTTTCTGTGTGGCCCGTGCAAGATTCAGGCAACCGACACACCAATTCCCCCACAACTGCATGAAATTGTACAATTGACGATACCTTCCTACATGCGCTTTTCCTGGTACCAGAGTATTCGTCCGCCCTGTACCCCGCTCGTCTGATAGACTGAAGGCGCTCTCGTTATAGTGGGACTCTGTATCTGCGCACTACCTAACAAGTACGCACAACCTCTGTCATCACCACAGCTTCACTCACTATCACTATCGGTTGTGCAATTGTCTCTTCCCAAGAGCCCGACGGGTGCTGCACTGCTTCCTATATTTCCCATCGGATTCCGCCCCCCTCATAATTCTCTAGTTTCATCTTCCTCAACCTGGCGCTTTCCATTGGCGCCTCCTTTACAATCCATATCAGTCATAATCATCGTAATCATCTCCATCTCAACGCCCCCCCTCCCGCATTATATACATCAATTTAATCCCAAGCGCGCTCCTCTTACACTTACTTACTCAATTCCACGCCTGTTTGGCTCTCTTCGTCAAGCCACCCCCTACCATTTGAAAACAACTTCTGTTTTTTGTCTTTTTTGTTCCACTGACCATCAATAACCCGACACTCTTACGATCATTTGGCTAGTCCGGCAAATTAAGTACAACAATAAAGGGACCCAAATTTCGTCACTATGTCTGAGGCGGAGGAGCTCGAGTATGAGCAACAGAAGTTTGAGCGGAGCAATGGTTCTATGCTGTGTCGCAGGCAGTTGATTTTTGGTAAGGATACCTTGCCCAACTTCTTCTGCATCCCATCTTTCATTGCACTGCCTCGGCGCCATGCTACATATATAAACTAATAACCCACAGCAAAATGCTCCGCCGAAGGTTGCCCCTGGAAGCACGATATTAAGCCCGGCGACGTGAGGCCGTTGTGCAGAGATCATTTCTTGAGGAAAGGTATTGAGCGCAAATGATGTTCCCTTGGAATGTAACCTGAGTACACAAGGATGACTAAAACGAATCTTAGACTACTGCTCTCGGGGGGATATTGCCCATTGAGCCACGTATCATCAGGCGTTCAATTACCGCCCAGCTTTTTGAAGGAGGTCCAAGTGGCTGAATCAAGGCCTACTTTAAGCCAGGTGCCGAGAGCTGCTTCAGGCGCCGATAATGATAGTTTTGGCCGGCAGCATGCCTCGAAACAGCAACGAGATGCTGTCATGGCCGTACTTCCAAAAGTGGGAGTTGACAACCGAAGTACTGGCAAGGCTAAGATTGTAATAGAGGCACAGAGTTCTGTGATGAATGGCGGTGTATCATTGACTAACCAGGCGGATTTATCGCAAGCCGAGAGGTCAATGGACTACAATGCCCCCCCTAGATATGTTATTGATTCAATCATCACATTTGGAAGACCAGACAACGGCTCTACTGCAAGTTCTATCTTTAAATCTCCTTCAGGCGGGAATTTCTACAATGGACAGGCGAACTATGATAATGAGCCACGGGGAGGATCTGCGCCGGCTATGAACCATATCCAACCGCCTAGGGACAGTTCCATTAGCCATAGACCGGAATCTAGCCGCTCATCATACAATCCTAGCCTTAGCAGGCACGCATCATATCAAGGGATGGCAAGGGAGGTATCCCGCCCGTCCGTATACCAAAATGACGTCATGAACGAACAACGAGTGATGAATTATGATCAGCCACCACCGCCGCCACCACCACCACCACCGCCGCCGCCACCGCCGCCGCCGCCGCCGCCAATGCGGGCACATTTTTACCCCCAGAGACAAAACCACCACAGAAGCGAACAAAATAGTTCATTTCATAGTAATGATAATAGGTTTCAGGAATATTCGAATGGGGGGATATACCAAGATCGCTTTCTCCCGAGCCATGCTCCTCTACCCCACGCGAATAGCACTGGAGGTGGTCAGCAAAGCTTTAGGTCAATCGGTCAAAGTAACACAAAACCGGGGCCGATCAGCGGTGATTTTTCTGTTAGTGCCTCTCAAACGGACCCTACCCCCCCGAATAGAAAACCAAAACCGGCAATTAATATCCAGAATGAGATACTCCAGGTTATGAGGAATACAGGTGGAAATATCCCAGCTCCGCGCGATGTGATGTTACAAAAAAGGATGCTTGGAGAAAGAGGACCCCCCCGCACCCCGGGCAGACCTAGCCTTCCCAATGGTCAATGGTCCAATCAAGCACTAGCAGGTAATCTCGGTACTTTGCAGAGTCAAGGTCCCCTGGCAGGGGAGATAGCAATTCCTCGAACATTTAATGGCAATCAACCTCGGGTACCCGCGGGTCCTAGGATGGATTTTCGGCAAGAAAATAGTAGCTATCATTACCCCACGGGTTCAGTTGATCGGTTCGAAAATGGGCCCTCAAACACTGGAGGTTATACCAACGGTAACAATCGAGGATATACCAACGGCAACAATCGAGGATATACCAACGGCAACACCGGCTCAGGGTACACCAATGGTAATAATAGAGGGTACATCAATGGTAACAATGGATACACCAATGACAACAAGGGATACATTAATGGTAACAATGGATACACTAATGGTAACAATGGATACACCAACGGTAGAGGTATTACAGCTCGCCAGCAGTGTGCAACTCCCTCAGATAGATTTTCCGGATCTTTTAGGACTGACTCAAGCGCACATGGCTCTGCGGGTTCGCTCGTTGACCGTGATTTTCAACCAGGATACTCAATATCTGGAAATAAACCCGTGAATAGTCGCAGTCCAGGAAGTGATGTACCCAACTTCAGGCCAGGAAGACCCTTTCAGACTGGATCCGATTCCTTGGAGCATTCATTAGTCGATGGTGATAACCACGCGTCAGAAAATACAGCGAGAATAAGCCCCCAAGGCCACAGCTGGACTTCTGATCTGGATAAAAGAGGTGAGATAAATCATCAAATTGAGAGCAGAAATGGGTTACAGGATAGAAAATCCTTTCGTCCAACTGCCAATGGCAATACAACGGTAGCTCTAGCAATTTACACTCCACCAAACATCAGAATTGAAAACAATCATCCGACAAATAATAAGTATCAGCCACAACATCATCATATTGGCAGCTATAATAGCAGGCTTGTGTCAGGGCTACATACAAATCAGAGCCTGATTTCCAAGATATCTCAACCAAAAAGCGACCCTGATGACCATCAACCGGGCCTATTTCGTTATGCAACTGGGGGTTCAGACTCGGACTCTGAAGGTTCGGACAGGCCGTACACGCCTGAGCTGTCCCAACAAGCGGACCTCCCTATTAGGCATTCGCCCGAACCCGGTGTCGACCGCAGTGCACTGAGATTATATTATGAGAATGAAAGGGAAACTAAAAAGAAAACAAATCCGAATCCCTGGCCTGGTAATTATCCATACGATATATATATACTGAGCATTGATCATTGATATGATTTGCAGATATTTTGTCGGGGAAAAATGAATCGTCAGAAAAAAAGGCCTCTGCAGAGAAGAAGGCCCCCCAAAGAATCACGCCGCGAGCACTGATACAGTGCTTGATGACGCGAAGGTTTCACCACCAGAGAGTATAACGAATAAACAGCGCACACGGAGCGAGGATCCTATTCTGGCCGCCAATTTACAAAAACCCGGCCAGTTTACCAAGGAAGAAAAATTGGGCGAGAAAGGTTTCAACCCAATACCACCGCCACTGCTAACACCAGTATCATCACTAACGCTAACGCCATCTTTACCAGCACCAGCACCGCCTACGCCATCTATACCAGTGCCAGCACCGTCGACACCGTCTCTGCCAGCGCCAGCACCACCGACACCATCTTTGCCAGCACCGGCACCACCGGCACCACCAACACCATCTACAACAAGACCGGCGCCACCGACGCAGTCTCTGCCAGCGCCAGCACCGCCGACACCATCTTTGCCAGCACCGGCACCACCGGCACCACCAACGCCATCTACAACAAGACCGGCGCCACCGACGCAGTCTCGGTCAGCACCGATATTACCTCCACCTGCATCTCTTTTGTCGTCTCCACGGCCTGTCACGGGCCCTGCTCCTAAATCAAACCCCAAGTGCAAAAATCGAAACGTAAAGGCGAAGTCTTCCGCCTCTGCAACTGTTCCTGAAAGTGCCTCTGACCCTATCCGTGCCTCCGTTCCTGCTCGCATTTCTAATTCGGCCCGTATTCTGGACAATGTTCCTATCCCTTCACCCAAATGGGTAGAACAAAACGCAAAGGTGACCCCGCCCCCCCATCCTCGAGTAGAAAAAGAAAACCCCAAGGGCGAGTCTTCTACAACTCCCCAGAAAAAGACTTGCTGGCTTTGTGGGGGTAATCATGGGGGTCCTTGTCAAGCAAGTGGTCTTGCAAGTTCAAAAACCAGGAGAAATCAGGCCAATGATGACGACGTTGGTACATGGGATTTTCAAGGGATCAACAAACAATGGTCCGATGATGAAGCTATCGAGAAACAGGCAGCTAGAAAAACTGGGAAGAAAAATAAATCTCGGAATAGAAAAGCCCATGCAGCCAGAGATTTGCCAGATCAGGATGATAATGGAGGCGTACCTCTTGGTAAATTCATGGGAACCGAAGCTGTCCAGTCTATAAAGTTGGCTCCAAAAAAGAGGGAAAGAAAGAAAAACCCCAAGGAAGGAGTCTCTTTGAATGGAAACGTTGAAAGAGCAGAGTCGGTACCCGAAGAGCTCTTCGAAGCACCGAAATTCGATGGACCAAAATCAATAATGGTTAGAGCTGACAGGAGCCATATTGGACGTTACTCTGATGGAGCAATCACCGGTATTAGAAAATTATCCGAAGATGTTTTGACGACGATTTTCAGCTATCTCGCCGATGGCCTCATGCCGGAGGAGCAAATGGAAACGAAAAATGTCCACATTGGAAATAGCTTCAAATTTGATACTAGCTTTACCACAACAAGGTATCGACGTTTGAGGGCAGTCCTCCGTTCCTGCCACTATTGGCGTCATCTGGGCCAACAGATTGTCTGTAAGTATGTCAATCTGAACAAGCTTCCTAGTTTTGAGCGGTTTGTCCGAACAATCAGCGAAGACGAGGAATTGGGTAACATGGTCCGCGCCATCAAAGTAAACATACATGGTGGAGCATCATATATGGCCCATGACAGACGTCCCCCAAAGCAGTTAGCGGTGATGCCAAAAGTTAGTGATTTGGCACAACTATTTACCAGGATGATGCAGAGTTGCCCCCAACTTCAAGTATTATCGGTGAACATGCATGGTGCTATCATGGGATTTAACCTGGTTTTCGAGAAATTTCCAATGATGAGAGAAATTCAAATTAAGGATGACAGGAGCAAGGGCATCGTGGCCCAAAATATTTGGACCAATTTGTCCAGAAACTATCCAAACCTAGAGAACTTCAGGATTTTTCATTGTCAGGAGAATGCTGCAACAAACTTCGATAACCTCAAAATTCCGCCAAAGCTCTTCCAGTTAAAAGGTGGCAACGAAATCATTTTAAAGGCGCTTACGATGGAGCGATGTCCGGAAATTTCTGATAGGAGTCTGGCAGCTCTTTGCCCGAAGCTTCAAAACTTGACAACCCTTGTGATTGTGGATTGCAAGTTAGTTACTTCTGGAGGTAGTCTTTCGGGTTTCAAAATATATTCATGATTGTATATCATTGACGGTTTGATAGGGCTTGCGCGTGCAATCGAAAAGTTGCCTGACCCAGGTCGGATCACTCGTCTTATTTACTTTGTTTGGGTTGATCCTTTTGGTAATTCCACGGCAGATGAAATGTCACATACGAGATCGCATCTCTGTAGTACAATTCGTAAATGCTGTACTAACGTTTCATATCTCTGCTGGAAACCTTATCGTATCTGTGGGGACTTCTGGAAAGACTCCAATTTCCATTCATTAGAGCGTTGCCGTATCGAACCTATGTCGTTCCGGGATTGCGATGAGGATGTAAATGATCATTCTAAGTTCACGGAGGCATATCAACAGGCACGAGATCAGGAGAGACTCCCGAAGCTAAAAGAAGATCGAGTCTTCTTTGACTTTTGTATATTCCTATCAATCCTCTAAGGAAAAGGCCTGAGACTGATTATGATTAGATTTTTAAGTCACCTCTCTGTATCAATGCCCACAACGACTATACAGAAATTGCGAGGGTGGGCCATAAAAAGATAAAATGATTCTTTACTGTGTAGTCGCTACTAGATCTGAAGGACATGAGTATGGAAAATTTCTTTAGTATCTTTCACTATCCGAGTATACAGGGTTGGGGGTTGGCGAGGCTTTCAATTTTAATAGAAGGGTCTACATGCGAAATTTTCATTCCTTTCCTTCTTTTCTTTTTTCTTCTTTTTCTTGAGATTCCTCTCCTCTGACATTGAATTTCCTGTATGGACAAAAGCTGCAGGCATTGCGTTGTATTTACACGGGGACATTTTTCGGTCTGTAGAATTTGATAGAAAAACGGATGATTAGCCGTTAATGACGAGTCCAACTTCCAGAAAGGCTTATATCTGATGGCGATCCATCGTTGGGTAGGCCGTCCCAGTTTATCTATCAATCATCACCATGTGCACACCATTGGTGATGGATGATATCTAGACATGAGATGTTGCAGGAGCCTAATGGCCGTTATTCGTGTCTGGAAGGTTTTACATAGTGGCCAGGTAAACAGATAGGTGCCGACTAGCCCAGCTTATCAGCTCGATTGACCGCGGAGTCGACGTCGTCGTCGTACCTGGGCCAACGTGTTATGAAACTACTCATGCAGGCACTGATTCTTGGTTGTCGGTAGCCAGTAAAACGTTCCTTTTTCCTATTTGCTCGTTTAGTGGAGTCTGAGGTCCCAAGGGCATTCCGTGGTGCAGAACCCAATGGCGGTGGCTGCCAGCCAAGTGCAGCGCAGCAAACCAGGGATTGCGTCGAGCGATGTGGTAATGGTGGTGGAGGTGGTGGCATTGAAACGGATTAGAGACAATCCCGTTTAGCACTTTGCCTCTCTCCTTCCCGTTGTTTGTGGCATTGAAACGAATGTCGGTACATCTATTGCTGCAGTTGGAATTCTGAAGGATATGCTACGAGTCGTGAGGTTGAGGTATCGAATATTATGTACCCAGAGACAAGCTTGCGTACCACAGCCGTGTTTTAAATCTATTATTTAGCGATTAGCCCTAGGGCTACAAAAGCTAGATGCAGACCCTGGGTAAAAAAGAAACATCAGCAGGGTCCCCTAGCTTAGCTCGAACAAGCATTTCGCCTGAGAACAGCGCTACCCCGGAAGAGGCAAGAACTGTTTCGGCTGGTCCACACACCCTCTCAGGGCCCCAGGCCACCCAAAAGCCAAAATGGACCGCAACCGACAAAACAACGAAGGACTCAGCCCCCCCTACTTGTTTTGTGCACATGGAAGCGCCCCTACATGTGCTACAGACACACACATACATTTCTACACTCACTCAGCTGGGGAATATCAGCTGGGAATAGGATGTATGTATGTATGTAGTAGCTAGGTAGGTACATGTATCTGGAGTATGGGTATGGAATTCATGTACGGACGTAATATTCCGAATATCAATTGCCTACATGTATCTTCCGGCCTGGACTTTGTCAGAGGTATCCCCCCCAGTGTCTACGTAGCTACATGTAGGCATATGCCATGTGATTTATGACATTCTTCAGGGCAACAATACATACCGAATTCATCATCATCATCATCATCACGGCCAATACATATATCTACAACTAGAGTACGTACCTCAAAATATGTACTCTATTGCTACAGCACATCTCGCAGGGCAGCAGGAACAGCAGCAGACAGCGCGACATCCCGTTCGCTTCTCCCGTCAAAAAAAGGAAACCGACCTAGCTGAAACGGAGAAGCCATTCAAGCCCAAAATTTCTTTTTTTGGCAAATCAGTCGTGGGGGCTGGGATAGGCTTTACCAGTGCTGCGGCGCGCTGCCCCGTGCTGACTATGTTTAGGGCACACTGCCAGAGCCAGAGCCAGTGTAGGGAGCGTAGAGTAAAATGTAGAACAATGTCTCAGCCAGTGGGGGAATTTAGAGAGATGGTGGTAGCTTATTGGAGGATATTATGAATCCAGCCGAATCTTACTACAGTATGCATACTTTACCTACACCTTGGGCGAACTTTTTTGCCTTATCCCTCCACCCTCCCCCCCCCTACCGGTACAAGTTCAAGTGAATCCGCACTTTTTTTTTTGTTTCTGGCATTTTTGCTCCCCTTCTCTTGCTCGTACATCCAGCTAGCTGCCCAGTCCCTCTCTTCGCCGTGAGAGTGCAGGTGGTGTGTCCAACAACAGCAACCAAGCATATTTCGACATTCTTTAATATTCACTACCTACTGCCACTACTTCTACTTCAGGTTTTAAATACCCCCGGTAAGCGCGAGTCGACAAACACCGGCAGAAATTAAAAAAAAATATATAATCGAAATCCATACATAAAATGGTTTCTTTCAGGTCCACGATAAAGGCTCTTTCGTCAGTACTGGCACTTGGTGTGTACCACCCACCAACTTTTTGATCTCCCTCCCAAATAAAGAACAAGGCAACTTATAGATACATTTCTTTCAAATAAATATAGCCGCTGTGAGCAATGCCCAAATATCAACATTTATAAACCGATCAGCCACCGGCTACTCGGCGAGTTTCAATGTCCCCGCGTCCGGCAATGACACATTCATCCAACTCAACGGACCCGCATCCGCTGGCTGGGTTGGGACGGGAATTGGCACGGGGATGAAGGGCGCATTGATGTTTGTCATCTACTCGGACGGCAATGGAGGAGTTACGGCTTCGGCGCGACTTGGACTGTACGGAATGAATTTCCTATTTTTTTTTTGACGGGGGAGGGGAGAGAGGAACGACGTCGATCTGATATGGTGAAATTTATAGTGGCGAATTCGAGCCCGAGTTTGAGGAATCGATCTTGTATGAGCTGCTGGAGGGGAGCGGTGTTGCAGACGGTATCATGACCGCCAATATCAGATGTAAATCTCAACCCGACCCAGCTTTCGCCCTCTGAGCAGCTTCTAACCACAGCATTGTAGGCTCCAACTGTCGGGAATGGAATGGTGGATCACTCGATGTCAACAGCACCGCTCAGAACTTGCTATGGTCCGTCGGAAACAACGAACAAATCGCAACTACAGATAAATCTGCGACAATCCACCAGCACAGGCTATATGGTTTCTACACTCTCAACATGGTCGCGGCGACCGGTGGGAACGATACGAACCCGTTTACGAGCAACGACTCGGTAGTGTCGACTGGGAGCTCGATCGCGGCGCCGAGGACAAAGGCGGATAGGGTATTGATTGCACATGGTATGGTATTGAGCCTTGCGGCGTTTACTTTTTGTCATTTTATGTAGCGTGAAAAATCACAACCCCAGGCGACAGCAAAAAGGACAAGAAGCAGCGATCCGATTATATATATTACACTCTTTTGACATACCCTTGCGGGTTCCGATTCATATATATATATATATATATATCCCCTGATACACAAATACCCCGGCGGAAACACTGCAGGGCAGCCGTCAAACAGCTACGCCGCATTGGAAATACTTGTTTCTTGTCACGTCTGTTTTATTGCTGCTGCATGCCTGGGGCATGATGCGCCCTGTATAACTTTATTTTTCTTCTTTTATTCGTTCTTAGCTATATTCTTTTGCGTTGTGCATGCATGCAGAGAGAGACAGATAGATTCTTATATTGTGCTGGTGCTGCTTCTTAGGTGTCATAATGGGTGTCACATTCGTGCTACTCTTCCCGTTCGGTGCGGCGCTCATCCGGCTGCTGAACAATCGGGTCCCGAACGCCCTGGCGCTGCATCGCGGTGTACAGATCTTCAATATGATACTGGTATTCATCGGCATGATCATGGGTGTGTGGAGGAGCAGTATGACTGGAACGGTAGGTCTCCCTGTGAGCCTAATATATACCATTATCATTACCCCTAGATGCTTCCCGAACCTCCAATTATCCTTGGTCCAATTGATATCAAAGATCATATACCTTCTCTTCTAATCCCAATTTCCCCTACCCACCTTCCTATTCCGCATATATCATTTAACCTTCTACTCATACATTTACCCAACCAGCCACAATTGGAAAAAGTGTATTTCTTTGCAAGTAACTAATCGCAAAATAGCAATGGCGCTCCTACCACCAAGTGATGGGCATCATCATTGTGTGCCTGCTGCCGCTGCAGGCCGTACTCGGCCAGATGCACCACCGCCAGTTCCTCATCACGGGCATGCGCTCCACCTGGTCGTACGCGCACATCTGGTTCGGCCGCATCGTCATCATCCTCGGCATCGTCAACGGCGGCATCGGGCTGGGCCCCGAGCTGGCGAACGCGAGTAGGGGATGGGTCATCACGTATTTGGTGGTTGTGGCGATCATGGCGGCGCTGTATGCGCTGTTTTACCTGCTCAAGGAGCGGTCGAGAGAGGTAAGGAGACAGAAGTCTATTCCGTTGAAAGAAGTCATGTAATGCAATGAAGTGAACGAATGTTTTGGGGAATGTATGCCTGCCCGTCCACATTTTGTGGTTCTGGGGGAAAGCATGTTAATAGTGAGAGAGGGCGATTTAATGAGTGTTTTATTGATTATCATTCACTTCTTTTTATTTTTTATTTCTTTTTACGCTACTTCCCTTTGGTTTATACATTGTTAGAAAGAATTACACCTGGCTTACATGACGGCGGGGGGGTGTGGTTGGGCCCATTTGTAGAATAGCAAAAACGAGTATTCTCCAGCGTACGCGGTCAGCAATAGCCATAACCACAACCCTCCCCAGAAGGAGTGGAACTAATCTAATCTAAACGGAGGACCAATTGGAGGGGAGCTGTTTATGTTGACGGTTTTGGTGTTTACGTGGGGTTTTGGGGGGAGTTTTCATTCATTTTTATGCCCTTTTGTTTTACCTTTTTTTTCTCTCTTCATCTTATCCGAGGCATGTACTTTTCACGAAGGCGTTTTCTTCTTTTATTCTTTGTCACGTTAGCATAATTACGACTCTGGTCCCTACGCCCATTCATTCACTGTCACTGGTCTCTGTAACGCGAGAAAAAAAGGTATTCGATTCCACATCCAAAAAAACATGCAAGAACGGTCATCGCCCTTTCCCCTCCCCAACTCTCCACTATGAAGCACTCGCAGCAGTAGTAGTTGCAGAAGTGCCGGCTTCTTCTACAGACTTCATCCTCTGCAGGATAGTCTTGATCATCTCGTTACCCAGCTTTGTGGCCTCGGGGAAGCGGGGGGCAAAGTATTCCTGTGGCTTCTCAAAGCGGAGCCGGTAGGAATTGAAGTCGCCGAAGGAGACGGCGTCGCTCCAGCCCTGTGGTTTTGTTAGCGGGGAGTGCTGATGGGGGTGGGATGGTGGGTTGGTGTCTAGCAGGTGTGATAGGGCGGTAGATAATAGTATATTAGGGGAGTGATATAAAATGATATATACGTGGGGCGGGGTGGGCAAGGCAGGAAGACAAAGAACAAAAGACCCGGGTGAAACATACCCGCGCGGCAAACGTAAACTCCAGATCGTCGGAGCGGAAGGAATCGTCGTCAAGCGCAAAGCGGATGCAGTCGTCCAGCAGATCGGGCTGGCGGAAGAGATACTCGGTTGCACCCAGCCACAGCCGGAACAGCTACAGCCATACACGCCGCACGTCAGCCAATCCCGTTACATCAATCATTACCCCCGCCGATAAGATTACGCCGGTTCCCCACTACACGACATAATACAAGAAGCAAGCCAAGTACGGCTATCACGGCTCTCCCCACTCCTCTCTTTCACAAACACAAACACAGTAAGACGCAGTGAAAAGAAAATAAAAGGGCGCACATACAGGTGTGGAGCATATCATGTGATCATAGGGCACAATATTGCACTTCCACCAACAATCGACCATTCCCAGTAGCGACAGATGGCTATTCGGCTTCCTCTCGGCTTTCGGCACCCCGCTGAGCGAGAACTGGTCGAGGATGTCGTCGCGCAGCAGCAGCTTGTCCCGCTGCTTCCCGAAGACGAACTCGCCGGCCGTGCGAATGCGCGTCTCGAACTCTTGCCGCTTGCCCTCAAGGATGAGCTTGAACAACTCGGTGACGGAGGTGGCATATTGGCGGATCTGTTGTTGGGCCGCCGGATTGAGGATTGCGAGGCCTGTGATACTATTAGTAGTAGTGAGAGGACGGGGGTTAGGGAAGGGAACGGACCGGCATAGACGTGCCATTTGTTGCTGTAGATGCGCAGTGTGATGTTAATCTTGATGTTCTCGATGCCGCTACGCCATTTCGTGACTTCCCAGGGGAACTGGTTGTTTGCGTGCCAGGCCGTGCCCATGCTATCATTGACACACCGATCCATCCATCAGTATGTAACATTGCAAGTATTCGGAATTCAGAATTTGCAACCTCAAAAATGCCGCATGTGTCACGGCTTGCGTGTCGGCGGTAATGCGATCGTGCTCCTCTGCGGTCAAATAGACAAACTTTGACCGGAAGCACGACAGGATCTGCTCAACCAGCGCAAAGCTCGCATCAGACGACCGGTGCCGGATCAATACCTATTTCACAGCTCCCAGATTCCCAACATCAGCCTTCTCCCCGCTCCACTCAATGCCGGCGGAGGGGGCGGGCCAGTTACTCACCAGTGGCTGTCCGGCAGGATTCACACTCGGCCCATGCAGCGAGTGGCATGACACAATCTCGACATCCGACGGCAGATGCTTCTCAAACGCCTTAATCTCCGGTGCCTTACAAGATGTCTGTCCGCCGACTATAGCTCCGAGTTTCGTCGCTGCCTTGCTATCAGCTCCCCGTTCTCTTCGTCATAACTCCCCCAGGTGCGACTTGACTCACAGGGCCCATATGCGGCGACGACAGCGTCAATGAGCTCAGCCTCAACGCAGTAGATGATATAGTCGCTCTGGCGCGCGACAAAGTGCCCGTTGACGTAGATGTGGATGTTTTCGATCTCTCTAGAGCGTCAACAAGGAATGGGCCATCAATAAACACTGCTGAGCGAGTGTCCTCCTCCTCCTCTCTTACAAACCGGGAGAGAGAGGGAAAGAAAGGAGGGAGAGGGAGAAGAGAGATATACCTGCAAACTCCCCCTTCAGCGCTTCATACTTTTCGGCGCGGTCGCAGGCATTGACTCTGGCAGGAAGCTATCTCAGTATAATCGCCCGGAGGTGCTGCGGCGGCAGTAGCAGATGGATAGACAGACGTACCTCCACCCGGCGCCGGCGATGCAGCGCGCATACATCTTGCCCATGTCGCCCATGCCGATCAGGCCAACGGACCTGCTTGTGTTTCCCCGTACCTCGACATTGCGTGTAGTAGAAGCTGCCATTGCGACTGTTGAAAGAGATGTGAATGTTGTTTGGAGAAAGGAAAGAAAGAAAGAAAAACAGTGTCTGTGGATATATTACGACCCACGCGACCAGCTGCTACTGCGATAATATATCTCTGTGTATATCGTATGACGCTATATTGCAATTTTATCGGGATCAATCAGTCTCGGTCTCAGTCCGGGTGGCCGTTATCGCACTATGTACTTCTAGGCTGCTGCTGCACGGGGAAGCTTGGAATGGCGGGGTTTGGGGGCCGGGTTGTTGAGGCTGAGAAATGCTTGGTCTGCAAAACGGGGCCTGAGACACTTGGCGGCCCGATCATTTCTCAGCGAGCGATCATTTCTCTGCATGCCGGTTAATGAGTGTTTAGACAGCGATTGTCTCCTGTGCCACTACGCGAAACGAGGAGTACGGCTTTCCGTGCCTGTCCTCCGCTTTCGTGGGAAGAACTTGTTGGTGTTCTACAGCGCCCTGTCCTGCAGCTGTTAATCTATTTCGCGGCTGTCAGACGGACAGACCCCCGCTACCCCACAGCGAGTGCTGATCCATGAAACGATTGTCCAGTTGAGGTTTCTGGACTAAACAGACTTGAAGTCTTGAAAGGAGGTCGGGGGGCTGTTGTATGCGATGCGTATTCTAAACTTGTCCATTGAGAGTTATAGATCATATCTAGAGTAGCAACACCCCTGGCACGGCACTTGGGTCGTTCTAACGGCCAATCACTAGACTCTCGAATATGATTGCCCTATCCTCACCCATAAACATAACCTACATGCATCAAAAAACTATGAAGGCCAGTTGATTGGAGAAGTATGATTTTTACGAATCTGCACCCTGTTGAGGCCTCCTCCACCGCAGGGTAGATATTTCACTGCTATCAAAACCCGAACTAGACCAGGATAACAACCATTCCAAATCTTCTCCTCCAGGATCCTAATCAGGAAATTTAGAATAGTTTTTTTTTTCTTTTTTTTCTTTCTGTTCTGCCTTGATCAAAAAATTTAATCGAAGTCTCAGACCGACGTACCACTTTACATGCACACTCCGATCCGGTAATCATATATTGGATGCTGCCGTACTCAGTGCTACCGCTACCACGTTAATTTACCACTAACCACCAATTCCCCGGCACTGGAAATGATGGAATCTGCAACAAACAAGAAGTCTCTCAAAATCTTCATCTTTGGCGGTGGCTGTAAGCATCCTGACCCCCAATTCCTGTCAATTAAGCTTAACCAAGCTCAAGCTAATCCATACCATTACTGCAGCCCTCGGCGGGCTCTACTCCCACCTCCTCTCCACCTCCGAATTCGCCGACGTTCAAATCACAATAGCCTGCCGAGGAAACTATGACATTGTCTCCCAGTCCGGCTTCAAGATCACCACCAACAACTGGGGCAACCATATATGCCGCCCCCACCGCGTCATCCGCGACCCCCACGAGATCCAGGGCGAGAGCTACGACTACGTGATCGTGACCACCAAAGTCCTCCCACAGGCCTCCCTCCCACTCGCCCGCTTCCCCCTACAATCCGATGTCCCCATTGTGCTCATCCAGAACGGCGTCGGCATCGAGAAACCCTACCGCGAGGCTTTTCCAGCCAACCCAATCGCCTCAGGCGTCGCCTACATCACCGCCAGCCAGCCCTCCCCAGGCCACATCCTCCAGTATGGCGCCATCGCAACAATGACCATCGGTCTCTACGACCGCGCGGACAACCCAACCGACAGGTCAAAGATCCAGTACCTCGCCGCGTTGTTTGACGCATCAGGCTTCCCGTGTGCTGCCACCGACGAGATCCACGTTGAACGCTGGGGCAAGCTGGGTTGGAACGGGTCATGGAACGTGGTGTGCGCGGCTACCAATCTGGACACGCAGTCTTTCCTCGCGAGTTCGCCGCAGGCGGTGGAGCTGGTGGAGAAGATCATCCGTGAGGTGGCTAAGACGGCGAATGCGGTAGGCGTGAAGATTGATGCGGATACGTTGGTTGAGGAGCGCATGGGGTGGACATTGAAGGCGCCACCTATCGTGCCGAGTATGCTTCAGGATGCGAGGAAGGGGTTTCAGATGGAGCTTGAGGCGTATTGTGGGAACGTGTGGAGAATTGCGGAGAGTGTGGGGGTGGAGGTGCCGTGTATAAAGTAGAGAAACCCCTCCTCTTCCCCTCCTGCTTCCCTTCCTGCCCCCCCCCCCCCTATCCCCCTTGGCGGTAACTGTGAGATTGTGCTAATTTGATGCAAACGTGTAGGTCCATGTACACCATCTTGGCCACCATGAATTGGCGGTTCATGAATGCCCCCAAGACAGCTACGGCAAACATGTAGACCCAGGCTTATATGTGTGCACAGGGGGATGTTCATCATGTAGTCATTTTATGAATACTCAAAATAGATGAATACCTTTTTCTTTCGATAATATGATCCATTGCTAACTGTGGATGTGGCGCATCATTTGCATACAATTAATGAAGTAATCAATTAATTAAATATGGTGCATCATGGATTATGACTCGGTCCAACTGTGAGTAGCGTGTGGGACAGATTAATTTTTTGCAGTGTTAGAAGCGTGCTGAAAGTAGGGCGAGTCTGAAAGCTTCAGTTGTTGTCGATATCAGGAGCCAAGATGAGCTATCTTATAGGAGCCCGTGTAGGACACCATTCCTCTTGACTGCGGGTTCTTCCCTGTTCGACACCGTGACGTTCTTAATTACTGCCCTGTAATGAACGATCACACATATCCAACAAGGCCATGGCCAGTGCTGTAGTTTTTGCAACTCATTCCACCCACTGGGGCCGCTGTTTGTATCGTTCAGGGTCTGCCGGCTTGGTGGCCGAAATCAGATCTTAGATATAGCCCTAGAGTTAGTGATTTTGAGAGGTTAGCAAAAGCTCTCGGACCGGCTTGATGATATTCTAGTGGTTCAAAGGATGCCACGGTATGAGCTAAGCAGGACACCTACGAGAACTCGGATACTGGATGACTGACTGTGACCTTGCAAGGACGTGGGCCACGGTTGTGAGCGGGTAACTGTCATGGGGCCGCTATCTGCTCTTCTTTTTTAATTTTGGTAGGGCTACATGTAACTATAGAATACAACTTGAACTCTACATACTTCTGATATGTATAATATTGCTAAACTATCGCTGGTATGCATGCATGTAAAACGATAAAGACCATCAGTACTCAGTCACTCCCCTCTCCCGCCTACATTATAACATAATTCCTATACATTGCTGATCCAAATAAAAACGCATGCAAAAATCAAGTCGACATATACACTTACAAAGCATTACTGATACACAAAACATTGCCCATAACACATTTAGGACACCACGCCCCTCTTAAACACAATCATGTCTCCACTCCTTCTCCACATAATCTAGTAGCAACTTCGTCATTGTATCTTCCTCGCCCATATAAGGCTGGAAATCAACAGCCCTGTACGAATCGTTTCCCGAAATTTCGTTCAGCCCCGCCGCAACATTCCACCCAATGAAATCCATGAAAACTACATCCACGGCCTCAGGAGGGCTAGTCTCCCAGCCGTCAGGGAAAGAGGCATTGCCCTGGATAACCTTGGGAGCAAAGTGCCAGATGATCCTAGAGTGAACTGTGTCGTCACCATCGTTGCCAAAATCATCGCAGGTGGTATAACCCGGGACTATGGTGGATGGGGCACCATTGACGAGGACGTTCTGCTGTCTCTGGTTCACTCGGAAAGAGTTTGACTTGAGGGCTTGTGGCCGCGGGCCTTCACGCTCGGGGCCCCCGAGGGTGTGGAAATATGGGTTTGAGTCGTCCTCGAAATATTCACGGAGCTGCGAGGCATATTCCCATGGCACATTCGGGGTAAATCTGAATTTGCTTGTGAATGGAGAAACAAGGAAGCTAGTGTCATATGTAAATGGGCCCTTGAAGACGTCAAATCGCTGAGAGCCAGTGTTGATAAAAATTATACGTGGGATATCATGGCGGTCTTTGTTGGTGACAACCTTGGGAAGAACAGTTTCCTCGAGGAAAGTGTACCAGTTGTTAGGACTGCCGTACATATCCTTGTTAAGGGACCAATCCTGCGGCGCACAGCCGATTAGACGGTCAAGACCCAATTCTGCACGATATTTGGTGAGTTCTGTGGACATTTCCAGGCCTTCAGGGGTATCAAAGGTGTCTTCATTTGTTCCGGTGTGGTGTTGGTACCCGACTCTGTTTGCGTCAATGTATCGCCTAAAGAAGTTCAGCTTTGGTGCAGCTTTCTTTGCCTTTGTCGCAAGACCATCGATACTCAAGAACCCAACAGTCTCGAAATAACGCCCAGACTCCAGCGCGGTTGACTTGTCATCATACTGGACAAATTTCCTGAGATGGCTGTGGCCCCCAAAGATCTGAACCGGGACATCCGGGTTTATTTCACGAATTGCCGCCAGAACCATACTGAGCTCATGGTCCTCGACATCAATGTGCCCGATAACCATGAACAAATCAACATCCTTGTCGGAAATGGCTTCGTGAAACCAGTCCTCCTTTATCACCACGCTGGGAGCCTTAACCCGAGTGTTATTGTAATTCCCAGTAAAATTGAAAAGGAAACCAAACGATGTGATCTTCAGTCCCAAATTCTTCGTCACTAGCTTATGAGACCTGTTCGCAAAGGGCTCCCATTTCCCTTCTACATCGATATCAACATTCGACGCGACGTATTTCCCGTTGTAGTATGGAATCATCTCGTCAAACTCATTTTGGGCTGTAGTTTTGTTGTATAGCTCGTGGTTACCATTGGTGATAACATCTATGTCGAGCTTGTGGTAGAAGTTCCTCGTATAATTCCCCTTCGGGTCCGACGCATCCCATAGACCGTTGCCTAAAAACCAAAACAGAGAATAAGCCACGGTACTATCTCCTACTAGATGATAGCTTCCTTACCTTCAGCGCGGTCGCCTGTATCGACCACAACAAGATCTGCCTCCTTCTCGTCGGCGAGTCGCCGCATGTGCTTAACAAACGAGATATAGTCCCCGAAATCCGCCGAGTACTGCGGTTCCTGAAGATGCCCTGCATGCCAACCGTGACTTTTCTCCACGTTAGTTCCTTCAACATCATCACAGCTTGGAGAAAAACGCAAAAACTGACTTATCGGTGGTGTGCAAGAAGTTGAGTTGCCCCCATTTCAGGTCACGGAACTGCTGGTTGGGCAACGGATCGCGCGCAGAGGGCTGTATAGCTGTCGCGAGCTGTATCAAGACGGGGAGTAACAAATGAAGCTTCTTCATAGCGTTTGTTGTGGGATAGTGGTTGTTGGAAGGGAGGTTTCGTCCCTTTATCTACAGGTACGTACAGTCACCTGGGTGGGTACCACACGGAACTCGCCGCTCTGCAGGGTACAGATGCCGTACTTGGATAAGGAAAGTGTCTAGCCGCTTTACATTAAAACAGAAGTGTGCAGATGAGTGTCATCTTGTGCGGGTGAGACACCATGATCTCCACGGGAGATACCAAGTAAAAAACAAAATATAAGTGAAAGGAGCAGGGTTCGAACGAGCGTCGCTTTCGCTGATTGTTTCCAAAGATTATTAAGGGACCGCTAGTGCTCGTACGCATGGTTATCTCTGGTAAAAGGCAAGAGATAAATACTGATACGCCGAAGCCGGTCCACCGAAATAGAGCTCTTTTTAACGTCTCTTGGATCGATGAAACAGCACAGTACTATCCACACACGTGATAGCACCCACCACAACGCCCACCACTAACGAAGGTTTTTATTTTCCACCCACGTACAACCCCTCGTCCGAGAAGTTCTTCAACATTTTTGTACACCATAACATATACTTCACGTTTGAAACAACCAACCATCAATAGTAACGATGGCCTCGGTCAAATCACTCAAGCCTCTCCCCTCTCTTCCTGAGGGATGGTCAGCCGAATCAAATTTCGTCGTCCATGCCCCGCTCTCCTCTTCAGTCAACCGAAAACTTGAGCCTGTCGGACCTCACTTCCTCGCTCATGCCCGAAGAGTAAGCTCTAAACTTTTTCTCTGATAATCAATTTTTCATAAGCTGATTCGTCTCGACTCCCAATAGAAGCGTCACTCGCGCACCTTCTCTGAGGATGATCGCATTCAAGCCTCGCAGAATGTAAAGAATATCGAAGACGACGACGGCTCTGAGGTGGATGAGCCTGAAGACGCAATGCTTCTCCAGAGAGATCCAAAGGACTGGAAGGTATGTAAAGATTGCTATTTTAGTCTTTAGTAATTAATAATTTAACGCTAATCGATCTACGAATACAGAACCAAGATCACTATGCCGTCCTCGGTATCTCAAAATACCGTTACAAGGCGACGGATGAGCAGATCAAGAAGGCCCACCGCAGAAAGGTCCTCAAGCATCACCCCGACAAGAAGGCTGCTAGTGGTGCTACCGAAGACGACTCATTCTTCAAGTGTATCCAGAAAGGTACACCATAATATAATGTTCCCATAGCCACTTTCATACTAACAATAAGTATAGCCATGGAGGTTCTTTCTGACCCCGTGAGACGTCGTCAATTCGATTCCGTTGATGAGGGTGCCAACCGCGAGCCACCGTCAAAGAAGGCGAAAGGAAACTTTTATAAGCTCTGGTCTGCCGTTTTTGAGTCTGAGGCCCGTTTTTCAAAGAAGCAGCCAGTCCCTAAATTCGGCGACGAATCCTCAACCAAGGCGGATGTTGAAGAATTTTACAACTTCTGGTACAACTTCGACTCATGGCGTACATTCGAATACCTCGACGAGGACGTCCCAGATGACAACGAGAACCGTGATCAGAAGCGATTTGTCGAGCGAAAGAACAAGGCTTCTCGTGCTAAGAGAAAGACAGAGGACACCGCCCGTCTTCGTAAGCTCGTTGACGACGTTCTCGCCCTCGATACTAGAATCAAGAAGTTCAAGGACGAGGAGAAGAAGCAGCGCAATGCCAAGCGCGACGCTCGTGAGGCCGAAGAAAAGCGTGCAGCGGAGGAGAAGCGCATCAGGGAGGAGGGGGATAAGAAACGCAAGGAGGAGGAGGAGGCCGCAGCAAAACTCAAGCAAGCCGACTCCAAGAAGGCCAAGGAGGCCGCCAAGACCGCCGTCAAGAAAAACAGGCGTGTACTCAAGGGAGCTGTCAAGGACACAAACTACTTTGTGTCTGGCGACGCTTCTCCCAAGGTCATTGATGACCTTCTTTCTGATGTTGACTTGATCATTTCAAAGATCGATCCCGAGGACCTGGGCGAATTTGCCGTACGATTACAGAAGGATAAGTCGGTGGATGCGGTCAAAGCTGCTTACACTGAGCAAGCTGCGGCGATGGTTAAGAAGGGGCTGTTTAAGGCTGAGGAGTTGAAGGCTTTGACGCCTGCTTAAGATGCTGTGCTAGGTTAGACGGATCGGGCAATACTACATAGATCGGCTTGTACTAGTTAGGGCTAAGATGATCTAAAAAGCGAGAATTGTTTTTAGCATGCAAATAATACAGTTTGGTATATGGTGTAAGGGATAAACAACGGAGACGTCTATTCTCTGTGCCCAAATGGGAAGAATCCACATAATTCTGGCAAACTATAGAGCAATAATCAGAAATCATGTGGCATAGACTGGAAAGCTCTGAAGATACTCTGTTCCATTGACCCTTGTCGGAGTCTTATTAAAATCACAGTGAATACACACTGTTGGCCCTAAGGCAAGTTTACAGGGCTATAGCAGGAAGCTTCTCTGCGCAAGAACAATCTAAAGACGCACTGCTAAGTAAGTAAGCAAAGTACACAAGTCCATGTGTTTACACTTATAAAAATTAGTGCTAAATTGAAATGCATCATATATGGCATTTCAAAACAATCCAAATGTCCAAACAGCCAGCTCTAGACATTTATCTATTTTAAAGGTGGCCTAGCTAGTTCAGCTTATCTATTGGAGACGACTCGAATTAACCACCGAGGGTGGGTTCCAGATTGACTGAGGCATGTTATGTCCCGCCTCAACTTTAAAACCGGTACCCTAGCCTGGTTTCACCAACACCGTCAATCCTAACCAGAGGTCCACCTGCGTACGTCTTTCCACGCCATGATATCCCAAGATAATTTCTATATTAGCGTGATAAGCTTAAGTTGCGAGAATAAGGTATACCTCATACAGTATACAGCGAGCCAAAGAACAGGCTAATAATCTTGAGACAACCAAGCGTTTAGTTCACTTAAATATCCAACCCAACATCACAGTAAAAATACAAGATATAATAAATACACGAGAAACTCCACCGAATCGAATTATTACTAGATTACATAGCTAAGCGCATAATTTTCCCCGAAACCCTTGTCCCTATGCCATCCAAAAGAACTAATTATTTGATCATCAGAATCTCAAACCCATAGACCACACTTAAGCGTTTAAGGGCTTCCTGGCAATCATCATGTACATAGGAGTGAACAGATTCTCCTTGGCACCAGCCACCAATGAGTCCGCAGCCAATGCAAGGGCATCGGCGGTCTTCTGTGTACCGGCAGGAGCGACACCAACGGTTTCAAGACCACCGATAAACTTGTGCATAAGGCCGCGGCCAACTTTGGTCATGCGGAGAACAGTAAGGAAGTCTCCCAAAGAGCGAGCGTATTTCAGATCACCAGCTATAATAAGTGTTAATTACGCCAATTTGCAGCGGGAGGGGAGCGGAATTTCTTACCAATCGGGTAATACCAAGGGATAACGTCGGGCCTCTGCGCAAGATCCTCGTGGAACTCCAATTCAAACCCACAAGCCTTAATGGCGCGAATGGCCTCAGAGATCTTAACCATTTGGGAGATACCATCACCGACTTCAATTCCATGGCAAATCTCACGGTGGCGGGGATTTGTTGCGTCGTAGTCTTCGGTCATCAACCATTCATACACACCAAAAACACCACCTGGCTTGAGAACCTTGTAGATCTGACCATAGACACCTTCGAGGGAGGGAGCATGGACAGTTGCCTCAATTGCATAGCTATTGGTTGCGACTCTTATTAGTTTATTATTCCAGGCATGGGACGATAACGGAAATGCTTACACAGCATCGAATGTGTTGGGCTCGAACGACATCTGCATGAAGTCACCCTTGACAAACTTGTGCTTATCGGCCAAACCCCCAATTTTTGCGTAGTTAGTTGCGCGGTCGATCTGGTAATCGTTGTTGTTCAATCCAACAATGTTGACTCCTGAGAACCTTGTAATTTCTCTAGCAGGTCCACCAACACCACAACCCACATCAAGAACGGTCATTCCCTCGCGGAGACCCATCCTGTGTGCAAGGTAGTGCTCATGGCGGGCAATGGCTTGGTAGAAGTTTTCACCCTCATAAAAACGGCAGAAATGGAAGCATTGGCCCCAGCCGTTCTCATAGAGATCTGTGGCAAGATTGTAATAGCTAAAATCATGCGTAAGAATTTCTCCCAATATTTCATTCGTTACGAATTGTTTCGGGGTTGGTAAAACATACTGTCTTGTCAACGTGGCATAGCTGTCAACACGTTCCTTCATATCTTCCTTCGTCTCCTTCCCAGCGCCCTTTCCATCCCAGAACTTAAAGTACTCATCAACCGCCGCGTTCTGGGCTTCCTTATCCTTTCCAAGCATGGCAGAGAAACCACCCTTAAGTTCTGAAGACTTCCCGTGCATTGCCTTATTGAAAGCAGCATCACGGCTGTGGTCCTCGTTCTCTAGTCTGTTAGAAGTCATTCTGAATGTTGGTATTGAACCGGATAATAAAAACGAAGCAAGAAATCGAAGGATGCAGTCGTGAGTGAGTGGAGTTGAGGAATGAAGATAAGAGAGTAAGTGGATGTTGAACAAATTTAAAAGGGTTCAGTGATAAAAGGGGTGAGGCTCGAATGCAACTAAAAATCATCTGATACGGTTAAGCTCCGAAATACTTTGATGGGAACTCAATTATCCGAAGCCAAGCCTGTGCCAGTTTGACAATTGGCCCTAACCTCTGCAAAGGGGCAGAATGCGAATCCGAAAACGGTCATTTGCGAACTCGAACACGAAAGGTTACTGGGATGTCAATCTGTAAATTAGAGAATGTAAAGCTGTTAATGATTGGATAAATTGACAGCACTTCATGTGTGGTGAGTAAGCCAATTATACTGGATTTACGTTTCGCTTATCAGTGCCCTAGATTTTAAAAGTGTTCAATTGAATTGCTTATACTTGATGTAGGCGCATGTAACGATATATATATCAGTGGCACATTGGGGTGAGACGGTTGTATTATCATTGATCCCAACCCAACGAAGTTTATCCATTGATGCCGGCAGTAGAATCCTAGGAATAGGAGCAATGTAAGCACATGGAAATATAGATGTATGTACTGATATTCCGAGGCTTAGACTCACCCGGGGCCAGTAGTAATTTCTCTACATATACTTAAGATATGTAATCACCATTCACCCTATGGTAGGTCTTTGAGGGGAGGATAATAACTGGGTGGAGACTCATGTAGCTTAAGCTATCTTTTGGGACATACAATTAACCTACGGTTTCTGGTACTTGGTACATATATGTATTTACTTACGCATAAGTAGCCGTTCTTTGACATCTTGTGGATTCGGTTCAGTAGCTTAGGAAGCTCATCACGACCCGAGCTATCAATTACAAGAATCCGATCGCTCTCAACGTTTGACCAGAGCGTGACTCAAATATGACTAAGAGTTCGCGGTGAGATGTATGTATGCCTATTCGAACGAACGTTGTTTTAGGATGATAGGGGAATCCGTTCCAATTGAGAATTGAAAACTACTGAGAGGGAAGGGAAGAAATAACAAACCAAATACTACTACAACTCTTCTCTGGGGTAGAGTAGAATAGATCACTCCGCAAATACGTGCGTGCACCCAGTCGCCGCGTGATCATACAACGCTTCTCTCCGACCTGACGGTGATCCGCGAATCAAGTTGTCGGGCGGGCCCAGTCGGTTTCCCGGACAGCTCTCCAACAACAACTCGGGCCTGTGCCGCGCTGCGCACCAAACCTATATCGTAAATGCCCATCTATCATTTGCTCGCATCTACGAACTACATTCACAATCACAATCCCTCTCGCCTACCAGGCTGTAGATAACACTACTCGTATTTCTCTGACGTTTGTGGACGCGACTGATATTGCATGCCATACAAAAATACGCCAAGCTCATGGTTTTGGGTGTATGCAATAATGGCCCAGTTCAAAAACGTCAGCGAAATACTAGTAGATCATACGCAGCACTGACCAGGATTCTGCATATTCTCTGCCAAACTACTGAGCAGCTGGACACGGTGCGCGGTGGAGCTGAGTAAAGTTGGACAGGCTGTCTGTCGCCGCCAGTCAATGAGCTGCCAGTACAGTAAGGCTATCCATCTACGTAGCTACAGCTACAGTATTTAACACAGACCTGCTCCCCACTTGATGCCCCCAGAAGCTTCAACTCAAGGCTCCTAAAGCTATCATCTATCGTGTATACATCTTTATCGCATTCCTGGCTCCTGCGCCCATCAAGGAGATCATCCCTTATCCATTATCCATTATCCAGAAACACCCAAATAGCTAGCGTCGAGAATGACAACTAGGTAAGCAGCAAGAACCCTGCATATTGGCGTACTCGCTACTTCGTAATCGGTTCTTTCGTGTTCTAATTCTTCTAGATACCGTGTTGAATACGCTCTCAAGGTATATAATTTCTGGATGCAGCAGAATCAGCCCATTGAACCTCAATTCAGAGCTCTAATCGCAACGCCTAGGCTCACCGTCGAGATGCACTGATCGAATTCATCAAGGGACTCCTTGCTGTCCCCTTTGTTCTTCACTCCCAGCCCACCGCAGTAGCCGGAGATGTGTCCCTCCCCAACATGGCCATTGAGGCCCGTCGTCGATACAGGGAAATTATGAAGGATGTTGAAGAGCTCATCAATGACCATAGTAACACACCATTGTCTCTAATTTATTACAACTCCATCATTTGCTGATACCATGCTACTTCAGTCAATAATGAGCGTGCCGGCACCCCCGAACGCTCAAAACTCCGCTTCCTCGTACCTTCTGTCGGAACCTTTTTCACTCCACTCTTCCTTGAAGCTGCCTTCGTGGCCCAGGACTCTCGACGGGCAATTTCATGCCGTAGATTTGTCGCGCCGTCATTCAATGATATCCGACTGATTCTCAACACTGCACAAATAATGTCGCTTACCACCCAAAATGGTCCCCTCAGACTTGTCACCTTCGACGGAGATGTGACCCTCTATGATGACGGGCATTGCCTCTCTCCCCACAACCCAGTGATCCCGCGGATAATCCACCTCATGTCCAAAGGTCTCTGTATTGGAATTGTAACGGCAGCGGGTTACACTGATAGTGCTCGGTATAAGGAGCGTCTCTACGGCCTTCTTGAGGCGATCAATACATCTCCACTCCTTACAGACGCACAGCGTAAAAACCTTATCATCCTCGGTGGTGAATCATCTTACCTATTCAAATTTGACGCAACCTCAGATACTCTTCTTTCAGGTGTTTCTCGTGATGTATGGGCACTCGATGAAATGCGCCTTTGGACAGAAGAAGATATCCAAAAGCTCCTTGACATCGCTGAGACCGCTCTCTTAGAGTCGGTATCGACTATGTCACTGAAAGCCACTGTCCTGCGTAAACCACGCGCTGTAGGGATTGTTCCAATTGTTGCTGGTGCCAAGTTTGAGCGGGAACAACTCGAGGAAGCTGTGCTTGCCGTTCAAAAGACATTGGAGCTTAGTGAAGTTGGGCGGAGGCTACCGTTCTGTGCGTTCAATGGTGGTAACGATGTATTCGTTGATATAGGCGACAAGAGATTAGGTGTACTTTGTTGCCAGAGGTTCTTTGGTGAAATCAAGGGGAGTGAAACCTTGCACATCGGAGACCAATTTTTAAGCGCAGGACACAACGACTTTAAGGCACGCATGGCCGGAACTACTGTATGGGTTGCAAATCCAGCTGAAACTGTCAGCAGTTTGGACGAGTTGCACGATTTATTAGAGAATGGAATGGCAGCTGATTCCTAAATTATTGGCATCCCCAGATGGTGCGTACACGGGCTGATGGATTTGAAAAGCATGATCTCCTTCTGCATTTTCTGTGTGGGGCACCTCTTAGAATATAATAACTGGGCCTGGATTTCTTTATTTCCTTTTTTTTAGCATTTGGGAGCGATCGGAGTGGGCAATAACAGGCAGGCTTGCATCTATGTTTTCCGGATACCAGGAGTTGTATTTACTTTCTAGCTCTATTCCTTGCTATGTAGTACAGACATGTAGTTTCCTAGAGGGAATAACTGATTATTTTGTTATATATTGCGCGCTTTTTTTTTTTTTTCTTTCGATTTTTGACGCGAGCCGATTCGGCGTTCAAACAATGTGCTTACGATAAGTATCATTTACCAGATGCCAAATCTTCAAACATAATACAACTCGATAACAAACAAAATACTCCAACTCTATTTACAGCCCATTTTAAGACCAGAAAAGGCGGAATAAAAAGTGCTATTTATAGAATATCATCGCTCAGCAAAGCCTTTCGCCGAACTGAAGCCGGAGGTTAAGGGATTCAATGCAGGGCGGGTTGATGGGATGCATGTGATACCACGTGATTGCCACTTGCCGACTCGTGTCAATCACGGATAAACCCAGTCTCGTGCATAGCCCAAAGCTTGTTTCCCGAGGAATTTTGGTTGCGCTTATCGATTGAGCCATGCGAGTGATTATCCATGCAACGTGCGCTAACACAAAAAGGGTCTAGACGATTCTTTAAGATGGCGCTTTTTTTTCGTGGGGACCGAGACACAGATCATATCATAGCAGCAATTTTTAGGGGAGGACTGTTGAAATAATATTAGATCTCACTTTCCCACCATTTGAACTGGTTTCCTGGCATGATTAGTACAAACAGTGAGCTAGTATAACCAATTCTGCACCGATACTAGCAAGGAAGGATGACCGAGTGGTTAAGGTGTGTGACTCAAGTAATCACTACTTTCTTGCTTCTAAAAAAGTGAGGTTTCTCATGGGCCTAGCCCGCGGGGGTTCGAATCCCCCTCCTTTCAAATACTCACTTTTGCGCCAGCATAGTAACATAGAAATGTATGTGTCTACATGCAGTTCTGGAGTTCAAGTGGCGCCGCTTCGTTTTTATTCCATACTATAAATACCGAATTTTTATGTGGGTCTTGGGATTGTTAGGCTAGGTGATTAATAACCGCTTCTCCATGAGTAAATAAATATAGCCTGATGGAAAATCGTACCTTGGGAATCTTCGTAAGCACGTAATATGTACATGTAGTTGATTGATACTAGTATTGATGAAATCACTAGAGATCACTCGGATGTACCGCCACACCAAAAACGGCAGGAAACTAACTGCAACCATCCAAACTTAGGTCACTGTTAGAGGAATACCTCGCCCAAGTTCAACCGCGCTTCCCTAAAGTACCCATAAACCTCGCTTGTATTCGATCTATAAATGTGTTCGATCTATAAATGACAATGTCACATCCATGCAACTTTCTGGAAAATAGCCCCCCACACGAGGGCGGGAACAATAATACCCGATTCGTCAGCTCTCATGACAGCGGCATCGGTGGCAACATCCTTGCCGCACCTGCATGCACTTAGGTTATCAATGGAAATGATCATTCTAGCATCTTTCATTGAATATATATATACCCTGCTTCTCCACAATTATCTCGAGGCGTCATATCCGAACTACACTACACCCCCAACCCGTAAAGTACCCCACCCACTATAACCCAATCTGGCTCACGGACATAAAAACATCACGATGCCGTTTAAACTCAAAGACGATAGTGGAAAAAAGAATAGCCCTTGTATCATCTTGGTTAAATAGAGGTAAATGAGGGTGCGGACCATAGAAGATAAAGCGATGCAAACAGATAGGCCGTTGCAAACCTAATTTAAGTCAAATGATTAATGAAGGAGGGTTTTGGGGGGGGGGCATTTGTATGGTATAAAACTTAAAGTAGATAAGCAGCTTAGGAAAGGAGCACAACAAATAACTGTAAAAAGGAAACAATGCTTCATCATAAAACAAAGAACAGAAGCTAATACAGAAAAGTCAGCTCCGTGACAAAAGGCAGCAAAAGATAATTAGGTGTTTACAAAAGTAAAAAAAAAAAAGAAAAAATACTACCCTTCCATACCATACCCGATAAGAATATATAAAAAGAAGAAAAAGAAAAAACACAGTTAAGCCTAATCCCCAAGAGAACGCCGTACCCGACGATTTTCCCACAATATCCCCTAGAAGCAAACTTCTTTCCTAAGTGCTAATAGATCTTTTCAAAAGAAGCGCAATAATGAAGTTGTTTAAAAAAAAAAGATAGAGAAAGCAACATAACCGAAAACATCCCTTATTCCATATCTTAGATATGAATTATTCGAGAACCTTGAAATCACTTCAATAAGGGCATATGATAGTACTGATTGTGCTCCTTTTTCCATTATGAAGAAATAGGGGGGAGAGGGAGGGGGTCCGAAAGACACAATGTAGAAAAAGAAAAAAAGAGAGAAAAAAGCAAGGAAATAAAGCCTTCAATCCTCCTCGTGGTTCAACGTTCCATGCACCGCCTATCATCGCCGCTGGTGTTCTATTTGAAATTCTTGAACATATCGCTATCTAAGCTCGAGAATCCACTATCGAAGAGATCGTCCGGCAACCTCGGGGGTGGAGCAATGGATTGTACCGTCTTCGTACGAGTCAAGTTTGTAGGAGAGCTACTCGGGGAGCTTTCGGTATGAGCTGGGGCAGCAACCTGAGCAGCAATCATAGTCGCGGCAGCAGCAGCGACAGGTGGAAGCCTTGGAAGATTCTGAGTTTTATCTTCTTTCTTGGATTTTTTCCACCAAGACCCTTTCTTGCCCCCAGAAACCTTTCTTTTGCTGTCGCGTGACATGACTGATGCCGTTGGAGATAGGGGCCCTGAGAGAATGGAGGATTTGTCGTCGTCTTCGTGAGTGTATGAAGAGTTTAGTGAGACGCGGGAGAGAAAACGACGCATAGATGTAGGGCGTCCTGGGGACTGTGGTGGCGTCGTGGGGGAGGCATCGAGAGACGTAGGCGTTGGTGGAGGCCTTGGGTCTCTTGTGGTATTCTCGGTAGGAATCAGCTCTCCAGCGGGGACGTGGGGCAGGTTAGTGCCAGAGGTGAGGGGCTCTAGAGGAGCCAGTGTGGGCAGCTGAAGGTGAGGAATTCCATTGGGTGCCATTGTGAATGGGATTATTATTCGGAACCGGTGGGGTGGGGGAGGGGAATGATGTTAAGGGGAATGATAGGGGTGGTGGTGGTTGTATGTAGGGTAAGTGGGTACTGTGTGATGGTGGACTACTCGGTAGTAGGCAGAGAGAGTCTTGGATCGTCCTGATTGTCTTAGATGGAGCTCTAAAGCTTTTGTTATGGGCTGTATGTAGGATATGCAGAATGTGGAGCGTATGCCTGCTCATGCAGACGGACGGAGCAAAGTATCAACAGCAACAGCAACAGACAGCAGAAACTAAGGAAAAATTATTTTGAAACAAAACCAGAAAACAAGGGGTAAATTTCTCTCTGGGCTCAATACTACGGGAAACAAGCGTTGGCGGGAAATCGCGTTTTTATTCCTCTCTTTTGACCTGACTTACTGACTGACTGGGCTCGTCCATATGATGCACCCCTTGCACCCAGCATTTGCACTTATTCTCTCAAAAAATAGAATGGTGACACAAGCATGCACGCGTCTTCTCATCATCGACGATAGGGCCTGAAACCCCCTGCCTGCCGAAGTAAGCAAGCAAGCGACCGGATGTGCAAGCAAGCAAGCAAACACACGGAACACGTAACGTTGCCGATCCTCACCTAACGACTTCTAGCCTTGCAGTGCAGCAAGCAAAGTGGCTTATGCTTAGTATTGAATATTATGGAGTTGGATTTTCGGAAAAACCTCATGTGCTACATGTACCTACTCTACTGTATGTACTTTGCGCTGCTCAGAATATCGCTGCTCCTGTATCTCTGATTGGTAGGTCGGTGGTGCCTGCATCGATGTACGCACGTAAACCTCCTACATCAATCCTAATGTTCTTCGTCCCGTTTGAAAGAACTTCCTGTGATCATGGCCAACCACATCATTAGTCGACTGTTATAGCACGGAGTATATTACTCGTACGAGACACCAGCAGTATGTAAGATCTATTCATGGCCGTGTCCCCGGATGATTGCTGCAAGGGACATGATTGGAATTAGTTTTTGACTAGCCTTACAGGGTCGAGTTCCGACGCTAGGTTCAGACTGAAGCTTTAGGGAGTAATTGTCAATGAAGGCCATGCCGCTGTATGATCGATACTGAGTTTTATTTACTTACGCAGTTATTTGTGCAAACTGCATGTGTATGTAGTACGAGCTCTACAGGCACTGGTGTCTACCATGGCACGACACGCAGTTTGAGGGAGTTACACGGCGTGGGGATCATATTTGGTAGCCAAGGTCCTCGCAAGGGTAACATCGAATTGCTGATAATGAATGACGGACATCCGTGTATCTACAGGCTCTCCGACCGACCAAACGCTTGTCGCCCCCGTACATAATGGTTTGCCAATCTTCCGAATTCAAGAAAGGGATCGAGAGATAGCTCATGTCTCCCAGGAATTTTTGTTGGTTTGGTTTCTCAGTCCAGGCACCCTGGGTTCGCAATGTGAGGGACCTCCGAACACCGGTAACTGCCGTATGCTGTGTGCCGTTGACAAACTTTAGGAATATTCGGCCTCCGGAGATCGTTCCAGATAATAAGAACCCGGAAACGAATGCCAAAAACCGCCCCCTGCAACGAGTGATGACATAGGTGCCCGTAAAGGGAGCTGGATATGAACCCTGAAAGGCCTAGGAAGTGAAATTAAGGATTTTAAGCCTCAATTCTTGGCACCAGACCGGGTAATTGGAAGGGGGCAATAATCATGAGCACGTGGGAAAAAAAACCCCACCTAGAAAAATACGTACCCCACCGTTAATAAACCCCTTTTTCCCTTTGAACGTCTCATAAACAAGCAAACGCCACTGCCCTAGCCACTTAACTACAGGAAAGAGATTAAACGAAGATATATCGATATGAGTGACAAGATATTCATTCTCAAGTCCAAAGATGGCAAGCCACTTAAGCTTGACACCGCAGTCAGTTACCTTCCTTTATTGAAGCAAGATTTCGAAGAGAACCTGGGCGAAAATTTCAAATGCATGGATTGGTGAACTAATGGTTCTCTTAAACCGCCTTTAGATCGACGTTGAACCCTATATTTCGTCTCTCAAAGGGAATACTACTGTGGAAGAGATAAGGCTCGGCGGAAATACCCTTGGAATCGAAGCCTGCAGAGCTCTCGGTGAAATTCTCAAGTCAAACAAAAATCTCAAGGTCTATCTCATATGCTCTCTTATTATCATTAACCACTCTAACTTCCCCAGGTATTCAAAGCAGATGATATCTTTACTGGTCGCCTTATTTCCGAGATCCCAGATGCTCTCACCGCCCTCCTCACCCCTCTCCTGGACCTGCCACATCTCCACACTGTAGATCTATCCGACAACGCCTTCGGCGGCCGTCTGGCCGAACCACTGCGCGATTTCTACTCTAAAGCAGGGCCCCTGCGCCATCTTTTGTTGAATAACAACGGACTCGGTCCTGCTGGCGGTACTATAGTCGCTAATGCCATCAGGGACCTTGCCTCTCTCAAAGCTACAAATTCTTCATTCCCCCCACTCGAAACGATTGTTTGTGGTCGTAACAGACTTGAAAACGGGTCCATGGATGCGTGGGCTGCTGCATATGCTGCGCATAAGACACTTAAAACAGTAAAGATGGTGCAAAACGGTATCAGGCAAGAGGGAATCGACAAGCTATTGAGAGATGGACTCTCAAAATGTGCCGGACTTGAGACAGTCGACTTGCAGGATAATACATTCACATCCTATGGCGCTACTGCCTTGGCCACAGTTGTAACTGGTTGGTCAGATATGGTGGAGCTGGCTGTCGGTGATTGTTTGTTGGGCGCGCGGGGGGGGACTATACTGGCTGAAGCGTTGGGCCAAGGAAAGAACAAGGCGATCCAAACATTAAGGCTGCAGTTCAACGAAATTGACGCCAAGGGTGTCGAAGCGCTCGAACGTGCTGTTAAGCAGTCACTTCCCGTGCTTAGACTCATGGAGCTTAATGGGAATAAGTTCTCAGAGGATGATGTCGCTATTAGTGCGCTGAGGGAAATCTTCGAAAATAGAGGATTTGGAGAGCTAGATGAACTCGACGAGCTAGAAGAAGAATCAGACGAGGATGAAGATGAAGATGAAGATGAGGAGGAAGACGATGAGAAAGAGGATATTGTTAAAGATGCGGAAGATGAAGAGCAGAAAAAAGTGCCCCAGAGAAAGGATGCTGTCGTTGATGAACTTGCAGATATCCTCGGTGGCACTAAGATTTAGAGAGTGCGTATTTTTTCTTCTTCTTTAGAAATGTGCATGCAAGAGTAATGCATGATTACACCTGGTGTCTCACGGTTGTTTGTTCTAATATACCAATTCCTTAACGAAATTAATGCCTTTGTTACCCAAACTTGAGGTCAATAATGTTTAATGTGTACTTGGCATGTACACGCAATATGCTCTTCAGTCCCACTGTATTCAATCCCCAAAATGGGTGAAATAATTACATTAGAAGAATCCTGTATGCATTAGACTATACTACGAGCCTAAAAAATCTCCTGCCAAGATTTGAATGGAGCTCATCTCTTTTTCCCCTTTCTTTTTGCCTTTTTGAGGGTCTTAGGCAGCCACGAGTAGAAGGTCGGTCCTCTAAATGGAGGGCTGAGACATTTACATGGAAGAAAGCTAATATATATATGGATACAAGGGTGTTAATAACTCCGATACCTACATGTTATGACTACACCATAATTAGTTATATGTAGCTATATGTGATTATAGGATAGATTTATTTAAAGTAAGCTCTAGCTGGGGCTGCTTGGGCCAGGCCATGAATTCGAAATATTTCTGCTTGACTGGCCAATGTTCGGAAACGTATTTTTAAAAGTTTATGCTTAATTGGCAGCATACAACGGCCCCTAGCTGACCATGGTATATTTAATATTATGCCCTTGTATAGTAACAGCAAGCTTTCCATAGGGGTTGGGTACGAGACTACATGTACATACAACTGTATGCATGGTATCCCTTCGTTCGTTTTCAAGATAGTAGAAATTAACCTGTTCGGGCAATTCCTGTTGTAATTCACCTAACACTCACTCCGCGAACCTCTTTAGACTTCAAGTCACCGTTTGTGGCCCCTTTTTCAACAGATCTTTCTTCTCCTGGAGGGTATCCACTCCCTATTGCAGCTACGTTTTTCAGTATCACCACGCCGTCTCTCGGTTAACTAATGTGAAAACCGGGCACGAACGAAAGGATGTGTATTCACTTCTGGATGCTTTAAAATCATTATGCATGGATTAGGTTTACTCCCCAAGCTATGTACACTATATGTAGTATACAATTGATGTGATAAAAACCAGACCAAAAATTGTAGCTAGAGGGATTCTTATCCCTTCGTTCGTTTTGACCATAAACGCTATTGGGGGTGTTTAACTTGTTCCAGCGACTTTTATCTCTAACCCGCACTCCGCGGACCTCTTTAGGCTCGAAGTCACAGTTTGTGACTCTTTTTCAACATATATTTCCCCTCTTAGAGGGTATCCACTCCTGTAGTAGTTAGAATTTTGAATATCAATTCGGCTATTCTATGTGAATCACGGGCACGAACGAAGGGATCACAATTGGTCACTCGATATTGGAAGAGTCACGTGGAGAGTGGATAACCTCTGATAAGGCTGATAAGAGAACCCCTAACCCTTCTCGTCATGCTATGTAGTTGCACGCGTCTTCCCACTATCACCACGTTTTCGCCGTCTCTCTCTACTCATCATCATCCATCGAATCCTGCGTTGAGGAAAATCTGTGTTTGTTAATGTCTGTTAGGAGAAAAACATTAGCTGCGGTGACTGGCTCTATGCCGCCACCACCTCTGCAATTCTCAGGCTCTCAACGTGGAGATCAGCCTCCACCTTCTTCTGTCGCAGTTATTGTCCAGAATTTATCAAAAAATGGAAGTGGTTCCTCTCGAATGGTTGATCGCGACACATTTCAGCAGTTACTGGCAGAAGTAATGGGAACAGATGGGGACCCTTCAGATGCAAGCCTCGAAGACAATGTGAGGATAAACTACAAAGTTGTGGAAGTGGTCATGGAAGCTGGAATCAGCGTCCTATTAAATGGGGACCCTTTCGCTTCTACCAGCGATTTACTGCTTCAAGCAACGAACAGCCTACTTGTGGTGCGGTTAACAATTCAAAGATCACCACAGGTGCTATTTTGTCAACCACCTGTTGAGCATGCTGCCGAACCGAATCAACCAATACTGTTCTTATGGTTATTGCCTAGATTGTTTCCGCTTCTTGGACACAAAGTTGCAGAAAGCATAAAGCTAGAACTAATACAGACAATAGAAGCTATCCTTATAGCTGCAGCGAAGGAGTCTGAGGCGTGGAAATATCTGACAACGGTGATGGGGTACTGTCGGAGCTGTATTACTTGTACGCTTTTTTTGACACCTTTTACTGGTAGTGATTATATTTCTTAAGCGATCGCTGATAGAGATGTTGAATTTCAATTATAAAGGTATCATCGATTCATTCCATAGCACCGCGAAAATCACCGCTGCTATGTCCAATTCCTTTAGGCTGGAGCTTCCAGACGAAGACTTTTCGATCAATCTATCACAACTACCCACAAATTCTCCCCCAGTGATGCACCAATCCCTCAGATTTGTTATTAAGGATCCAGAAAACGCAGCTTGCGTAGCCATTCATCTTTTTGCTGTACTGTCCAGGATTTCTACTTCTAGCGATGATATTCCTACACTAAGAACCGCCGCGGACAATTACTTGGGGTTCTTGCAAAACATCTCAAAGCTATGGAAAAGTATGAGAATTTGGGAGTCTATTCCGATGTTGCAGTCAAAAGTTTCTAGAATCCGCATCAATATTTTGGAGGCATTAGAGAGTTCCCTGGGTCAAATACCAAGATCGCAATATGGGACAATAAAATGCGATAATTTATGCCTGCTTATAGTACGGTGTGCTAGTGAGACTTTGGGCCAACTGGTGGAACAAGCAAACCAACCCACAGAACTTGTTCTGGCAAGTGTATTTCTTCGAGTCTTATTAGTCGCAGGCGATGCACTCTCGGTTGATGAACTTTTGAGGGAGCAGGCCCTTCCTGTGGCATTTAAAACTATGAATAATGATATAACATGGGAAATTATGGATCGCGATCTTCAAGTATATTTCTAAGTGGTTTATTCCTGATAGAGAAAATCTTGACTGATTATCTCATAGATGGCAGTAATACGTCTTGTCCTCGATGTTTCTAAAGATCCCGAGATTACAAGAAAAGCGAGATCTCTCTTACAACCAGGTACAGAAAGGGGATGGAATTTTAGAAACAAAAAATTACAGGAGGAGGCCGATCGGCTCAGGACCATTGAAATATCAGAATATTTGCAGAAAGACAATAACGGCGGCCGTAGAAAACGTCCTAGGCTCATGACAAAAGACGAGTTGCCCAGTGTGGAAACCCATCCTTTGGTATTAGAGACATTCCGTCTTCTGGGGTACCAAGGGGCAGCTGGTCTACAAGGATTGAGCACGGTGGTGTTAAGAGACGCTTTCAATAAAATTGATGAGGATGATCAATGCACTGTTGTTCAATCTCTTGGGCTCATCTCTTGTATCTTGGCCGGAAATCTGACCGAGGGCCCAGAGCTTGATCAAAGGAACTTGCAGTGTACCCACTATTATTGCTCCTACTGTGACGCTGAAACCACAGGGATATCTTTAGCAGCTAGATCATATGCTGATGAACGCAATGATGTTCTATTCACAGTTTTGGAGGTTCTTCAGAAACTGGATAACTTCCGGGGTTCTTCAAGAGTGAGGGTGTGGGGCTTGATGGGTATAAGACGGATTTTGAACCATACAAGAAATTTAAAGCATCTGAGCTTATTTGGGGCCTTTGGGAAATGTTGCTTTGAATCATTGAAGAGTTCAAGAAGGGAAATTAGAATTGCTGCAGGGTATACTTTACCAATATATATTCTTGTGATAAGTGTGAGCTAATAGTGTTTTCTGTAGACGAACGTTGCCATCCTTTGTCGGGTTTAGTCATGATGAAGGACTTCTGAAAGAGAATAGGATAGAAATCCTTCGTTATTTACGAGCAAAGTCGATGAGTGATGAGCTGCAGTATCAGGAGACTTTTGTTTTGGCTTGGAGCCAAATAGGGAGGTAAGGTTCGTGCATAATCAAACAGAGTTTTGTGCTGACAATTTTCCCCAAGAGTATCGGCAGGATCGGAGCTAAATTTTTCACTGATACGGCTGGTAGAGTATCTTGGGCATGCGAATTCGTTCATAATCGGGGTCGCTTACAACGAAGTAGAGTATCCATTTCTGATCAATTATCTTATATCTTTAATGCTTACTGTGCTAGATCCAATTCCTTGCAGAAATACATGATGTATCGCCTAAGCAGTTATTCACACAATATTGGCGCAGCATCAGCGCAAGTGTTGTTAAACAGCTACAGTCCAAACCGCAGATTGCTGGATACCTTTCAGATATATTGGGGATCACTGTAGACGACTTCCTGGGGACCACTCAAACATATACACTGCCTTACATGATACTGTGGAAACGGGTAGAAATAGTTGAAAGGGTTGCACAGGCATGTGGTAAGAGTGCTTGGGTTGTATGCCATGAAAATATGACCTTTATTCTTTCTGTTCTTCTTGCCCAAGACGTGGGAGATATTGAACAAACGACAATGGCTCTACTTATAAATGCTTCAGAGAATTTTAAGTCATGCTCATTGAGGGAGCTGGTAAGACCTGAGAAAATCACTCTTGCAACTGAACTGCTGAAGGCTGCTGGCGATGCAGACCAAGAGAATAAGGAACCGGTTTGTGCTTTTGAACGTAAATTCTGGCCTAAGAAATTAGATAACTAAGTCCAAATAGATATATAGGGCACTCGCATTGGTAGCTGAGCTTAGTCGAACAACCAAATCGGCCGAGAGCAAGGAAGCACCCTTAGACGAATTTTTCAAATTAAATGTTCTCGGAATATTCACCGAGTTCATGACATTGTTAAAAGAAGCACCTACCCCGATGGTAGAAAAAATTCGTATTATAAAAGCAATTGAAGAGATGGTTATATTGGCCGGGGGGTATATAAGTGGCGCACTACCACAAGTAATCCAGTCCCTTGCTTACAGCACTCACTCCTTTCGTCTTAAAAATTCATTCTAACTATATTTGAAGATATGCGCCTGTTTACAATCAGCACTGGAAACCGAACAATTGCGGACAAGCGCTTTATATGCTTGGAGTGCAATCATAACGACCTTGCCGGCAGAAGTAATCAGTCCATTGCTAGTTCAAACTTTCTCAGTGATATTGCAATACTGGAATGATTTTCAGGACGATGCAAGGAAGAGAGCCCAAGAAATTATTACACACTTTTTCAATAAATATTCCCGGACTATCGAAAAGGATGTTGGCATGATTCCTTCTTTGGCATTGATACCATCATCTTCGCATTTTGAAACACAACTTAAAGAATGGAGATGTTCCATTGATGTAAAACAACGTTTCGACCTTCTTTCACGGCGATGTCGCCATGAAAATGTGGCTGTTGTAGAACAGGCATTGATTGAGTTAACAGGGTTCATCAGGGAAAACCAAGCATTTATACATACAGCGGCGATAAACGAACAGCCTGACGAAGTGGTTCCTCAGTTAATAAGGACACTTTTGGATGTTGTTGTTGCATTCAAAAACACGGATTTAAACTCTAATCCTAAAGTTCAGCTGAATATCCAGCGCCTTTGTGCCGAATCACTCGGCCTGATAGGAGCCGTGGATCCGAATCGTGTGGAAACAACTCGAGAGATACGCGATATGATGGTCTTACACAACTTCGAGAAGGCAGACGAAACTGTTGAATTTGTTGTTTTTTTCCTGGAGGAGAAGATTGTAAAGGCATTTCTTTCAGCTACTGATACGAAAGTCCAGGCTTTCCTCGCATTTGGAATGCAAGAGCTACTAAGATTTATCGAAGTAGGAGTTGATGTCAGTCGCAGTCGTGGTGCACGAGTTCCTCATTCTACAGTCGCAGCTGAAAGATGGGCATCCTTTAGCACAACAGCCCGGAGTGCTCTGACGCCGTTTCTGGGATCTAAATATATTCTGCAGCAGAAAGCCCAGGTTTCATCCTGTTCGTACCCAGTTTTCTCTCTGAACAAGACGCATCGCAGCTGGCTTCATTTATTACTTATGGATTTGTTATCGAAGGCTAGAGGAGTGAATGCTGAAGGTATATTTTCGACATGCGGTCGGATGTTAAAAGGCCAGGATATCTCTATATCTCTGTTTCTGTTACCATTTGTCACATTGAATGTCATCATTGCGGGAGAAGACATTGATCGGAAAAATATTGCCAGCGAAATATTGGCCGTACTACGACCTACGGAGGGTTCAGAAAGCATTATGGCTTCAGAAAATCTTAAGCAGTGCACCGAGGTTTGTTTTAGGTCATCAGAATTTGGAAGGGAAACTAATGTCCATAGACGGTTTTTCTTCTCATAGACCATTTAACAAGGTGGCTACGCGATAAGAAAAAATTAAATTCATCGCTTCAAGTTCAACGGGCAAGGCAACAAAATCGTCACGTTGCTTTAGAAGACGATACTGGGAAAGATATTGCTGTCGACCGGGTCGAATCAGTCCTTTCTGTAATACCTCCAGACATGATGGGCATACGTTCATTTGAATGCCAATCCTATGCGAGAGCACTTTTTTATTGGGAACAACACATTCGCCAGAAAAGAGACACTGCAAGTGAAGATGAGATGACGCCTTTATATGAGAGGCTGCAGCATATATATACTCAGATTGACGAGCCAGACGGAATCGAAGGTATTTCGACGAAATTGCCTGTTCTCAATCACGACCAACAAATCCTCGAACATCGGAAGGCTGGAAGATGGACAGCTGCACAGAGTTGGTATGAACTTCTCTTATGCGAGAAACCAGATGATTTGGAAATTCAGACAAATCTTCTAACCTGCTTGAAAGAGTCCGGGCAACATGGTAGGCCTTATTACTATCCGCACGTTTTATCAGTTTCCTAACGCTAAATTTAGAAATGCTTTTAAATCAGGCTGATGGCATGATGGCCAACTCCCAAAATCCCCACCCAAGGATACTAGAATTTGCCATAGAAGCCTCCTGGATTTCTGGCAAATGGGACGTGTTAGATAAATATCTCATGAGGTCGGAGGGCTCGATAGAATCGTCTTATGAAATCAAAATAGGTAGCGCTTTATCTGCATTGCGCAAGCAGGACACGGATACATTTGCAAAGGAGATAGCCAGAGCGCGGGAAAATGTCGTAAGCAGGTTGTCCGAATCTCTTACGGGGTCTTTACGTCAATGCCATGATTCAATGGTCAAACTTCATTCATTATCAGAGATTGAGGAAATCAGCTTGACACTACAGCAAGGAACCTTTGATAAAGCAAGTTTTTCGGCAAATCTAGAGAGGCGTCTTGATGTGATGGGGACTTACTCAAATCATAAGCAATACATTCTGGCCCTCCGCCGGGCTGTATTCCAGCTTTCCGGGTATAAAACACTATCCTTAAAAAAAAGCATCTGGACAAAACTGATTGCCGTAGTGCCGAATTAGCTAAGGACAATATTGCGTCCACTTGGCTCGCTAGTGCTCGCTTTGCGAGGAAGGCAGGTCAAATACATCAATCATTCAATTCGGTTCTCCATGCCTCAAGACTCGGTGCACCACTCGCGACCGTAGAACATGCAAAACTATTGTGGCACGAAGGCCAACATCGGAAAGCTATACAAAACCTTGAGGGGGCAATTTCTTCAAACATGATACAAACTAACGACTCTATCACTGAGACTATACAATCTGGAAAGAACCAACCTCAGAATATTGTCTCAGCGAAAGCTATTCTTTTGCTAGCAAGGTGGCTGGATGGGGCAGGTCAAACTCATTCAAAAGAGATCATCTCGAAATACACCAAGGCATCATCATACTTTGTTAGATGGGAGCAAGGCCATTACTTTCTCGGACGGCATTATAATAAGCTTCATGAGGCCGAGAAGGGGATTGCGCCACTTAATCAAAGCCAGCCCTTCTTAAATGGAGAAACAGCACGATTAGTCTGCCAGTCTTACCTTCGTGCTCTTGCATTCGGGACAAAATATATATTCCAGACAATGCCTCGAGTATTAACCCTTTGGCTAGATCTAGGTGAGAACCAGGAATTGGGAGAAGTTCACGGGAGCGCGGATTTCAGAAGTCATATTTTAAGAGAGAGACTCAAGAATTTGACCAATCTACACCTCTCGGTACAAAAGTATAGCGAGAGGCTACCCGCGTGGATGTTTTATACCGCATTTCCCCAAATAATATCTCGAATTGTCCATCCTAGCCAAGAGGTCTACACGCATCTTCAGAACATCATTGTAAAGGTTGTTTCAACGCATCCCAGACAGGCTCTCTGGTCACTTACAGCGGTGTGCAAGTCAACATCAAGAGAAAGGTCCAGTCGTGGTGCGAGGATAACCAACAGGATAAAAGAAAACTATGCCGCTAAGGGACGGAGAGAAGCAGACAATGAGTTGAAGAATTTAATATTGCAGTCGCAAAAGCTCACAGATCAGTTACTGCGTCTCTGTGACGCTGATCTGCCTTCGAAAGCAGTCGCTATCAGTTTGACGAAAGACCTTGGATTTCATCATTCCGTAGCACCTTGTATGCTTGTGGTACCTTTACAAACAGTTCTCACAGTGACACTTCCCCCAACCCCCGAATCTATAAAAATCCATGTTCCATTTAATCTATCTGCGCCTACTATTGCAGGTACGTACACTTCATCCCATTATTTACCAGTAAGGCTGTGCCTTTGAGGCTCTCGCGATTTGTTCTTGGTATGAATCACTGAAAATTCTCTCAGGGTTTGCCGACGATGCGGATATCATGTCGTCTTTACAAAAGCCTCGAAAAATTAAGATGCGTGGCTCTGATGGTAAAATGTATCCATTTTTGTGTAAGCCAAAAGACGATCTACGTAAAGACGCTCGTTTGATGGAATTCAACAACATGATCAACCGTTTCTTGAAGAAAGACACCGATTCTAGTCGAAGGCGTTTATGTAAGAAATAATATTCGCGGCTTAAGATTTTTAAGAGCTGTCAATTTACTAATGAATCGCAAGATATTCGAACATATATGGTCACCCCTTTGAACGAAGAATGCGGTCTTATTGAGTGGGTTAATAACGTACGACCGCTTCGGGACATCCTTTTGAAATCATATAAAGCAAAAGGAATTATTGTGCAGGTTAGCAATTGATTAATCCATTTCTCTCTCTCAATATTATGGATATTGATTTGACGTATACATTAGTACTCCGAAATTCGTGTTCTTCTCGATAAAGCCTGTTCAGATCCCTCGAAGTCTCATATATTTACCGATTCCGTGCTTCCAAGGTAAACCAATAGATTACTATCACCGGGTTTGAATTATGAAATGTATTAATTCACCTTAGATATCCTCCTGTATTCCATGAATGGTTTGTTGAAATGTTTTCAGGGCCAGCTGCTTGGTTTGCCAGCAGGGTCGGTTACTCGAGGACCTCAGCAGTTATGTCGATGGTTGGGCACATATTGGGGTATGGGGGCGGTACTTCTTGATTGGTTTACGAACATCTTTCTGACTGAGATAGACTCGGTGATCGTCACGGAGAGAATATTCTCTTTGACGAAACTAATGGCGATACTCTCCACGTTGATTTCAACTGTCTATTTGATAAGGTAAGTGGTGACATCGTTGAATTAAAGTAGTTGATCTTTCTAAGAAAATCCTGTAACTATAGGGTCTGGGATTTGAGAAACCAGAAAGAGTGCCGTTCCGTCTCACACACAACATGGTTGATGCACTGGGAGTGACAGGATATGAAGGTAAAACCTATTTTCAAGAGACCCTTTAGATACATGAATTTACAATGATTTATTCATAGGCACCTTCCGGAGAACTTGTGAAACGACCCTTAGAGTATTGAGGAATAACGAAGACACACTTATGACAGTTCTAGAAACCTTCCTACATGATCCGGCCGTTGATATGGTCAAGAAGGTAAGCATGGTATTTACAAAATTCGATTCTAATTCAGGGCTAATTCAATTATAGAAAAAAGCAAATATAAAAATTCCTGAGACGCCTAAGGATGTGCTGAAGAACATTCAGAACAAGCTCCGAGGTCTCTTCCAAGGCGAAACTGTTCCGCTGTCAGTAGAGGGACAGGTTCAGGAACTATTGCGATCAGCCGTCGACCCGGGTAATCTTTGTGCAATGTAAATTATGCCCTTCTGTTTTTATTTAATTATAAGCTTTGGACGATGCTAATATATGATACATGTAGGTATATTGGGTGGTGTGCATTCTTGTGAAATTTCTTCGTGATGCAGCGGACCGTATCTACACCTGTTCTCTTGTTTCTCGGGTTAGGTTTTATATTTATTAAACGAGGGTGGAGCTTGTGATACATTTATTTAAATCATAATTAAATCGGTATTGACGCAATGAGGTTACTGTATGACAGACGCCTGGACCAGGCCCGGGCCAACAGGCGTATTGGTGCGGACTAGTATAAGACTTGGAACGATACCTGGCAGCGCTATTGTCGATATATTATATGTACATAGCTCAGTTAATTCTGTATATTATGGGTAAGTGTCGGTAGGAGGACTGGGTACGAGCCTACGTGTAGGTAGGTGTGTGAAAATTAGGTCGTAAGGAGACGATTTAGCGGATTATTCATGTACTTGAGGCTCTGCCACTCAAAGTTTATATATATTGCCACTCAAGTTTACAAATATGTTAACTACAACGAAAGCGTGACCCTGTTTTCTGAGCTGTATAAGACTATACGTAGGCTGCGGCACCGGCATAGCCAAATCAATCATCATCACTCGTCCACACTCGTACCTGAGAATCACTCATAGCGAGATCTTGATTACGGATGGCCTGAAAAAGTTCAGACCCTTATAAGGAGAATACCATTGTACTATGGCGCCCGTACAAATATAATATATTGGCTAATTATACATATATATATGTTATTATGGAGTATCTGCTGCGTTGAGTCTCGGCTGTGTAGGTTATAAGACGATAATCGTTGTATTACGCCTCTCTTCGAATACCGAAAATGGAGAGGTTTCCTGTAAAATGGTACAAAGTTGCCTATATAAATTTAGGCTGCTCTGAACCATGTACATACAGCGACAGGTAATAAGTGATGGAACGCCCTGAGAGTACGAACACCAAAAGTTGGTGGCGTTTTACCAAAACAGGTATTGCTCTGTTCCATCACTTATTATCTGCTGCTGTACCTAACTTGAGTCTCTGCATGTGTAGTAATGACCCTAAACCATCACTGTGTCTCCATGATTGGGAAATAGTACAAGGCTCTGGCATTAAGTGAGTGAACTAAATGGGGTGTTGACAGTACGATATTTCCCAGGGCTAGGGTTTCTCGGAGTGAGCCGTTATTTCCATTTTAGGATTAGGTGCGGCTCCGCACAAAGCTCAGGCCTTGAACGTTTCCAACTTCATCTACGACCAAAGAACGTCGAAGTACCCCTCAACAGAGTAGGAAATACGCAGTGATGAATGCAGATCAACTTTTACTCTCATTGAAATCCTGGCCGGAAGAGAACCTTGAAGAAACCTCAGTCTCGTCTCTCATAAATAGAATACAAGCTCAGCGTGGCCATTTCCGCGATGTCAACGAAAGCTTGCTTGAGGAGGAGATAGCTGCCGGGAAAGACGAGCCGCAGGACGATGAGCTTCATGGCGACCTCGAAAATAAAGCTAATGGAGGTACTGCGGATAAGACAGCCGGTGATCAAGAGAGCGCGACGGAATTGAGGAATGCGAAGGTGAAGATGGCAGCTTTGGTAGGGTATGTGCGTGCTTGGTACTTTTCGAGTGCGATCTTCAAAGTCACTAATATCGAGTAAATTTGAAAATAGGCATGCTTTAAATGAGGCTTTATTGGGCCTTGATTACATATCTTTTCTCGTATCTTTGCATAATCCAGAAACCGGCAATTTGACCATGTCTCCGGCTCTTAAAGAGGCCGTGCCCGCTGGTAGTTTAGGTTTCGATAAGATTCAGCGCAAACCCGGTCCGAAAGCGATCAAAGATGATGAGATTGTTTCAAGAGCTTGGAAGATGGAAGGATTAAACTCGGCGGCAGACGCCCTATTGAGTGCGTCCGAGAAGCTTGGGCGAGAGGTCGAGAAAGAGAGCAGATACTGGGAACAAGTTCTGGCTATTCGCGACGAGGGTTGGGTTATAACACGTATACCTCGAGAACGACAAACATTGGGCGTGAGATATGGATTTGCGGAATCGGCAGCGGAGTACAAGAGCAAGGGCATAGGGGCGTTAAGAAGGGGCGAAGATGGAAGCGTTGTAATGGACGACGTAGCTACCACCGGGTCCCTTGGGAAGGCGATGCTTAGAGTTCGTGTTATAGAGAACGGAGAGGTTAAGGGAGTCAGCGTACAGAGCGGAAACAAGAAATCTACATCCGTTAAGGATGTGATTGAGCGCGCACGAAACTTTGTTTATGAGGACGAACTTTTCTTTGAAATTATGAGAGAGGCGAGGATCATGGCGAATCAGGGAATAAGAACCAGCGAGGACGGCGTGACACTTCAACTAGGGGAACATCGAAGCATTATAATAGATATGGTGAGTTTATTATCATTGATTCTCGTCACCTATAAAAAAAACCTAATGGATATATAGGCTCCACTTGATGATGATGATACGGCACTCGATGTTCACAGTCCGGAGAGTGGGTTGGCACAAGGAGTAGCAATGGCCTTTCGGATATTATTATCATATAATCACAGAATGAGTCTCAAGAAGCGAAGCAAGCCACCACCTGCACTGAGCCCGAGAAAACAACCTGTGCCTCCGCTTCTCCTGGTAAGACCCATTGCAACACATCTCATCCATCATCAACACCTCAGTCATCTGCAAGGCCTACTTAAATCCTTAATTGGCATCGCAAAGTCTGCTAGTCTACACGGCGAATACTCGTTGAAGCCTTTACAAAACTGCCGACAACCCGAAATTAAGGACGTGGAATCTGCCGTGGATACTTTTATGGGAAGATTAGAGAGTGAAGCAACACTTGTGTTGCCGGGTGGCTGGAAGGTTGAAATCCAAATGTCGACAATGTTAGGACACCCGTTGTATGGGACTGGATTCACTATCAACACATCGCATGACGGAATCTCTGCGCGATTAATGGGTGAGAATAAGTTTAGCTCTGTAGAAGAGATGGAACTGTATCTTTGCTGGTGTTTGGAGCGAAGTGTTGTCAACGAAATTCGATGCATGGGCGATAAGTGGCAGCAAATAGCCCAAGGAAATGAGATGAGGAATGTTGAAAAACAGACAAGAAAAATCCGGGTCGAGGCAACCAGAGTAGGATTGTCCATTGTTACAGGAGCAACTGGTGGAACAGATACTAGGTTTGTGTGGGATGGTAGTGAGGCTAGTAAAAGCTTACAGGATTTACTGAAAGAGTTCTAAATAATAAGAAAGGGTGCCGTTCTTTACAGGATTGTGAGTATGTACATTTCTGTACTGGTTGGGAAATGATCTTTGTTGCTTGAATATCTATTTTCCTTCTCGGAGGACACGCTCTTTCTCCAGATCCTCTTCAGCAGCAAGAAAGTACTTGGTCGTGTCCACACCGTGCTATCAATATTGTTAGGCAGAATTGCTTTATCAAGAGGGATACTAGAAGGCCTCACCTGGTTGTGGTTGACAAAGTTGAACCATGGCAACACATGGAAAAAAACCTGGGAGTATCGAGAGTTGCGGGCGGCAACTCCTTGCATGTACGGAGTCAAGATAGACTCTCCATAAAGTGGCTCTTTCCTCTTTACTCTTCCCACCATTTCCTTCATATCCATGTCCACTTCCCGTTGGTTCTCGGTCCAGCCCCAGAAGCGCACTGCCGATTTAAGGTATATCAGTTTTTTTTGGACTGGTCTGGAGGAGACTGTAGATATCTGGAATAGGCATACAAGATGATCCAAGGTAGAATCTTAAGAAACCAGCGGTGACTCCAAGGGCTCCGGCAAGACGCATGCTCTGTGCGAATGCACCCTTGGGGAGCATGGCGGGGGACTTTTTCTCCCATAACCAGAAGAGGGCAGGTCCGACAGCCGCAGTACCAGCTCCTACGGCGTAGTCGGATGGACGGGCATAGCGGATAACACGCCAAAAGTGCCTGTAAATTAGATGTTAGTCATGCTGTTTGAGATTTAGGTTGCGATTGAGTAGCTGACGGATCTGTGTCAATGACCTGAGATGTTATTAGCCAAACCAGATCCACGAACCATTGAAGGAATGCAAGAATGAGGGGGAAAAACATACTGGGTAGTCAGTGTTAAGCTGCTTTGGAGGAACGGCCATTATGAGTGGAGAATGTTGAGATGTTTTATCGCATACAGAGCCGAGTTCGCCTTTGACGTTGAAACCCCCGCAACCCCAATAGCGTGCCCTGGGCTACACATATCACGTGTTATTTTCAGTCCAATTAAGGATGCTGCTCTGGAGACGCGTCTTTTGTCTCACCGAGTCCCATAATTTGAGAACTTTCGACGCAGCTTTCAACCAAACGACCAACTATCAACAATATGCCTGTAGTAGACTCAAATACAACAACAGCTCTTGGGGATGATTACATGGAAGATGATCTCTTCGACTATAATGCTGAGATTTCCGATATCGATATATCAACTCGGGCGCCTACCGCTCCTGCCGAAAAAAAAGACACATTGGGAATTGATGAAGAGGTAAAAATTAGAAGAAAGAGAGTTACAGTAAAGTTAGACGAGGAAAGGTATATTCTAAACATTACTTGCTGTCTTTTGGTGAATTTTGTTAACACCTTGAAGGCTCATGTCAAGCCTGGGAATACCAAAATTGAGACAGGACGCTCCGAGAAAACTCAAATTCAAGGGTAAAGGTCACGAGGTAATGCATGACGTCAACCCATATCTCGCCTCGTTGAAAAACTAACTCCTAGCTCTAGTACCGCGACACCGCCAGACTTCTCTCATATTACCAATTTTGGGCGGATGACCTTTATAAGAAGGCAAAGTTCCGTGACACTCTCAAAATCATCGAGAAATTGGGACACTCAAAAAGTATGAAGGACCAACGACTGAATTGGATCGAAGAAAGTAAACGAAAAGAAAGACTTCTTCGGGTAGGGGCAGAAGACGGAGACGAAATTCCTAGCGAAGAACCACGCAAGGATGGGCCAGATAATCAAGACGACAGCGACCTCTATAGCTTTCCTCAACAGCGAGTCACAGGGACAGAGACCCAGGGTGTTTCTATTGGGCAAGCTCATGCAAACCCATCAGGCGCGTTGTTCCTGTCAGGCAGTGTAGAAGATGGTAGCGATGACGAGGATTTCGGTGTCGGCCCAGATGATGAAGAGTTGGATGCCTTAATGAACATGGAAAGAGCCACGGCTTCTGGAGATGTTTCACTAGCACCTTCAAGGGAAGCAGGAAAGGATAAAACCAACAAATCGGTAAATACCGCCCTTGCGGCAAGTACACCACTTGGAGATGATTTCGAGGATGAAATGGAAGTCATGGCAGATTTCGGGCCACCACCAGACTGGTAGATAGACAAACGCGTGTGTCTTTACAATTACGTCTATAATCAGAATTTATATACATAGACAATATCTTTAATCTAGTAAATTCATCGTCAAGTATCTTGAGAGGTTTGATTCCAACATCAAACCGATCCTTATGACGCTATAAAGTAAGGTCTTTAGATGCATGGGTTGTCGAGCCCAATCACTCAGCGCCAAGGATTAGTTGGTAGCTACATGTACCGGGTGTTCACCCTTAGTCTGAAGAACTCTGCTTCATTGGTTGAAAATGCAGGGATTTTATATGGGAGCCACAAATCCGCAACCAATTATCATCGATCACACTGGCCAGGTCTGGCCTTAGCGCACTAAATTTGTATGGGGGAAAAAGGTCTGAAGAACTTTCATATATCTTCACTCAAAAATCAAAATATTTTGCTAAAAATACAAAAAAAAATAACCGCAGAATAGCGCTGGCTCCCAGCTTCCCCTAGATAGTATTTTGAGCTCATAAGCCCTTGTGGGGAGTATTTTCTGATGAAGCTGGGTGCAAACAGTCTCGGAGGTTGCGTTGCAAAAGATGGGGGGCAGCCTATTCAAGTACTTTTCTGGCGCCAAGTATCATTTTCTGCAGCTTCAACCAATCATACGCCAAAAAAGGGTTCTTCAGACTAACCCATAACCCCCGGTACATACATGGACCAATGATTGGTTGGTACAATACATGGAGCTACATAGTACATGTAGTCAAAGGCTTGCATGTTGACAGTGAAGCTCCATACTGGTATCAGTAATAGGTTTCGATACATGCATGAGATGAATGTACTCAAGGTGTATAGGTGTATATTGGTAGATACAAGCGATGTATACACTCTACAAACACGTGCATCTCTGTAATGAAACTCTAGGGCAGCTACATGTACTATACATGTACCGGGGGTCAACCATAAATACCGAGAATCTGATAAGATAACACACAATTTCACAGCAAGATTCCCTTATCGTATTTACCCTCAACGCCCGGTACATGTTTGTAAATGTAACCCCATTGTGGTTACGTAAGCATTTAGCGCATCGGCGACGGCCTGAAGAGCTCAAGTGTGTAACACTAAACTGTTGTAACCTCGGACATCAACGTTTCTATCAGACAGTTTTGGGACTCAATACTTTGAAGTGATGTCATCTGCAACTACTTTGATCGATGCCATACAAACTTTGTCCTGTATAAACTTACAAGATGATGGTTGGATTGACAGCATTCTTGATGAATGCCAACCCCGCAAGAGGGTCAAGCCTGACGATGGCGAACTTCACAAGCAAACTCAGACGGATTTTCTTGCGCCTTCTCATGTATTCTCTACGAAATGGTTAAATCAGCTTCAGCAGTAAATTATCCTTTCAACTCAACGCAATCCTCACGAATGTACTAATTAATAGTAGGCGTTGGGATGACCCTCCCGAGTATGTCTCTTTTATGGGACTTGCTCCTACAATGTCCCGAAACATTATACGGTTCACTCGCGAAGGTCTCGAGGGACGTGTGACAGGATATAGAGAGGTCACTGTTCCAGCCCACTCAATCACAGCCAAAAACTCTACATCCCTTCTGCGAAAACCTGCCTCTAAAGCCGATTTTGTGAGAGGCAAAGCTGGTTTCTTTCCGTTCAGCCCTGGGGGGATTGATATTGGAACTGCAAATGAGAGGCCCGAGGAGCTAGAATTACAAGAGTCCTTGGTAGAAGAAAGAATTGGCAAAGATGGATTACTAAAAGTTGCACCAGGAATGTCCAGGGGTCTCAAACTAAGAAAGGATAACGTCGAAGAGGATGAAGAAGCGGAAGATGTCGAAGAAAAAGTAGACATGGAAGAAGAGGGCTTCAAATTCGGTGATGTTGCTCCAAAAAGAAGACATAAAGAAGAGACCGGGGGTGCTACCATAAAGAAAGCCGAGAAACCTTTGGCAGAATTGGACAGTATCGATGATTTATTACCAATTGAGGTATAGCCTCCATCCAGAGTATGAGGAACCTATCCTTCCTTCGATAGCTAACCTTTGTGATAGTTTCCCATGCTTGCACCAAAGGGAAACTTGCCTTTGGCAGTGACAAGGCCAAAGGCCAAAGAATGGGCACATATGGTCGATGTGAACAAAGAAATCACCAATTTTCACGAGCTTGTACCAAATATGGCAAAAGAAGTATGTAGAGAGCTCTTAATAAAATTGACTCGCAAGCTAAGTTTGTGTAGTGGCCATTTGAGTTGGATACTTTTCAAAAGGAGGCTGTTTATCATTTAGAAAACGGTGATTCGGTCTTTGTAGCTGCACATACATCTGCAGGGAAGACAGTTGTTGCCGAGTATGCTATTGCTCTTGCTACAAAACATATGACGAAGTAAGCGTTTTTCGTTTATTTTCTTCTTACCTGGCCCAAGCTAATATCATCTACGTCAATAGGGCTATATACACCTCACCCATTAAAGCTTTGAGCAATCAAAAATTTCGCGACTTTAGAAAAGTATTTGATGATGTTGGAATCTTAACCGGCGATGTTCAAATCAATCCAGAAGCAAGTTGTTTGATTATGACCACCGAGATCTTAAGAAGCATGCTGTACAGGGGTGCAGATATCATCCGGGATGTGGAATTTGTTATTTTTGATGAGGTCCACTATGTCAACGATCTTGAGGTAAGGACTAAATATCGTTTTGCACACTTCTCAACACTAATTATGATTGTAGAGAGGGGTGGTTTGGGAGGAGGTAATAATAATGCTTCCAGACCATGTAAATCTGATTTTGCTATCGGCAACAGTCCCAAATACCAAAGAATTCGCAAGTTGGGTTGGAAGAACGAAGAAAAAGGATATTTACGTTATTTCAACTCCAAAAAGGCCAGTACCTCTAGAACATTACCTTTGGGCCAATAAAGCGATGTACAAAATCGTCAGCGCCGACAAAAAATTCCTGATGCAAGGTTGGAAAGATGCGAATAATGCGTTATCGAGGAAGAAAGACCCATCGCCAGCTCAAGCACCCACGGGTAATCAACGTGGGGGTGGCAATCAGCGTGGAGGCCCAAATCAGCGTGGAGGCCCAAATCAACGGGGAGGTCGTGGAGGGACACAGCAACGCGGCCAAAGCAGCGGAACCGTAGCCAGGGGTGGGAGGGGAGGTCGTAATACAGCTGCTCAAGACAAGAACATTTGGGTTCACCTCGTACAACACTTGAAAAAAGAAGAGCTCTTACCAGCTTGCATTTTTGTTTTCTCGAAAAAGAGATGCGAGGAGAATGCTGACGCCTTGAGCAATATAGATTACTGCAATCAAACTGAGAAGAGTGCCATCCACATGATCATTGAGAAGAGTATTGCAAGATTGAAGCCTGAGGATCGACAACTACCACAAATAAGGAGAATGAGGGAGCTTTTGGCTCGGGGATTAGCTGTACATCATGGAGGATTGTTGCCAATCGTTAAGGAAATTGTTGAAATTCTATTCGCGAAAACACTAGTCAAAGTATTGTTCGCGACAGAAACATTTGCCATGGGACTCAACCTTCCTACACGTACTGTGGTATTTTCGGGATACCGGAAACACGATGGGAAGCAATTCCGTGATCTTCTTCCTGGGGAATATATTCAAATGGCTGGTCGAGCTGGTCGTCGAGGATTGGACCCGCAGGGAACTGTTATCATAGTTTCTCCGATGGATGAAGCGCCGGCTGTTGGTCTACAGGGCCCTTTTGTGAGATGACTTCCACTGACCTTTCATAGTACCCTACGCTAAATCACATGATCCTCGGTGACCCAACGAAATTGCAAAGTCAATTCCGCTTGACATACAACATGATCCTCAACCTTCTTCGTGTTGAAGCTTTAAAGATAGAAGAAATGATTAAGCGGAGCTTCAGTGAGAACACGACGCAAACGATGATGCCCGAACATGAACGGCAGGTTGCCTTGTCTGAAGAGGGGTTGAAAAAATTGAAAAAGGAAGACTGTGAAATCTGTAGCGTTGATCTTGAGGCTTGTCATAATGCTTGCATCAGACTAAAGGTTTTGTCGGGAGATGTATTACTGAGGTCATTAGCGACTACCCATGGTAGGCGATTGTTCACTCCTGGACGACTAATTGTCATACAAGAAGAAGTTGGTTTCCTCAGCCCCAAACTCTATCTAGGTGATGTAATATTTACCAAATTTCTTTAGAATGGGCCTAGGACTATTGGCGTACTCCTAAACGATGGAATACTCCAGGGCACCCGCCCTCTGCTCCAAGTACTGTGGCTTAAACCTGACACCAACAAAAAGTCCTCTAGTAGGTCACGGAATTAGTTTCATAGTATACTGTCATAGATTACTTACATATAAATAGGTGATTTGGTTCCGTTTCCGGCCTGCCCGTCCCTGAATTTACCCAACACTCCCCCAAAAGAGTGGAAACTTAGAGAGTTCATCATTCCGGTATTCAGTATTGAGTGGGTTTCAAAAACTATAATAAAATTTGATTCCCAGGCAGTTCGTCGTGGAGACAAGTTAGCAATCGCAGGATTACAGGCGCAGCTCCTAGATTTGCTTGGGGATTGGAAAAGACCAGAATGGATCGAAGGCGATTGGAGTAAGATTAATGATATGACTTTCATTGAGCTTCGTCAGTCTAAGCAACAGGAGACTGCAACTATATTGAACTGTACATGTCTTTCGTGTCCTAACTTTGTTACCCACGTTAGTATTCCTCAGGCCTTTGGATGTGAGTTTCGTCTAACATTTTTCTGCAGTTTGCTATGCGACATGAAGAATTTTTACTTCAGGATAATATTTCCAAGCTGAAACAATTGATATCTGATCAGAACTTGCAACTTTTACCCGATTATGGGCAACGAGTTTCAGTCTTGAAAGAATTGGGATTTATCGATGACAACCAAAATGTTCTACTAAAAGGACGGGTAGCCTGCGAGGTAAGTCATCTGCCCTTATCTTCTACCTGGCTAAAATATTTAGAGCTAATAATGCAAAGGTCAATTCAACAAGTGAGCTCGTCTTGACAGAATTAGTCCTGGAAAATGTTCTCGCGGAATACGAACCCGAGGAAATCGTCGCCCTCCTCTCTGCTTTCGTATTTAGCGAAAAGACAGACGTTATACCAACAATCACACCTAAGCTTGAAAAAGGCAAGGCTAGAATAATCGAAATCGCGAAAAAGGTCAACTCGATTCAAATACAACATCAAGTATTGATAAACGCGGAGAGTGATGACTTTGAAGCAAGACCGCGCTTCGCTCTTATGGAAGTAGTTTATGAATGGGCAAAGGGAATGTCATTCAATCAAATAACTGAGCTCACAGATGTCCTTGAGGGAACTATTGTTAGAGTGATCACCAGATTAGATGAGACATGTAGAGAGGTTAAAAACTCGGCGAGGATAATAGGTGATCCATCACTTTTTGCAAAGATGCAGGAATGTCAGGAGTTGATTAAGAGGGATGTTTGCCATTGCGCTTCGCTTTACTTGGTCAGTACTCATCTGTCTGCCCACATATTTACTAATCTACAGACAATGCTAACTATACCCTACATGTAGTAAACATCTTTTGTCATCATTAATGCAGCATTTGTTGGTATGCAACCTTATGCGGGAAATCAAAGCATGTACGTTTTGTTATAAATTAGGATCTGAGCATAGTTTCGTAGCGACTTAGGGAAATATCCCCCAGTATTAAGGATGCTATTCTATTGATGTGCAGCATCTTGCCAAGGCTTAGATCGTGTTGGTGTAGGTTCCCGATGCGGGAGGCTCTTATTTTTACCCCGCGAAGCCGCTAGAGTAAACACAAAGAAGAAAAGAAAGGGTTGCCGGCATGGCATGGCATGTCATGGAAATGCTGGCATCTACATGTACCTACCATAGACTTTCTGTAGCATGCTTAATTCAAAGATGGCGGCGATTGGAGAAAGACAGCTGTAAAACCACGTTATTGTAGAGGGTGTTTAGAGCGCTCTTAATCAGAGGATACTTGACGTCTCAACCCTACTCCACTCCTCCCTTCCCACTTTCACTTCGCTAGGTAGTCGTCGCACACTACTCGTCTATTCATAGCGTTTGTGAACACGACCGCTATTGCATGCCATACAAAAAGGTTGTCTTGGCTATTTTTTGTGTGTATGTAATGCCAGTTGTGTTCACAAACGCTGTGAAAAAACGAGTACATACATCCTATCTACATATAGTATCGAGCCCTACTTATCACTAGGGCTGTGATTACTAGCACTTGTATTTTTTTTTTCTTTTTCGCCCAAATTTTTTTTTACCATTTTTCCGCAACGCTCTTTTTTTTTCTCAAGTGGTCCCTTTGATCTGAATGTGCCCCTCGCCCCTCCACTGCCCCTCTCTTCACATCCCCGCCGCTTCTCTGCACGCCATCAAAGTCTACGCTTTCGAGTGAGTGCCCATCTCCTCTGTGGATCGACTACACACACCACACTACTTCTTGGGCTTCACCTCCCACCCCCCCCCCCCAAACCCGCCCTGGCCTCCGTTCGAAAATCTTTTTTCTCTCAATAAGCCAATATTGTCTCTCATCTTCTTAAACCACCCACCACTCTGCTTTACATAAAATATCAGTATAAAAAAAAGAGCCATGGATCTCGCAGCTCTCCGTGGGTGTACACTCTCAGCGTTAGATACAAATGCAGACATTCGACGACAAGCCGAGCTGCAGCTGAAGCAGGTTCTTGATCACCTTTACATTTCTACAAGGGAGAGTTTTCCTCTTTACTAACGCGAGATTCACAGGCGGAAGCAACACCTGGCTTTATCGGTGCACTTCTGGATATCATAGCAGCCGATCCTGAACCACAGGTTCGCCTTTCTGGTACCGCACCGAAACTTAAACCTCTCCCTTCTCCGAATATTTACCCATTCCTAGTAGTTTAACTGACGACCACTTTCTCACCCCCGACAGCTGTCTTGTACCTGAAAAATAAAGTTATCAGATCCTGGGAATTCAACGAGGAGTTCCCGAAAAATGTGCCCATCTCTGAAGATGAGAAGGCAGCATTCCGCGAACGGCTCGTGCCAACCCTTGCTTCGGCAGCCTCACCGATACGACAGCAGCTTATGCCGTTGATTGGGAAAGTCCTTCATTATGACTTCCCCGAAAAATGGCCTGGTTACATGGACATTACCCTGCAGCTCCTTGGTTCGAATGATATCCAGTCGGTATTTGCGGGTGTGCAATGCTTGCTCTCGCTTTGTCGCGTTTACAGATTTAAGCAAGCCAACGACAAGAGAGAAGAGTTGGACCGTGTCACCCAAGCGACCTTCCCCACACTCTTGGCTATCGGCAACAGATTGGTGGACGAGACTAGCACTGATGCAGGTGACATGTTAAAGATGATTATTAAAACATACAAGCATGCTGTATATGTGGGTTTTGAACCCTTGTCCAAGAACTAATTGGCATAAAACTAATGGCCGAGGCGAATAGTTCGAGTTGGCGGCTCATCTTCGGGAGGAATCTTCAATTGTCCCCTGGGCAACCTTGTTTATCAAAGTTGTAGGGAAACAAGCACCGCCAGAATCCATGCCTGAGGATATTGAAGACCGGGAGGCTCACCCGTGGTGGAAAGCCAAGAAGTGGGCCTACTCAAACCTAAACAGGCTTTTTGTGAGGTATACTTTTTTCATTCCCTATCTTTGACAAAATGCTTTTCTGACCTTCATCGCCCTTAAAAGATATGGCAACCCTACCAGCATCACCACAAATAACTCAGAAAATTATGAGAAATTCTCTAAGCATTTTATTCAACATTTTGCGCCAGAGATTCTAAAGGCATATCTTCAGCAGATTGAGCTGTGGGTTTCCAAGCAAGCATGGTTGAGCAAGATCTGCCTTTCATGCACTATTACTTTTATGGATGAGTGGTTTGTTCCCTTTAACAGAACCTAAGGAAAGGAGCTAAATTGTCTTTAAAGTATCAAACCATCAGCAACATGGAAGCACTTGAGCCCCCACGTCGAGAATTTGATCTCCCATGTTCTCTTCCCCCTACTTTGCCAAACAGATGAGGACCTCGAGACTTTTGAGTCAGATCCGGGTGAATACTTGAACCGCAAGATTAACTTATACGAGGAAATATCAGCTCCAGATGTTGCTGCCACAAATTTCTTGAACACACTTAGCAAGGCCCGTCGAAAGCAGACATTTACGGTTCTTAACTTTATTAATGAGGTGGTCAACCGGTATGAGGCAGCTCCGGATGACCAGAAGAACTACAGAGAAAAGGAAGGTGCTTTGAGAATGATTGGAACCTTATCCGCTATTATCCTTGGAAAGGGCAGTCCTATTGCCGATCAGGTGGAATATTTCTTTGTTCGCCATGTTTTTCCCGAGTTTAGGAGCCGCCATGGATTTCTCCGAGCTCGTGCGTGTGACGTGCTTGAGAAATTCTCTGATCTTGACTTTAGGGATGAGAATGTAAGTTCAATCCACGCAATCGACGTATGTGGATCTAATTGTCTTTCAGAATGTCGTTGTTATCTACCAGAATATCTTGCAATGTCTCAACGATGCTGAATTACCTGTACGGGTTGAAGCAGCGTTGGCCCTGCAACCTTTAATCAGGCATGACTTCATTCGGACATCCATGCAGCAGAGCATCGCGGATATTATGCAGAAACTGTTGCAGCTTGCTAATGAGGTTGACGTGGATGCGCTTTCCAATGTCATGGAGGAGTTCGTTGAGGTTTTTGCTTCGGAGTTGACACCGTTTGCAGTACAACTCACAGAGCAGCTGGTGGGTTATCACCTCCCCTATTTCGTGTTCCAAATCTGACAAGATTTTTAGAGAGACACTTATCTCAGGATCATCCAAGATGTCATTGACAAGGGTGCTAACTCTATTGATGACGATGTTGATAACTACCTGGATGACAAGAGCATCACAGCTCTTGGAGTTTTGCAGACCATTGGAACCCTGATATTGACTTTAGAAAGCTCCCCCGGAGTTTTGTTGCAATTAGAGCAAGTTCTTGTTCCAGTCATTACAGTCACTTTGGAACATAAGTTGTTTGGTAGGTGCAAGAATACTTAATCTGAGACTCCTTTACTAAAAACAAGATAGACCTGTACAACGAGGTCTTTGAGATTATTGACAGTTGCACTTTCTCTGCCAAAGCAATCTCGGGTACCATGTGGGCGGTATTTGAACTCATCCACAAGTCTTTCAAGGACCGTGCGGAGATATACATCGAGGAGATGCTTCCCGCACTAGACAACTATATCTCATACGGTTCCGACATGTTGATCCAAAACCCAACATACTTGGCAGCAATGTTCGATATCATTTCAACTGTAATCAATCCAATCGAGTTGTACATTTGGGGATTCTAACAAATTCTCTAGATCTTTACGAACGAGCGTCTAGGTGCCATGGACCGCATTTGCGGGTGCAAGCTCGCTGAGGCTGTGATGCTCAATCTTCGGGGACACGCTGACCAATACTTGCCTCAATTTGTTGAGATTGCCATGCAATGTCTTACAGCACCTAACGAGATCAAGTCTTATCGTATCCATCTGATGGAAATGGTCATCAACTGCATTTACTACAACCCAGCCGCTACCTTACAGATCCTCGAGAGGAATGGTTGGACAAACAAATTTTTCAGTCTATGGTTTTCAAATATTGAGAATTTCAACAGGGTGCACGACAAGAAGCTTTCTATTGTGGCGATTGTGGCATTGATCCAACTTACGCCAGAGCAGATTCCTCAAAGCATCCAGCCGGGTTGGCCGAAGCTGATGCAGGGAATCGTACCACTTTTTCAATCTTTGCCCTTGGCTATGAAGAATCGTGAAGAAATTCAAAAAGAAGGCCTGACACTTGACGATTCATACGGATCTGATAGTGACAATGAGTGGGAAGGCGAGGCGGCGTGGAACAAGGAGGGTGAGGATGGTATGGTTCTTTAACGTTCAATTCTCTCGAATAATCTGCTGATGAAAATTTTCTAGCCGATGAGCTTGATATACCAGATGAAAGCAGTGCTTATATGGAGTTTTTGAACAATGAGGCATCTGCTCGGGGTGTTTTATCCGCCAATTGGGATGATGAGGATGATGATCTTGAGGAGGAAACTCTCTTGGAGACTCCATTGGACAATATTGAACCTTACCAACTATTTAGAAACGCATTATTGGGTATGTATCTTCTACCTTCAAAAGTGGGCGATCTTTCCTTTGCTAATCGTTTTATAGAGTTACAACAGCAGCAACCCCAGATTTATGAAGGGCTCACAAAAGGTCTGAGTCCAGATGAACAAAATGTGATCAAGGGCGTGGTTCACGAAGCTGAGGCTAAAAAATTGGCTGCTGATGCCATGGCTGCGGCTGTCGGTGGCATGCCTGTCAATGGGCATCAATAAAATAAAGGTTTAGTTGTGGAGGAACATTAATACGGCTTTTTTTTTTTTTTTTTTTTCCTTTCTAAGGAAAGCATTCATTCGAGGGGTCTAGCGTTAAACCTAGCTTCCTATTATATCTCTTTTCCCCCTATTGTCTATCTATCTCTTGGTTCGTTATTTGTTTTGTTTAGATAGTTGTCTCATTTGCGATCCGATCATGAATTAGTATGATGACAAAGTACATGTAAATGTATTTCTTTAAAAAGAAAAATCGGATTATGGTAGGAGTTTTCAACAAAAAAGGAAGAAAAGAAAAGAAAAACGTGGCGATCTCCAAATGTAAGTATATTCTCTATGGGTCATGACATATCACTCGCTTGAATGGATGGCATGGTTTTACGCAAAAAGCGTAGTCGAAATTTTACGCTTACACTATCCCTTAAGCCTCCAGGCCTGACCCTAATCATTACAAGCCAGCATATAAACTTACATGTACTAAAAAGATACTTTAGCGCAGTATATAGGAAATGTTCGTATTATTACATGCAGTTTGTATTACAGCTGTTGTCATAATATTAGGCCCAGACGAACGAACGATTCTTCATTAGGAAACTCGAGATACCTGTTTAAGTATCTGAACTTGAGATTTCGGCCGGATTCCCTAATGGAGCTATGGGAATTACCTAGAGAGGTAATGGATTGAACAGTCGCACTATGTGTTACGACGCTTTCCTGGTCTAATATTATGCGAACAGCTGTAAAACAACTCAAGTACTTAAATTAGCATCTTCTCATCCGAATCTAGATGGGTTTTCAGAAACTAGGGGTCCTCAAAGCAACACCCCATAGCGCGGGCGTAGTATTTATAATTAGTATGCGACCCTAGGCTTGCCTCACTACATACATGTATGTACTTAAGGGTAGAGCGATTGGTAAAAGTACAAATTTTCCGTGAGGCCTTGAGGTGCCGGTAAGGTTGGATCCGGAAGTAGTATGCTGACTGTACATACAGAGTCTGGTAGAATTATTGCGAAAGTGGGTTTTCCGTGACCCGATAGTCCTATTGGCCTTTAAAGGAATTTCTGCAGTGAGCACGGACCAAGAAGCCCACTCTTTTAGTTCTGACTTTCGCAATAATTCTACCAGACTCTGTAGGTAGGATTTTTAGGCTTCGTCTTGGCACACCGCCAAGCTAGCTCAGGTACAGCTATCGGTAGAATTATTGCGCCCTGCTCTCGGCGTGATCGTCGGTCCCTGTTTCCGCAATAATTCTATCACTTTCAGCGTAGTGTCCACCGTGGCGGGTGGTCTAGTGGGTAAGTCGATGTTCTGTTTTTCTTTCTTTTTTTTTGTTTAATTCATTAATTGAGTGCAGCCCTACGGCTATGGCAATGGTAAGTCGACGTATCTTTTATTTTTTTATTTTATTTCTTAGCGAAATAGAGTACTGTATGTATTTAGCACAAGCCAAGACTACTCGTGCGTCTTCGCCAAGGATTTTAACGTGACTGAGAGATCAAGGCATTTGACCAATTGAAACACCGAAATCCCTTTCTTCACCGAGTCAGGTGGAAATTCTTGGCGAAGACGCGTGAGTACATCATCTCTCTTACTGTCTCGAACTAAACCTAATTAGGCTTTCACAACGCCAAGTTTAATAGATACATGTAGTTACTGGTTGCCAGCAGGCTGGCTCGGCCCCGAATGATCATATTCTTTTTGGATATACATAACATATAAACAATGGACCTAATGTAAGTTATTGAGGAAGTCCGCTCGATCTCTCCAGTTTCCAGGGTATTTAATTCGCGAGTAGGTTGTGAGCCCTTCCTACTCGCTTCACTATATGCATATTATGCGTATCCCTTCGTTAGAGCAAAATCGGAGACATATTAGGCCCGCGACGGCGTGGTGGTATTTAGAAAGTCTAGCTACCTACAGACTGTGGAGACACCTGAAAAAGGTATAAGAGGGGTCACAGAAGGTGACTTTACAGCAAAGGGTTCACGGAACGAGGGTTAGGTTTATTGCCGAGTAAAAGCTGCCCATTAGCGTCTGGTCGTGAAAACACACGAAGGGATATGTAGGTACATCCACAGTAGTCTCGTGCCAGACTACTAGGCTCAGGGTTAGGGTGCGGGTGGTAGGGTCCCGGCGGTACGCAACTACACCTAGGGCCTATACCCTAATTGCCCAATTAACGCCAAATCACCTGGTATTGTCTGAGTTTATCGAGACTACATCCACAGCACCGGTACTGTAGCATGCAATTAATGAATTAAACAAAAAAAAACACCGGTACTGTAGTCAGGTATGTCTTTGGTCCATAATTTGGGAATGTAGCTTCAGGCTGAGTGCAGACGTAGAGCGCTCTTATACACAGATATATGCCAAGGACTGACTACCAGCGACTATGACATATATACCGGACTAATCTCCAAGGCTCGCAAAATGAATTTGGTCCGCTAAATAATTGCCAGCTAAACTTATATAGGCAACTTTGTACCATTCAACCCGCGACCCCCTCTGTCTCCGACATTCAGGGCATTCAGGGCATTCGACCTATGTAGGGTATACTACATGTATCTAACCCAACGTCTAGCCCGAGACAACTCTTTTTGAAAATATCTCTCAACGCTGGGCTCTCACAGTACCAACCAGACGGACCAAATTCATCTTACACTATTTTTTCCGTTCGCGCCGTGAGATGTAGGTTACTTTGAGGATCTGGACCTGAAGTGCGTGTAATATTTGATGTAATATACTCCACTAACCAGTGCAGTACAGTGGTAGCTGTGGCCATTAAACCATCAAGCTACTCTGTTCACCTATACTCTACTCATGTCAGTTTATACTATACAGGCCCTGCAGAACCCCCACACAGGGCAACCGGTGGCTGGGGTACACGCCGCTTGGGCAGCTCCTATTTTATGGCTACATGTGTGGAACCGGTATGATCGAGCGGAGACAGCGGACCAAGCATACATTTATGTAGTTATAGTTAGTGCAGGGAGGAATACTTGGCTATAACGGATAACTCTCCAGCATAGATTTGTCCTCGTCCCGCACCATGGATCATCATCACTTCAATTGAATCACGTCACTCTAGTAGCTCAGGGAATTCACGTTTGCATCAGTTCGTCGAGAATGTCCGAGGCATGGATGCAAAAGCAGCTAACATCCTCCAATCCAGGCTAGTGTGTGTCCTAAAGACTTGCGGCTAAACCAGGAGTGATGTTATCAATACCCAAAGTGTGGGGGAAGTGTCTTTTTTGGGGAATTAAACATTTTTATATGGTTGACAAAAATCGAAGGTTTCAGACGCTGGTATTGCCAAGGCTCGAGTGACAGCGCGTGATCAAAAACATTCATATATCAACGCCTTCTCGAGCAATGGATGGTATAATGCATCTGCGTACCTAGCTATGATATTAAAATGAGTCCTGGAGTGGGGGATTGAATATGTGCACAAAAAAAACAGCTCTAGGTCGTAGAGTGAGGATAAATGTCGAGTGTGTGGCGCGCGGGGAATTGTACCATGACAAGAGGACATTAAGAAAACCTATTCCAACAGAATTGATATCTTATTTAGCGCGAGAGCCAGTAAGCAGGTAGTCATACAATGAATAGAAATTTCTCATGTACGTTGACCATTTGTTACATTGGAAGAGGGCTTAAGGGCGGGTGCTCAATGCTCATCCTCTAGTAGCCGTGGAAATGCATCAATTTTGACAAAAAAGTTGCGAGATACACATTATTTGATGCAATAACCGACCTACTCTGTGTCAAAGGCATTCCTGTCCCATTACCGACACTTTACCAACACCTTTACTGATGCATTTACCTGTTAAAGGCAATAAGATACGACTTTACTGGCGGCATTCCTCGTTAAAGGCATGTTAAGGGCGTGTTAAAGGCATGTTAAAGGCAATAAAATACGAATTTACTGACTGTTTCCGGCGTTTTCTGCTTTCCACCGGAAAATCAATGTTTTCCAATGAAGCCCCCCCTCTAGATCTCAAGATAGTTGAGTACTAAAACAAATATTTCGGCAGGGTCATCAAATGGTATCTGACATCAATGGGCTTGCAACAGTTGGGGAATACAATTTCATTTTGGTGGATCCATTGTTTGGCATATACATGCAGGCAATTCTTGCTTAATGCTCCTGGTATAATAGTAGGATGCTCGGTGATGATTCGTTTCATTGCCGATGGCCTTCGTCAATCATGTGAAGCATCACCGGTGGCCAAAGCTTATCCCCCCATGTGTATACGCTCAAAATGTGACAGAAGCGTGACAGGTAAAGGCATCAGTAAAGTCGTCTGATTTCCCTTAAAATGACATTCCCTCTACCAAAATATTGACATTACCCACGTAAATCCAAGCTCGAAAAACGACTTTACCGACGACTTTACTGAATATTATTTAATATTTTCAGGTACACATTTCTACGGCTCCTAGAGATCCCAGCGTGGGTTTCTCTAATATATCTAGATCTCCTTTAACTTTCGAAGTTTTCCTAACCAATTCACCTTCTGATGAATTAACAATTATACTCGTACTAATATATTCAAAATCTCTCTTTGAAATACTCCTTTAGATGTAAACAGGCATAAAATGCTCTTATTTTGACCTAGGGGTATCCCTTAAATCGTCAAGCCAAATTTTGAAACCAGAGTCACTAAAACTATATATCTCCAAAAACGTAATGAAATCAACTCTGAAATAGTTGGATCTGTGGATATTATTATGGGTTATATGTATTACTGTAAAGGGGTTGAGTACCTCGTTACACATTGATCTAACGATTTAAGGATACCATTGGTCATATATATATCTACCCCGACCCGATATCAATCATATATCTTCAAGCCCCTTTCGTCGGCCAAACAAATTACCATGGCTTATAGCTGGACCCAAAAGAACTTGCAGCCAGATTTAGCCGATGGGGTTCTATCTTTCCATTAATTATAAATATCGTTACCATATCTTAGAGAAATGACTTCATTTTTTTCCTTTAAGTTAAACCAAGGTAGACGTTTCTGCATAGATCAACATATATCCAGATCTTCAAGCTATATGCATATATACATTGACGCAAGGAAAGTTATTGCCGGTGACCTTTGTTTCAATGCCCTTTGAAGGAACGAATCAGAAGAACTAATTGTAAACTCTATGAGCATCATATCAGATGCATGCAGTGGATCCCGATCCGGCTCTCTACCATTGGTCAAATGAAGTATAGGAATATATAGCTGATAACATTATCGATCATGTAGGACGTTTATGGTTTAATCTTCGTCCTAATGTTTGGGCATGACCTAGTCAATTGAAGAGGGATATAATTAAGCTTATCTCTAGCTCTTTTGATTCTACACACTTCGTTCAGGAAAATAATTTGGGCATCAATTAATGCATTATACAAGAAATCAATAAGTCTTGGCACTACATGTAACTTACAATTACATATATATGGCACCCGGAGCCTGAAATCCACACCTCGTTCTAGTAGAAACTGGGAATTCAATACCTAAGCTTCTCGCCGCGACTCAAATAACCGAAACAAAGACTATCTCCGCCTGAAGCCGGTCTACCCCTGGCCCTAAGGGAATAGCTATAGTTTCGTTGCTCTAGAAGTATGTGTTGATATTAAGTAGGCTAGATTATCGACTGAGTTCCCGGGTTTGCGCTGGCTGGGGATATACTTATAATTAGACAACATGTACAGCGACAGGTAATAAGTGGTAGAACGCCCTGAGAGTACAAACACTAAATGTTGGTGGCGTTTTACCAAAACAAGTATCACTAGTGTGTTCCATCAATTATTACCTACCACTGTATATGTAGTCCGGGGAGTCGCCAAAGTCACAGATATCACTCGATTTCTCTCACTAAAGTTGTAACCCTGTATAGGTTAATTTGATTCTCGAGATACTAAATATCGATTAAATTAACATAAGTTAAGATTCTAGGTTGGGGATCTGGAAAGATCGTTTGTTTCTTTCGGCGGTTTGATACATGCGGGTACATTTGCATGCTTAGAGTGCGGGGATAGTATTGGATAAGCGAGTGATAACTTGTGATCTCGCTACTCCTCTTGACTGATCACATGTAGGAGGTAAACATTTCGAGCCTTGGTGCTCCTTCATAGTACAAACTCGGTTACTATTACTCCGTAATGAGGTCAGGTTGCAAGGGACAGCTTTGCCGCGTCAAGACATAAGATGACGACTTCCTTAATGGCCCCCAATAGCCGCTGTCAATAAGCCAAAACCCCCACCATCTCCAGAAATCGAGACCGAAGATGGTGGTGGTGCAAAGATAATAATATGGCCATCTAACTCATGGATAAGAATTAATTTTACATAAGGCTACACGTTTTTCCAGAAAGCTTAGCTATCCTGGTGATGATGCTCCCTCCGGTTGGAAGGCACCCCTCCTCCAATATCGGTAGAATTTATTAAGCGTTCCTGGTCAGTTTTAATTGGTGATCTCTGATAAATACCGTCATAAACATCTGGGGTGGATGGAAGACGGTTCGTGAAGCCGCCCTGGCGAATAATAGGTTCCGAAGAAGCCGAGAGGAGGGGAGAAGGATAAGGACGAGTAAGACCGGGGTTTGTTTATCAGATTAATTTAATCGCACAGTGCGCACCTTTTCCACGGTGCTCGTGCCCAGACCTACTTGTGCCTCTGCCTGACTCCTCCTGTAGGACAAACAAATTGCACTTGATAATCAGGGGGGCAAAAGAGCAGGGAGAGATTTGTCATGAGAATCTGAGCAGGGTAACACATAATGTAAATAGCCCTTGGCGTTTCGGTCCACTAACCAAAGCGACGGGTAACCTAACGCGTGAATGAACTACACGCAAACCCTGTCTAAACATCCTCTCAAGTCTTCTCCCTTTTGTTTCTGCTTTCAAGTACCTCCGCTGTTTTTTTACCGTTCAGTCACACCATGTCGCCAGCTCTTCTGGCTAGTGGCACTTCTGCCTTAGGAGGTGTTGATTCTTTTGTATCATGCCTGAAGCAAATTCTTTCGACAATCGAAAAGAGCTCTCTTGAACCCCCACTGGGCGAGTTGGATTTCGATGCCGAGCTCTTGGGTCAAATCAAACCTGCAACACAACCCGTCGATGAGCTCTATAAATCATCGCTTGAAATAGCGTGTAAAACCATATTATATGAGCTTGCTGTACGTGTGCGCTGCAGAGCTATCAAATCAAAATCGCTAACGAAGTTTAGACAAAAGACACCTCTGTTAGTAACGAAACATTGATCGCGTTCGGAAATCTACTAGATTTAGCCTTGGTGTTTGCGGAGCTTGGTATACCATTCTCTTACTCGATTTCTATATACACTTTATCTTACACAAGCCACACAGAAATCTCCGAACCCGGTTTGCCTCTTGCCTTAATTGAGGAACTCTTCGACTCTCAAACAATCCCGTCCTGCGAGCTACTATTCCAATATCTTGAGTCCCGGATCGAACGGGTGACGGCAGGTATCGAAGGGAGTAAAGGTAAAGGTCTTATTTTGTTGCGTTTACTCAACGAATTACTCCGGAGGTTATCGAAAACAGAAGACACTATTTTCTGTGGGCGAATATTGATCTTCCTAAGTAAGAGCTTTCCTATCGGTGAAAAATCGGGGGTCAATCTGAGGGGAGAATTCAACACTCAAAATGTGACTGTGTATGATGACACTCCTCCCCTGGAGCCCGTCCTAGACGTGGAAATGGAAGTTGATACGAAGGAGGAGGAAGTAAAAACTGAAGAATCAATATCGACTGCTATTCCTGAGGGGGACGTAAAAAGCGACGACGGCACAAAGGGTGCCAAAACGGTCTCTTTTACTGCTGGGCAGGAGCCGAAAACCCCCTCCGAGGTCCTAAGTACTAGTGCGCTATATCCCATTTTCTGGTCCCTGCAACGCGATTTTGCAGATCCGCAACGGCTATTACAGGCCCCAGAATCTTTAGAATCTTTTAAAAAAGGACTTGCCGCAACAATGGCGAGATTTCAAATAGCAGATGAGGAAGCCATCAAAAGTAGCGGCATAGGAGATAAAAAAGACAATCAAGCAAGCAACAGTAAGCGGTCAGATGACAAGAAAGCTAGTCTAGTAGTTACTGGAGAGAAAAGGAAAAGAGATGACGAAGAGGACGATTCACATGGAGAAGGGTTTAACCCTAAATATCTGACTAGTCGAGAATTATTTGAGCTTGAGGTAAATTCATCCCTTCACACATCTTGATTTTGTTTAGTATTGTGAATAATTGAGGCTAAGATGCATATAAATCATAGATCAGCGACTTAACATTCAGAAGGCATGTGCTCGTACAGGCAATGGTTCTGATTGACTTCTTATTAAGCCTTACACCTGGGGCAAAAGACAAGTGGAAGGATATCAAGACACCCAACAGAGCAGTTCAATATTCCTACACACTGAGCCCTGAAGATGTGAGATTCTCTACAACCTGCCAACAGCATCTTTAGCCGGCGGATCAACGTACCGCCGATGTGATATGTTCCTTAAGAAGCTAATCTCGACACCACATAGGAGCAATGGGCTATCAGCACCCGCACCCAAATATCTAATAGCCTGCAGCCCAATCAGTCTGGTAGACTCTTTATGCGTCTTATCAATACCGTTCTCACTAGAGAACAAAACTGGGTGCGGTGGAAAGCGGAGAGTTGCCAGCCATTTGATATGCTCCCTCTAGCCGAGGAAGAATTTGAAGATGCAAAGCTCAAGGCTGAAAAACAGTGCATCTCGGAGGCTCCTTTTCGCTATGTCATGGGAACACCAACTCTGAGTAGACTCTGGCAGGGGACTGGGGACGCATCGGGAATGGAGGGATTAACTGACGAGGAGAGGTACACTACTGCCTGATCCCATACTTACTTTTACATCAGACACGTTTTTTTTTTTTTTTTTTTTTACTAATTGGCACGCCAGACATCGTATCCCTACACCCGAGTCTTTCCGAGCAGGTGTCCAACAGGCTCAGGAAGATATCAAAGACTCATTTTTTCCACAGGATATCGAAGAAGCCCAAAACGCAAAATTCACGAAAACGTGGAAGGCTTTGCGTATTGCATCGCGAGACCGCTTTCATTTATTCAACAAATTTGATGATAAATTTGACGAGGAAAGAAATGATCTGGAAATGCTTTTTGATGTGGATGAAAAGACGAAAGAAGAAGCAAAACCGAAGGTGAATCAGCAAGCATAGTCTAATAGGAACTAGAGAGCGATACTGGTGGCTGACACGGTAAATTTTGGTTGAGCTTTAAAAGCCCACAACATCAACTTGAAAAAGAAGGCGAACCGGTTCAATTTGGAGGAGGTCGTGAGGTCGAGATCAGGTGTGAACGTGAAAGCTCTGCATCTCGACAAAAAGGCAGCACAACGGCTTGGGGTCCTTAATTACACTACGTGGATCAGAATGGGGTGGTAATTTTATCAAATAGAAGGTTATCTGTCGATTGAGGCCCGGGAGGACACGAATTCCCTCGACCAGGACCTTTCTTCAAGGCTGCAGCAAAAGGGTTTTAAGTGATAGGCCATGCGTGGCGTTTAACCTGGGCCGGCTTCTCATTCCGAAATGAAATCTATAGGTGTAGATACACATCTGGGAGATCTTTACCGCCTTGACCCTTCTCATTGTCTCGTTCATCTTGTGTTTTCCTCAAACAAAAAAGAAAAAAAAAAAAAGAAAAAGAAAAGAATCAAAATCAGGTTGAGCATCTTTTTGCCCCGAACCTGAATCCCTGCTCGCAATCAAGCGTCTACGCGCACGCGGGAGCAATATGACCCTAGTCATACAATATGTACCCCGTTCCCTCATTCTAAGTTCAATATATGCAACTTCCGATAAACTACGCTGAAATTGCAACGATTAATAGCTGCGGAAAACCCCCAATTCCCATGTGCACTGAAAAATTCATTGTACTGATCTTCCCAATCCTGAGAACTACCAATACCCCACCCCAAATGCTCATAAGCCTGCTGATACCTCAATTTCTTTTTTCTTGCCCGTTATGAGGCCGGCACGATGGGCAGGGATCATAACTTTAGATTAGGAATGATCGTTCCCAGTCTGGGCCCCTCGTGATCGAAGCCAGCATCCACTTTAGCCACCCCATACATATCTCCGCGCAACAGCATTCTCTCTCTTTCTCTACTCTCCGCATTTATATTCATCCTTTTACCGGCTCCCCCCGAGTGTGAGGGATGTATGTAGGGGTGTGGATACACTCCCCTCTATGATGTTTTTCCGAGTCAAATCTTCACTTTTACCATCTCAAGAAAGACATGCTTGCATGTTGATACAGGGTGGAATGCAAGCGCCGATATATCATTAATCTGCACTAATTCCAAGCTCGGGAAGGGGAAACGTGAAAGATATTACTTTGCCACCCTGCCGCCGCCCAGTGCCCTTTACAATACCGGAAAAATATATACAGGTACGAGAGGCCGGGCTTAGGCTTGTGCTGCCGAATGAATGCATCTATTTCAATACCTGCTGCAGCAAGTCGAGGAAAGCTGGGAGAAGGATCTCTCTTTCGTTCTTCAGGGTCGAAGAAACGTGGGTGCTTACACTGACATGACAGGACAGGCATATTGTGCTTGTCTTGTTTCTCTGGTTACTAGCGGCAGCACTACTCGAGGATAAATACTATTTCAGATGCTAGAGAACTAGAGGCGTGAGATGCCCTGTGCACAACAGGTGCGGGTTACATCCAGCCTTTCTTTTTTATTTTCTTCTTTTCCTTTAACCAGAGGAACATTCACGCCACGACGGAGCATCTGGCCTATTTGAGAAACTTGTGCTTCTGATCCGCATCCCTATGTTCGATTAAGGGAAAACTGGCCTCTATTGTTTTAACCTGAGAACTTGCATTATGGTATGACGTGATGATAGTAATGACTCGTCACTTGTCATAGCTCTCATTCATTTTCTTATCCGATTTTAGTTGCTAGGTTTATGGATGCCTCACTCACTGGCCGACTCCTGCCTACCCCCTTCACCTTCACCCGAATGCCGGCGCAAGTAAGGGCGTCTAACCTGTGTATACGTCGTCATGTATGCCTGTCTGCCGTTCATGTCTCGGATTCGAGTCGCTCGCATGTGTTAGATAAGTCTCAGCCAGTGAATACGGGGGTGCAGGACACAAACTGTATATGATATCTCTCTTTTTAATTCTGTCAAAGGCTGCAGATGCGATGCATATTTTGCAATCACAACTTGCTCATTTGCTCGCTTGTTATCGCTAAGGCATCCAACTGGGAAGGGTCATTTTATACACAACCTACTCTAACAAAGTCGACGTACATATGCTTTGCATAGGGGAAGAGATAGATAAATATGGCACCGATGGATGGGTGGCTATATCGTTTGTGTATGATCGGATATGTTTCGATGAAGTTAAGTGGTGGGGGCGCGTGCTGTTCCTGCCTACTGACTGGCTGGGAATTCTGGGCTGGAAAGGCGAGGGCCCCCTTGATAGTACCTATATACAATTACCAAAACGTGCGTGCGCAGAGTACTATAGGTTCCTCTTTTTTCTTGCCTTTTTTTATATTGTTTTTAATTTTTTTATTTTAGTTTTACCAGGGAAATGGTTTTCTTACCAGATTTCTAGCTTACTGCCATCTGTACCCCGGGTTTTCAATGGACGTCATGCGTTGGGCAATCAATCAGGTCAATCAATCAACCCCAAGAACGACAAGGCAGAAACATAAACCCGATACCAGGTTTCCAATGTTGAAATCGTTGAGATTGGAATACGCTATTTTTATATCTACTAGTAAACCGGGAAATGATTGATTATCTGAAGAGTATAGCCTTTCTCACCGTACCACTAACCACTAGGGACAGCTTTTATTGGCTAGAATAGTGGGCTGCAACCCATACAATAAACTTGATGGACTGAATACATTACCAGCAGAGATCCTACTTCTGGCATAGAATGGGCCTGAAACCACTGGTTCATGGACGACTATAGCTGGTGATGAATGCCTGAGTGAGGATCAATGAAACAAAATCGATTCCCATCAATTACGAACCTTATTTATCAGTGGCTGTATCGCCCGTTTCATTTACGATAATGTGGTCGTTTGATTACACCAACAAGCATGGAAGGTATGTTTTACTCAGATGGTAGTGAATCTACATAGTTTACTTGAGAACTACATGTACGAAACCAATTTATCTAAAGAAAGGTCTCTGGCCTATCATGTTATGTTGTCTACAATACAGGACTAATGTTCTGAGCCCCCGATATTATTATAGTGACGGAAATCACATTACCGTCTCAGACCGAAACAATAGTAAAGATCTCTATAAATATTGAGATCTCGTATTACTGTACCTGATGGCTGGTGAGGTAAATATTACCATCACTAAGCAAATAGAAAAAAGTTACTGTTTCGTATATCCAATTATATGTTATGCTTGACACCCCCACTAAAACGCTAGTCTCAGACCCTTCGAGAAGGTAATGGAAGAAGACATCCAAAGCTTAGCGAAATCTTCTAGAAGCAGTTTTGAGATATTTCTTTTTTGCGGCCAAAAAAGATCTCCTTCAATTCTCCGTGCTGCACAGACGTTGCAGGAGGGCATGCCCTGTATCGGATTGGACCGAGATTGTCTATCAATCATGCTGTTTCTATAGCTTCAACTTCATCCCCGCCTATAGATGAAGAAAGCAAATCATTGCAGTAGTGAATGGCCTGTCACGCTTTGACGCCAGAACCGAAACCTCATGCATGCAGCTCGATCGATTGGGTTTGACTCCCGAGTTCCGCGATAAGGCTGTTAGATACATAGCTTCATCTCAGTGTAGGGAATATACGAATCAAAACTTACCAGCTTCCACATATACCCTTTTGCGGATGAGATGTCATGTGTGTGAAGATGGCAAATCACGTCAAGAGGCACGGTTCAGAGTTCAGGGTTGTTCCGTAGAATGACTTCTCCGGATTGGTGGTTCAGACTTGTAGTGTTTCGTCAAGCCTTGTTAGTGGGGGAAGGCTTCTAGAACACAGTCTCAGGCAGGTGTCGAATGTCGTAATTAGGATGTGAAAAGTCTTGGGGTCCATGCACGATAGGATTGTATCGGTTCTTTCGCGATGGAGTGAAACTACTCTAAGGCTGAGCATGAGGGGGAAAAAAGAAAAGAAACTGATTTATTACGCATAAGGAAGAAAAAGAAATATGTATGCAGATGACTTTACATCGATGTGGTCTCCAAGAAGGCTAACTTACATAGAGAGAGGAGAGGAAAAACGATCTCGTTTCGACAGGGTTCTTGCAATTGCAAGAAACAAAGTGTGGCAAACAGCCTGCTAGATGACGCGCAGCTCGCCCGTTTGCTGCAGTGGGTGCAGTGGTGTGCATCTCTTACTCTACATCTTATCAAAAGACTGCAGGTTGACCGTTGCACTCCTCTTGGAGAAAACGGTGCTAGGCACACCGGAAACCTGCAAGGGCAACTTTGTTGGACGTCGTTCAAAAACGTCCGAAAATTACACCCCCACCCCCTAGTGATCCTATTTTGTCATTCGTGCATATCGTGTGTATGTACATTTATTCCTTTTTCCGATGTGGTTTGGTTTTCCTTTCTCTCAATTTCGTTACTCCAAAAACTATGTACTCAAGAGTACGCAACATGTAGATATGATACTTGCAGCATGTTGTCTCTCTTTCCTTTTTCTTGGCTCCTCCTTCACAACTGTAGTTAGCCAAGATCCGACTGGTCCGTGCCTGATGCACGCACATGCTGGCTTGCTTCTGCTGCTCACACACGCAAGTTGCTTGGGAAAGGAGGGAAACGGTTCCGTCGGGGAATTATAGCGAATCCATCACGAGACATGCAGCTGTCATACATAATAATTCCTTTCTCTATAGCTTTTTTCCGTTCATCTTCTCTCATTGTTTGTTCTTCGCCCCGGGATTGTTCATCACTAGATCCCGTCGATCTCAATTTCACCGAACAATTCTCCGCACATGGATGGGTGTGTACCTTTGTTCGTGATTTAACGAGACGCAGGCTTCCACAGGCGAGATGTTTATCTTTTCATCTTTTTATTCCTTCCCCCCTCTTTTTTTATTTTAATCTTTAATTTTTTTATTTTTTATTTTTATTTTTTGTGCTTCATCGGTATTCTAGAGACGCGTCGGCCAACTCTAACGAACTAGATCCAGTCCCGTCCCTCGGAGGTTGCTCATGAGGAATTCCTTCAACTTCTCGTCCCCCCGCCTTCAATCCTCGGACCCCACGGAAGACGTTGAAAACAGGCTCAACAGTTT